CGGGGAGGTTGTATTGGTATTACTTTAGGGCAGTGTTGTTTACATTATTGATGTTGTTACAACAATATTCTGGCCATCGCATCGCCAAGCAATAGTTAATTAACTATTGAAAACTATAATAAAACGTTTTATGCTTCAAGGAGTATAACTTTTACCCTGCTGGAAATGCATATAGCTCCAGATTCACTTGATTTCACAACTTCTTTGCACAAAAATTGCCTGTATGAGTCAAATGAGTCAATTGAACATCAAATGCCTTCTACGGCGGCGGCATTATTGATTTTAAGCTACTATCTGCGGCAGAAACACTCTCTAACAAAAGAGCTTTTGATTTCGAGATTGAGTTATCCGAAATTGACGTCTGAGATATTGAAATTCGCTTTGAAAGTAGCATGCTCCTATACCAGGTTGTAGGAAGAACGATGGAGTAATTGGATTTTAGATTGGAAGGATTATTGGAAATAAGGCGATGTTGAACCATGATGTCCCTATGAAAGTCTGTTAGTTACAAGTGATTATGAGTAATAAATGGATGGAAACAATGTTGGGAAACGTTGTTGTATTCAAAGCCGTTTGCTGATATCTTGCTTCATTGTGGTTTGGCAAAGGTTGAAGTTGTGCTTCGCATCTCAGCAAGAGGAAGGAACAGCCTTTTTGTATCCTATGTTGATAGTAGCGACTTTATATTAGAAAGATGATATGCCTACTACTTTGAGGGGTTGTCAAACATAGAAAGAAATTTTCAGATGATGCTATAGTGATTACCAAATAATTATAGCGGGTACAGTGTAGAGCAAAGTAATAATATTATAACAAAAAGGCCAGTGTTTCGACGCTATTCTTTGTTCAACTGTCAAAACTCAACCAAGCATTAATAATTCAGTCTTGCTACTCTGTGTTTGCTCTACAAAATGAGGCATTATTTAAGTATCTGCAACGCTTCCTTGCAAAGAATTGGGATTTGGACTTCCAAACTAGAGTTTACACTGGCAAACAAATGTTTTTCTTTTGATAATAGCACGGAAACGTTCATGTGGTGTTCAACTCTAGTAAACAAACTTGAGACGTGGAATGACTAATAGCAACGCACAACAAGAGTTTTATAAGCTCCACTGTAACAAAAGCTAGCCTTGATCGGTGGATTTTGGACAGTTTTGGCTGGGGCTGACCTATTATGCATTATCAATACACGAGAGCTAATGCTACAACAGCTTCAACTGAGAAGACTTCAAACAATAAATGCTTTGCAGGTCTACACGATGGAGAATGCTATAGGAGGTGAAGTGGTACAGATTTAGCTATTACTTTTCTTGGAAAACATCGAAAATAGATGCTTTTTTGAATGGAAATTATAGATACACTATTAAAGTTAGTAGCATTTAAGGCACTTTATTTATCCTGCACCAAGTTACGTGGCTAATATGACTCTATCATGAATTTCTGGACATTTTCTCTATTTCAAATTTGTAAAATACACAATTTTGAGAAAAATCATAAAGCAAACGTACATTTAAGACTTAAAGCCTTCACAGCACAATAGATCCAAAGTAGAGCTATTGAATAGTTTTTGTTCGACGCAAATACGATGCGTCTTTCCCGAGATACGATAAAAAAAATTCCTCGTGCAGAATCATCGGCTTTTGGACAGAATTTGCCTGTAATAGCAAGGCAAAAATCTAGATGACATTTTTTTTGAATGTATAAATCAGTGAATATCTCCTGATAGCGTCATGCTAGAGCTTCGAGACAGGGCTCATTCGAAAGGATTTCGTTTGCTCTACATTATAATAGGCATTAAAAGTACAGCTTTTATGACAAAAATGTGGCAATTTATTAAAAACCATCAGAAAATTGCAAAAACTATCCTATCAAAAATCAGGCTAATAACTGGAGTTAATCCATTTAAAACTGGTATCATTCGATCCTCCTCTGAATTCTACTCTAGGTTTGGTTTAGCTGGAAGCAGTGTTATCATCATAATCGCATGTTATTGAGATTGAAAGATTTTAGACATCCATGGATCCTTATTTTGAGCAATATGAAGGCTGGGCTATGGACATTTTGAAATACCGTCTTTTCAGTGTGTAGCTAAATTGGAACGCAAAATTTGCTACCTTTGTTAAATACAACCTCTTAATTACAATTGACCGATCGATAAACAAGATGTTGGCAAACCTTGTAGTAGAAACCGCTAACCCCAATCTTGCTTTGCTGTCCTGTAAGCAAGCTGTCAAGTCTCCAGTGCTTACTCCATATTATATGGAGACTAGTGACGGTTTTCAACCTCAATCTTTTATTAGCATTTTTTCCTTTTTATATTACTAGCGTTTCCCCCCCCCCTTTTTTTAAACTATTTTGCAAACCTTTTACTAATGAAACAAGGCTATCTTTGTTGATGGAACTAAAGCAAGTATAATTGACAACAGCTTAGTAGACGTAGGATACAATGTTAACGCGTCTTGTACTGTAGCTATACTGTGAATTGTTCTATTTTGGGAAGAGGACCCATTTCTAGTAGTCTTTTGCTGCATATTTGGTGGTGCTCGCTTTAATGGTCTATTGTTGCTTCTGTGGTCTTTCCCTGGTGCTTGCGTATCCTTTGGTCTGATGTCTTTGCTGTATGCTGGCTCTCTGGTCTATTATATTGGGTTGTGGCGGTAAGTGGTAAGTATCTTTTTTCATCTGGTCGCAATAATATAAAACTTCTTTGAACGTTTGTATTATTACTTCCTTTTTCGTGATAATGCATTCATAATGTTTGCATTGTTGCGTTTTCTTTTTCTTTCTTTTGTTGGCTGTGATATGATCAGCTCAACAAATAACTGTAATGTTGTTGCTTCGTATATATGAACAACAAGCATCATGCACTGTTATATTCTTGTATTACCGCTGTAATACTTTGTTATATGGCCGTGGGTTGTTGTTTGTGTTGCCTCTGTTGCTTCATATGAAACAATATTAGTTGTTATGTTGTATTAAACACTCATACTACTTGCTGTTGCTCCTGCAACTCTGCATGTTTGTGTTGCTTTACATCAGATTATTACCATACACGTTGCTCATGTATGTATTTCTGCTGCAACAACAATGAGTTGTTATAAACATCTTTGATTTTGTATTTGTTATGCTTTTCTTTGACTCATTGCGCGTGAGTATCCTTTTTTTTTCTTTGCTTATTACATATACTATTATACTCCTATACTCCTATAGTAGTATGTTTTTTTCTTCTTTCTTTTATTATTATCATGTTTCTTTGAAGCATACCTTTTTTTTACGTTGTGTGGATGTGCCTATCCCTGAAGCTCAACAAGACATTATCCGACACCAGGAGGTAGATAGGCCGCCTCCACTTGGTTATCGCTACTTACTTTAGTGATGATTGAGGGTCTCAATGCCTGAATTTAAAGCTAGGTGGTGTAAGTAAGGCATGCTCTAGCACCTGAGGGAAATTTGATGATAGTAACAGCTATATTGCTATATAGCGGCGCTTAAAATTTTGCCTCACATCAAAACAGGGGGAAACCCTCGCAAAATTTTTTTAAGGTCAGCGGAGTTTTCAAGCGATTTGATTGGATGAGAGTTTGAAGCACCAAAGGATTCTAGCTAGTTGATTTCCTATTAATTGGTCATTTAAAATTGTTTAGTGTTTATAATAAAAGGGTAGTCAAATAGATACCATTTAAGGCCTATTTCATTTAATTGTAAAATAATACGATTGCAACTATTCAATCTGGCATCCATTGCACAACAGTTTAATATGATGAGGAATTTCTTTTAAATATATTATGCGGGGAGGTTGTATTGGTATTACTTTAGGGCAGTGTTGTTTACATTATTGATGTTGTTACAACAATATTCTGGCCATCGCATCGCCAAGCAATAGTTAATTAACTATTGAAAACTATAATAAAACGTTTTATGCTTCAAGGAGTATAACTTTTACCCTGCTGGAAATGCATATAGCTCCAGATTCACTTGATTTCACAACTTCTTTGCACAAAAATTGCCTGTATGAGTCAAATGAGTCAATTGAACATCAAATGCCTTCTACGGCGGCGGCATTATTGATTTTAAGCTACTATCTGCGGCAGAAACACTCTCTAACAAAAGAGCTTTTGATTTCGAGATTGAGTTATCCGAAATTGACGTCTGAGATATTGAAATTCGCTTTGAAAGTAGCATGCTCCTATACCAGGTTGTAGGAAGAACGATGGAGTAATTGGATTTTAGATTGGAAGGATTATTGGAAATAAGGCGATGTTGAACCATGATGTCCCTATGAAAGTCTGTTAGTTACAAGTGATTATGAGTAATAAATGGATGGAAACAATGTTGGGAAACGTTGTTGTATTCAAAGCCGTTTGCTGATATCTTGCTTCATTGTGGTTTGGCAAAGGCTTGTGGCTCAGAAATAGAAGATTTTCAAAATAATAAGCCAATTTTGAGTAATGAACATCATATGAGAGCCTGTCAACTACCAGCAATTCCGAGTAATAGATCAATAGATGTGATGTTGGGAGACGTTTTATAAAAAACCACCTGGTGGTATCTTGCTTCGTTGTAGTGCAATAAAGACTTACGCTATGCTGCGCATTTCTCGGATAGTATATCGAATACTATATTTCCTGTATATGAAACGAGGCTGCGTGAAGCTTCAATCCTATGGAACTGGTAAAATTGCCAGAGATATGCATATAACAGTGCTATGAGCTATAGATGTAGATACTCTAACGGTATACAAGTCTTTAGTACTGAATTCGTTTCCAAGTCTCATTCTGATATCGTATCCCTGAATTTAGGGTGCCTTGCGTTATAGAGCTTGTTGATGTGCTTTAGCGCAAGATTTTACTACAAGATTGGACAAGAAACCCCTCAAAGTTTATGTAGCAGTAATTGTAATAAAATAGAATATATGTAATAATTAGAGAATTAGAGAATAAATGTAGATATACATAGGATAAAAGAGTGAATATAAAATAAATGATAATGAAATACAAGAGTTAATCCGATGATGTTGCTGTTACTACTGCATTTGACGATGCATTAGATAAAGCAGTATTCGTAGTTGGAGATGTTGTTGGAAGCATCACGTTTGTATCGTCCAGGGCATGAGCTGGAGTTTTTGATAAAAATATATGTCGAGCTTTCTTTTCTGTGGCATGATCATCTTCCTCTTCGTCCTCTTCGTCCTCTTCGTCCTCTTCCTCCTCAAAATGTTCTTCTAGTTGGCGTTGATGATTATCTTCCTCTGAGATGTCCATAGCTTCCGTCATTATCTCATCAACCTCCTTTTCTTTCTCTCTATCCTTCTCCCAATCGTCTTCGAGTGAACTGGGTGTGCTATCAAAATCGTCATTGACAATCTCCATTGGAGAATCAACTGAATGGAGCTCTTCGCTGACATGAGTTTGTAGCTTCTCTTCCTCTTCGTACTCATCCAGGTCTGCCAAAACCTGATGTACAGTGGATATGCCTTGGTATTCTGTGGCAGGCGGCAGCATGATTAGATGTGCGGGTGGTGTGGGTGGTGGTGGTAGTGCTTTTGATGTTAGTCCTTTTGAAGAATCCTCTGCTATTTTCAAGTCTTCTACTGCCTTTTTCTTTTGATATTGTTCCAAATCTTCCTCCGAGATAAAGCCTGAAATGTAGAAGCGTACGTCTCTATCCTTGTCTGTTGCTAACCGGTATATTATATCGTCCAAGATCTGCTTAGGGCTGGATTCGTCCTCCATGGCAACTTCATCCGCATATATGATGGTTTCAATGTCCTGTCTGTATCCGTCTAAATAGAGGTGCGACGGTTAGTGTTTCGTCTTTAATCCTTTTCGTCTAGTTTGACTTACTGATTGAGCATAAAGTATGCATGGTTCTTGAAGCTGCAATACGAACATTGACAACAGAATCCTTCACTAGTAAAGCTAATCTTGGTAGAAAGAATGAAGCAAAATCGGCGGGATTGATGCCAGCATCCAATAATGATCTGCATATTTGAGTAAATCTACATGAAGGGATTGTTAGTATGATAATGCTTCTTTCAGCTATTCAGTACTCACACAAAACGAGTGCGATATGCTGCAGATCTAACCAAGTCATCAAGTTTTTCCATAACATGGTTCAACAGAGCTAATGCATATTTCTGCTGACGTTCGAATAGCGTTTCTGTATCGTCAGCACTCTCAGCTGCAACTTGGGACAAGTTTTCGCCATCTTCATCCACAGTTCTTTTCACAATATCCAGAATCACCGGAAACTAGAGTACAAGGATTCAGTATAGAGCAAACACAACGATGCCAATAAGCCTACTTACAATTTCGACGCCTGTCTCTCTTACTGATGCAAATTCATCATGACATGCTCTGATAGCCAGCGGCAGTATATGTTCCACCACTCTAGACGCATCAAATAACCTAGATATATCTCGCAATTGGTTTGCAAGAATGTCGCGCAAATGCCAGTTGTTCATAACACCATCCCAAACCTCTGCTAAAATCGGGATATACTCGTTTCTCGAGCTGACAGCCAGCACATTCAAAAATTCAGACAAATGCTCCAACACGCCTTGCTTTACATCGTCCAGGTCCATCAGGTAAAGCGCGAAAATCTGAACAAGGTCCCGTTCAGTACGTTCGGCCCCAATGATGCGAGCAATATCATGCAATGAATAGGCGAATGTACGGCGTACTTTGAGCTGGTAGTCTTTGGTCAGATTCAGATAGGTGTCTTTCAGATGTGAATCCCAATATGCCACGCCAGCTGTCAAGACCACGGCTGGAAAGTTGTAGGCACAGTTGTGAATGCGCTCTGTGTCCATCTTGTACATTTGGTTGGCATTGGTTGTGGTTGTATTGCCTAGCGACAAGAAGAAATCCAACAATTCTTCAGGTACCTCGCCTGGATTTCCAGTTTCCTTCCAGTCCTCAGGCAAGAACTTTGAAATGACCTCGCCCGTGATATCCGCCAACGAGTTGCGTACATTGCGAGACACATCGTTTTTGAATAACTCGACACCTTCTACCGCAATCGTTTTTTTCATGTCCTTGGGAAGCACCTCACATAAAAGTGGAAGCGCAAATACGCATGATCGGCGCACATGCCATATTGTATCCACAGACAGTTTCAGGTACAAGGGCAACTGGTTGGAGTGCAAGGATCAGCCATGGTGAATCCATTAGCGTTTGTGCTGTAAAACTTACCAGTCTCTCCAAGGTGACTTCTGGGGGAACAGTCGTTGACAGACTGCCTACTGCTGCTGCCGCCTCTTTCCTCACGTAGAACATTGGATCCGCTACCATACTTTCGACAATGGGTAAAATCTTTTCTGTACAACCTTCTGGCCCAAACACCGGTGCCAAGGCAGACATCAACTATAATAACAACCGGCATAAGATAAACAAATACTTGTTTATAGCTGGATCCTTACCATTAAGCAGACCATTTTTGCCAAATTAACGCCTCCAGTATCGTAATTTTTAATCAGTGTGCTCGTGGCTGAAGAAACAACGGTGGGGACAGAGTCGTTCACAGTGGTGGATGGTAGCTTTTTTTCAACCACGGCTGTTGTAGTGTTGTTGCTTTCAGAGGATGGCAGAGCATCCAGCACAGCGATGTCCATATTTTCTTTGTCTCTTGTTGCTGGCACTGTCTCAGTTGTAGATACTGAATCAAATCCCTGCTGCTCATCGTCGGAATTATCATGATCCTTCTGTTGTTGTTCCCCGCTAAATATACTTGTCAAACCCAACACCACGCCTTGATATATCTCCACGTCGAGTAATGCTTGATGCAAAGCGTACTTTTCTGATCCATGAGCGGTATCTGCCAATTCAGCTGCCAGTGTCACTACGGATTGTTGAGCAATGGATGCCAACGTCGTATTCTGATCCAACAGAAATTCAATGATGGTATATGCAAATGCATTTTTGGGAATATGAGACAGGGTGGTATCAGGGTAGTTTACTGAATCTAATACAGGCGGCGCATTCTATTATCAAGCCAGAATTCAATTCCCATGCAGCCTTTCTTTTCATCGCATGATTACACTCACCTCGTAATAGTAATAGATAATCTTGTCCAATTCCCCAGCTAATGCCTCCTTTACAGAATCCTCGGTATCCTTTGCCAATTGCACAATGATCGGCAAGACAGTCTGAACTGCATCTTGCACACTGATCTCATGGATGAGGGTTGAAATGTCTCTTGTTACAACCAACCTGTATTGCGGTTATTTAATCCATTGTGTTGTTTGACGAAATAAGCTTTTTTCATATACCTTTGTAAGACTAATGTGCTATTACTAAACTTGACCAGTTTCTCTAGAGGTGACAGAGACACCGCTGTTAGTAGATCTTCTTCCTCATCTTCCTCGTCCTCGATTTCGCCCTGCTGCTGTTGCTGTTGCTGCAATTGTTGTTCTGAAGACTGCTGCATATCTGCTAGTAAGTCATAACTCTGATCCCCTTCTTCTTCATTGTTTTCTCTCACTGTGTGAATATATTGCGTTTGGTCATTTATTATGTCTTACACAAGATGAGTCAATTGTTTACCTGGATCCTCGTCTAAAAGTAACTGTGATGCATCATAATAGTTTTCTGGTTCGTCCGCCATACTGTAGCTGTCTTTCTCCGTGTAAGGAGGTGGTTCTTCATTGCCATTGCTGGTGATGGGAGCGATAGCAACATCAGTAACATCCAGGTCATGTTCCAACACCGCTACATCTTTATCTTCATCATGTACGACAATCACTGGTATAGTGGCCACATTATCATCATCAGCAGCAGCTAAAGCACAAGATTCAGGGGTTGCGCTACTAGCGTCTTCCTTTGTTCTGCTTTGATCTTCTTGATGCGTATGTATATCGAGATCTATCAGTCTCGAGTCAGTATTCTCAATTTGTTATCACGCATTAAACTCCCCCCTTTCTACGATTTCAGTTACCAAAATCCTCACCTTCCCGCTGCCCCCCCTCTCCTCTATAACCAACCTCTGTCAACTACACTACCTGCCATTATATACACTTTTTGACTAAATGACTGGTGAATGTATTATACAAACGTAAAAAAGAAGAAAAAGGCAATTTTGATGAACGCAAACGAAAAAGGGACTCGGACGCTTTTAAATTTTTTTCTTGTAAAGAGTGGTACACACACAATTACATTGAAGTTCAGTTGAAGTGGTAACTTCTTGATTTGGACCTACAAGTAAACAGTAGATGTGGCGGCTGATGCTCAGCAGTTGCCAAATCATCAAGGCATGATACAATATAGATCTCGGTTTGAAAATAGTGAGAGCATGTTATGATTCAATGTCTAGAATGTTATCTTAGGAAGGACGGTTGGACATGATGGCGACATGCTGTACTTTTGTTCCTGAAATAATTGCTAGGGAACACTCAGAAACTTGATTCAAAGTATGGATATTTGGATAATATACGGTGATGCCAGGAATCAATAAGAAACAGAACAAGCCTATCACGATGGTATGTCAAGTTGAATAATGCACATCCAGCCAATAAATTTTCACGTTTTCAATGGTTTTTCAACACATCAGTCGATATGAGGCTGCGTCTATCTAGTGAATCCCATGATATAAGCATGTAAAGCAGAGTCAATCATGAAAAAGCTAAATATGCATAGATCCTGGTTCATTTATATTATCAAAAACGAAATGCGCATTGAATATGCACTTGACCCAGAAGGTCGGGATGCTCAGACCTCAACCGCAAGTGAGACTTGTAACACACAATAGAGATCCTACTTTTCAGCAAAAGCATACTAGTGTTTTGATGTAGAAACCGTTACATAAGAATAATGGAAATACATATTTATTCATTTTTTTTTTATCTAAAGTATGGTGATTTTTGGAGAGTGCAATGCACGAAAGAATAATTAAGTGAAAAAAGAGAGAAAAAGCTATACAAAAAAGTAGTGATCGTCATTGAGAGTTGCTTACTCAATGATCTTGGTAACAACACCGGTACCAACAGTCTTACCACCTTCACGGATGGTGAAACGTTGACCTTCTTCAAGAGCAACATCGTGGACAAGCTCACATTGCATCTCGACGTTATCACCGGGCATGACAAACTTATCATCGGCATCTTCAGTGCCTTCAGGGAATGTAAGAGAGACGGTGACATCAGTAGTACGGACAAACATTTGAGGGCGGTAGTTGTTGGCAAAAGGAGTATGACGACCACCTTCTTCCTTGGTCAAGATATAGCAGGTACCCATGAACTTCTTGTGAGATTTAACAGAGCCAGGAGCACACATAACTTGGCCACGACGGATTTGCTCACGCTTAATACCACGCAAAAGAGCACCCATGTTATCACCAGCCTCACCACGATCCAATTCCTTACGGAACATTTCAATACCGGTCAAAGTGGTCTTGATGGTAGGACCCATACCGACAATTTCGACTTCTTGACCCTTGGTAACAACACCACGCTCAACACGACCAGTAGCAACAGTACCACGGCCAGAGATGGAGAAGACATCTTCAATAGGCATCAAGAAGGGCTTATCCAAATCACGGGTAGGAGTAGGAATGTGAGCATCAACAGCAGCCATCAATTCGTGGATGGGCTTCTCACCAATCTCGGGATCACGGCCTTCAAGGGCAGCAAGAGCGGAACCCTTGATGATGGGAGTAGCCTCACCATCAAAACCGTATTCAGCCAAAAGATCACGCATCTCCATCTCGACAAGTTCGAGCATTTCAGGATCGTCAACTTGATCAACCTTGTTGATAAAGACAACCAAATTTTGGACACCGACTTGACGGGCCAACAACAAATGTTCACGGGTTTGAGGCATTTGACCATCAGTGGCAGAGACGACGATGATAGCACCGTCCATCTAATATTAAAGTGTCAATTACCTGTATATAAAGTATTCATATCCGAATGTCTCTTACTTGAGCAGCACCAGTAATCATGTTCTTGATGTAATCAGCGTGACCAGGACAATCGACGTGAGCATAATGACGGTTGCCAGTTTCATATTCAACGTGAGCAGTGGAGATGGTGATACCACGAGCCTTCTCCTCAGGAGCCTTGTCAATTTGGTTGTAGTCCATGAATTGAGCACCACCGTCAATAGCCAAAGTCTTGGTGATGGCAGCGGTCAAAGTGGTTTTACCGTGATCGACATGACCAATGGTACCAATGTTGACATGGGGCTTGGAACGGCTGAACTTGCCACCAGCTTCAGTAGCCATACCGCGACGGCCTTTTTTGATCCCATGTCAGTACACCTGCATGGCTGTAAAATTAAGGTTGACTTACCAAAGAACATCAAACGAGAAGGAGCAGATGAGACATAAGCTTCCTTAAGGAGGTTAGAGGTCTGTACAGTGTGTCAGTTGTCAAATCAACAGGGTACCCTACTCTTTCACTCTTTCCATGTACTTACAAACTTGTTACCAGCGTTAAGAGCCATACGAGTAGACATCAAAGCTTGAAATGAAATGTTAACTTTCCTGCATACAGGGATCCAGATGTCACATCTTACCAGACTTGGTAGCAGAAGAAGAGATGCATCTGCGAGAAGCGACACGAGTGGCGGGAAGGGCGACCTTGTTTGCTGCTGTCTTGAAAGCGAACATTTTATTGAATATGACAAGAAAACTGAAAGAAGAAGGAAATGTCAAGGGAAGAAAAGATATAAGAGAGAAATCCAGGCCCTTATTTTACCCCGGTTCTCGATGAACCTTCATCCTAGTCACAAAGCAGAGAAGGGAGAAGGTGGGGTTTGAATGGTTTCTATATAGGAAAACCTGCCATTTTCCATTTAGGCATGCAATGCTACGTTTATTGTTCAAAATTTATGCACACAATCCATCTACAGCTTTCCTTGGTCTTTCAGATCTTGCTTTTCTTGCTCGCTCAATGTCCAGAATCTACTTCTCTTTTCTTGAAACCACTCGCGGATCTACAGCACTGGGTCAGCTAAATATGTCATTCATTTGACATGTCCAATACATTACTGGGGTATAACAGTTCTTTTCAGTGCCAAAATCAGCAAACAGCACAACATAAGCACTCAAACCTAATCATTCATGTTTAACCAATTGCTCACTCATGCCTGATCTCATTGCAATTACCGATGGATGCCACCCATGATAAAACTTGGATTTGTCGTTGTCTTGGTGCTGGTGCCATTGCTTTGGGTGTTTGGAGACGACGCTTTAAGCGTTCTTGAACTTCCTCTGTAGGAATAGGATGAATTTGAGGTGTAGGATGAGGTGCCATGATATTTCGTTTATGAGAAAGAGAGGTTTCCAATCAGGAACAGTTGCAGTTTTCTTTTTCCCAATGCAAACATTTGGCTATTTGAACTCCATACATAAGCCACACTACTTTAGTGTCTCCCAGCTGGAGGGAGGGGGGGGGATGTCCCCTACACATTTAACATTTGGCGTTACAATTCCAATACATTTCTTCTCTTTTTCTTTCTAAATTATTTAAACAATGTCTCAACCTCAATTCTCAGAAAACGATCAACGTGAACTCGGTCAAGTAAGTTATGCCACCATCAATGGGAATGTTGGAAATATGTTGTTAACATAGTCTGGCATAGTTCCTTGAAGCCGAGCAAGCCAAGGCTCGCGTTCAACAAACTGTCCACTCTTTGACCGATAGCTGTTGGGTAAGTAGATAGACAGTATAGGAGGAAGCATCTGATATTGAAGCTATTGGGATATCATATAGGATAAGTGTATCTCCAAGGTCAACAACAAGTTGGATCGTAGCGAAGAGGCTTGTTTAGCCAACTGTGTCGATCGTTTCCTTGACACTAGCATGTTCATTGTCAAGCGACTCGAAGATTTGAGAAACACTGGCATGTAAATTATCGATAAAACACCCACTCTCATTTTTGAAGCTTGTATCCAAACATCAAAAAGCGAATTTTGTACTATAAGAAATCAAAATAAAAAACTACCCTGAATTTTTTGACAGATTTAGAGATTTAGTGTATTCTTTAAGAGCGAATCTAATATGTGATTTACTAGCGCATTTTTGCAATAGATGAATTAGTGGTATAGTGTCGATTAGCATTCATGCTAAAAAAGTAAATGAGTTTGAATAGAATGGTATATAGAACTCATCAATGCAAATCCAATGTAAAAGCTGAGCACGTTCAGAACACAGTATCGCAATCCATCCAGCACTGCTAACACTACTTTCCCATGCTTGTCTCACGGTTCCATATGTCTGTATTATATAAATTTAGTTAGAAAAGCAGCATTCACATTTTTCTACTGACCGACAAAGATTTCACTATTTCGATGTGGTGCTAGGACTGACTCATGCGATGCCTCATGTGTCTATCAACAAGAAATATCTACAAGTAGACAGCATAGTTGCATTGCCTTTTATTACTCGTAAATATGCTAACCACAGCGAAATTCGGGTGCATTCGAGCCGCGTTTTCTCGTGCTAGAAGCCGTTCTAGATCGTCGGAATAGTATCAAACAGTTGCTCTCATCTGGCAGTTACTTTCTGACAATCTAAAATGGCATTGAAAGCAAGAAAACGCAGCTCAAATGAACTCAGATTTTGCTGTATCAGGGACGCTAAGGAATAAAGGGGAAATACAAATATGCTGCTTGCCCGTATATGAAGTGGCTACGTGTATATGGATGCAAGGCATCACATAAGAATCAGATCTACAGATAATACAAAGGGGTTTTATGTGTAAGTAGAGGGTCAGAATAAAAGTAGCAGTATTTTGATACGATACGCAAAGGCAAACGGTAGCGTGAGCTGCTGCTGCGCAGATTGGTTCTCACTGAAGCGAAGCGAAGATAGAGAGCCATCCGAAGCATAAACACTCGTTAACATAATAGAGTTACTGAAGTCATTTGGTTTATAGCTAGTAGCTTAATTCATGTTTGCAAAAATTCATCAAGCATGATTGTGTCCTTGAAATATAAAGATTGTCATTTCCAGAACATTTGCACAGAATAACAAAACGAACAAGTTTTGAACTCGATACCCAACGAAATCTACACTGATAAAACGTGAACTTATAAAATCAGGTTGCGTACATACTTTTAGATAGCATTCCTGTTACAGAATAGAGCACTCGCTAATTTCCAAGCATACGGCATTGATTCAGTATGCAAACCGGATGATCTGTACAGCCATTTGTAGATAATGAAAAAAATGCCATGCTTTATATTCTACTAATTCCAGGATTCACTATGAATTTGGGTAACTAGCCTACGAAATAATCAATATGACTTGCCATTATTGAACTACTAGGAGCAGCGAGTCTTTCCCGTATTTGCTTCTGTCATACTAGAGCTTCATCCTTAACTCCCCATTTCTTGCCAGATCTGATTTTTTTTACAATGATCCGCGTCTGTAGAAATAGGTACAAATCATTTACTGGCAGCTAGTATACTTGCATTGTCATTTACTGCTCAAAAATAGGCAAAACACAGCGAAATCTGGGTGCATGTTAGCCTTGATTTCTCATGTTACAAGCCGTTTTAGACCATCAAAATAGCGCCAAACAGTTGCTCTGACTTGGTATTAACTCACTGATACCTATGCTCAACTTTTTTGGGTTCATCTAAAATCGACCTGAACCCATGAGGTACCCCTCATAGAAAACATCAAGAAATCAATCAATCGCGTTTTTGACCTCGAAAATGAATACTTCTACTATGGTATATATTACATCGAAATGTTTCTACTGATCCAACGCAACCCCTGAAACTTAGTTTGCAAGACCTTGATATGCAAATTCTCGACATTTCCTCTAAAAAGCAGATTCCATATTTTTATAAACTGCTCCATAAGTCTATTCAAAATACCTATTGCAAATAGCACCATTAGATGTGCCTTGAAAAGCACTATAGAAAAGCTTAAGGGAGTATAGGATGATCAATACATTTTGCATAGTCGAATAGGGCGAGATAGATCGATTGAGTCGATTTTGCTCAAAGTTTGTCCAATCTGAAGCAGATGCTGAGCGGCATTTCAATTGGTGGTCTAGGATGGCTGGTAGCATTAGAATGAAGCCTTTTCAATGAAGGTAATCAAAGTATTTAAAGCTAGTAAGAAAGGCTTACGAATTGGGAAGGTTTAAAGTCTTGCTGAGCTACTTTTTTTTTTTTACTGTTCAAATGTGTTTTTATATTGTCTGATAGGTTAAATTGCTGCACAATGCTCATATCCTGATGCGGAATGCAAGATGTAGTAACTCAATGTAGTAGATAGTCAAGACAATGAAGATTCCTGCAATAAAATTACTCTTCAGATCAAGAAATTCTTGACCTGAACAGCTATGGCTGTCCTGTTCCAATCAGCAATGCTTAAATATGTCGTAATGATAATGGCACCAATGGTTTATGCCGCATTTCAACATTTCCCATGTGCCAGCATGCTCTTGTTTGAATCTGCGATTTAACAAGGAGTCAAACTTGAGGAAAGTCTCTACTTTAGATCCAATCCATTCAGAAATTGCAGCTGTCATAGGTATTGCTTGTATGTGGACAATGAAAACCAATCTATCAACAATGATACCGCATACAATGAGGTTCAAATTCATAATGAAGTATTGAAACATGACGTATAAGAGCTCCAGGTTGTCACATTTGTACCCCTTGATGGGATTTACCCCACTCAACCACACATCCACAAGCTTGGAAGAAAGCACAAGATAACGTCATGAAGTGTAACCAGAAAAAAGTGCAGAATATTTATCCGATCCCATCATGAATGACAACTATAAAAGCAAACATAACCAAGTTTTTCTTAGTATTTTCCTCCCTATTTTCTTTTTTCCTTTGTCTCTTATTTCAATACTCAAAGAGTATGACACAACCGCCATCTATCACTCGAACATCTACAGCGCCTGTGCTGGTGACAAACGATACCAAGAGCAGTCAGCCATCACCGCCTATCGTCAACAAGAACACATCACAGCTCCAGTTCAAGCTGGCGAAACAGAGACCACTCTATTTCAAAGCAAGATTAACTCAATTTGATTTATCCAATACGGACAGTTCCAACGGCGCATTTCGTGGTTTCTACACCCTCTTCTGGATCGCTATGGGCATGTACGTTATACAGTCCATTGTGCGATGCTACGAACAAGAAGGCATATTGCTGAGTTTAGGCTTTTACCGGTTGATCTCTGAAGATGGTTTGGCTCTTTTAATATCGGATTTGACCATGGTATCAATGACCTTATTTAGTGTCCTCTTTTCAAAGCTGTTGATGTGGGGCATCTTACCCTATGAAACATTTGGCGTGATCATACAGCATACGTGTCAAGCATTGTTTTTGTTTGTCAACATTTATTGGACGTTTTGGAGAAACTGGCCTTGGGTACAATCTGGATTCTTTACGATGCATACGATTGTCATGATGATGAAGACGCACTCGTACACGGCATTGAACGGTGATCTCTCTGTCAAGCTAAGACGTTTGCGTCAACTCAAAGCCGAATTGCCCAAACTGATCGCAACTAGCAAGGAGGACGAACACGCAGTAGCAGAAAAGATACAGCACATGGAATCAGAAATCGCATTTTTGGAGGGGGAATTGGTGCACGGAAACACTCGTTATCCAGATAATGTCACTATTGCCAATTTCCTGGACTATCTGCTCGTGCCTAGCTTGGTGTATTGGATGGAATATCCCAGAACAGACAAGTAAGATGACAAGAGGAGGTGAGGAAGGGTATTCTTATATTTATGTGATTGCCGTAGAATTCGTGTTTGGTACGTGTTTGAAAAGACAACTGCGACACTCGGTTCATTCTTGATGCTGTACGTAACAACAGAACGTTGGATCCTGCCAAAACTCTACGACCCCAACATGTCAGAGCCTCGTGTTATCCTTGAACTGCTGTTTCCCTTTATGATCAACTATCTATTCATCTTTTACATCATCTTTGAATGTATTTTGAACGCATTTGCTGAATTGAGCAGGTAAAAACCATGGCTGTTTGTTTGTTGTTGTGACCATTGAATTTAACCGTTTCGTGTTTTGTAGATTTGCTGATCGCAACTTTTATGATGACTGGTGGAACAGTGTTACTTACGACGAATTTGCCCGCAAATGGAACAAACCTGTGCATCACTGGCTTTTGCGACACGTCTATGCTCAGTCCATTGAATCCTACAAGCTGTCAAAGACAAATGCTACCTTTGTCACCTTTCTGCTGTCGTCCATCTTTCATGAATTGGTGTTGATTATTGTCACTCATAAAGTTAGACTGTACATGTTCTTTATTCAGATGCTGCAGTTACCTATGATTGTCATTGGGCGCATGCCCTTGTTTAGGAATCGTTTTTGGTTAGGTAACTCATTCTTCTGGCTGTGCATGTTATTCGGCCCTCCTTTGCTTGGTATCCTGTATTGTCGCGAAGCATTCTGGGCCTCTTGGGGAGGGCCACTGCCCCCTGTTTCAACTGCTATTTAAACTAGTTATCTTTACCATTTGCATTTTCATTCATTAATCAATAAAATACATACATTCGCTCATCAGTAGCAAGCAACCAGATTTAATATAAGCATAATACAGATGCAATTTCGCAAACACACCCTCGGAAATGAGACCCGTGCGTTCTGGTGCGTGTACAACCGCATGGCAAAAGTTGTATCACAACAAGACTTGCTTTTGACAGATGGTCATCTTGCAATTATCTTTTGTATTATACAAGCAAACAATGCGCTTAGCAAACATCATCTTTAATACATAATTTTACTCTTCTTATCAGAATCAAATGTTGGATTAGGCGTGGATGGAGGAGATGGAGGAGGTAACAGTGTCAAAAGATTTGCAGGGACATCCAGTTTCTCGATTCGTTCCTGAATTTTAGGTCTTTCACTGCTATTCCAGACAGATCGAATTTCCAGCTGTTCTTGAAGCATTGCCTTTTTGTGTTGCATTGCTCTTACTTTACGTTCAAATTGATAGAACAAAACTTCTGCTCGCTCCAAGGTGGGCTCCAAGGAAATGTTACCAGTTAAATCGTTAATGTACTATTACAATGTCGTTGATAAAAAGCTACTAGATTTGACAACGAACAACTATCTTACCTTTAATATTTCGTCAAACTGATTCAGTTCCTCTAGGATGGTCTTTCGATGGGCATCAATCACAGCTAGTGCGATAAACAAGATTATCTTATCGGATAGATAATCTGTCCATAGCACTTCCCATAGGCGAATAACATCTTCCCACTCGAACTCTCTCTTGAACCATACCAACAACCATCTAAAGCAAAAGAAGAGATTGGACGTCTCTGTGTCTTCCAAACGTTTGTACAGCTCAGGATCCATGAAATGTATTAAAGAGTTCAATGTCTTGAGTTGTCCATGCATGCCTGATTGATCCATAAAGAAGTTTGACTGGACACGGTCCATGAAAGCAGTGAAAGCCCAGAACGCCATCGCTTCATCGCCCATGGCGACAAATAAGGGAGCCAGCAAGTCAGACATACCTTGCACATAGCCCAGCTCGGTATTGTGAAAATTGTAGGTGACCAAGATGTCCTTCATGATCTCCAGATTCGCATTGGTACCCACCGCCATGAGAGGATCAGGGTTTGGTAAGTTTTCACCGACAAATGCTTCTTGGGATCGATCTGTACGATGTACGTCTTTATCAATGCGATGCTTTTCATCCTGAAAGTCCTTTGTGTTGCGAATCTCGGGATGGTCAAACCAGTTTGCCTTGATGTTGTAATACGCTTCTGCTCGACTGCGACGCATGGCTTCACGGTCATTAAACGTAGAGTCCCACGGATAGATGCCCAAAAGAAACTTCCATGCTTCAATGCGAATATCAGCATCCAAGCCTCCTTGAAACACAAGCTGTCGAATGTGATCCACTGACACGCATAGCTTGCCTTCATCGTCAAAGAACAGCACCCATTCTTCTGGCGAAACAGGTTCTCGTCTGGTATGTATTGGTGTTGGACCACACAGCTCTGGCATACCATGCAATAATCCATCCACGTCGTCCGCTAGGTAGTGATCATTTGAGTTGTCTCCTCCCCAATGGGCCAAGTACTGTGATGCCATTTGATATTCATTCAGCGTATTTTGTACAGTGTAATTTCGACTAAGTCCTTGTACTGAGGGTGGTAGTAATGGGAGGATGGGTCTTGCCATGGGATGCTCCAGCATTTGCACGGCTGTATCCTTTGAATACTGAGTGATTCTTGAGAGTCGCTCCAGTAATGTCCATCGAGCATCTCGTAGAGCCTTCACAATGGGATCTGGTGCTGTAGATGAGGAAGGGTCGCTTGATGGTTGATTAACTGCTGCTAAAGTAGAGCTCTCAGGCACATTGTTTGAAACACTCATCATCGTAGATGCTGTCATTGCTGGTGATGTAAATGGTGTTGTATCATTCTCGACCAAGTGAACATGCCGCATATCCCTTGAACTAGAGGAAAACCAAGTTAGTCGCCATGTATACGGTGTCTAGATTTAAACAACTTTACCTCTTTAAAGGGTTGAAGGCACTCAATATATCAATGATATTATAGCCTGGCCATGTGGCGGAATCCGTTTGATAACTTGCTTGCTCAGAAGCAGAATACCATAGAGGCTTCAACACATCGCCCGAGCGAGAGGTAATAACAATGGATCCTTGTACTGAGGGTGATGGCGGACAGACATACAATGAATACACATTCTTGAGCGCAATGGTCATGGTTTCTGCTTGTCCAAAATTCAAATCGATGCTAGGGAAGCCTTGATCAGAAGCCAGCACACCGTCCAACTCGATAAACTTGACAATGTCGTGCGGTTCAATCAAGTACTCTGGAATCCACGCTATCAGAACATCCACATTATCCTGCATTTGAGGTTTAGCCTGCCATTCTACTAGGCAATAATCATTACAAAAAATTGCCCCTACCATTGATTTTGAGAAAACGGCCAAGAATCCATGAATGTTGTGATCTTCCAATGGGTTGGTTGATTTGAGATAGAAACCAGACTTTGTGTACACTAATCGCACTTTGCTGTTATTGTGTTGGACGCTGGTTGTTGGTTGTAGAATAGGCGTTTGATTGTATACAGAAGTACGCCTTGATGGCACTTCAGATGATGTATGTCGGTAGGCTGCTGGTCGAGGTGGTAATTCAGGTGCAATCAATGGTATCGGATCCAACTGGAATTCAGAAGGATCGTAGCTTGGGTAAACAGAAGCGACAGAGGCGGATGTCGAGTTGGATGACCAGCTTGGTTGGTGATGAACAAATGGGTTATACGTTGACTGTAGAAAGTTTGAGTTAAAGTACATCATCTCGGTAAGCGGGTACTTACTCTAGTGTAATATTGCTGTCTTCTCTGCTCATGCTCGTCGTCTACTCGTTGCTGTTGCTGCGATTGCTCAGTTAGTGGTATATAATTATTCATGGTGTTGATCATGTTGTGGTTATAGAAAGGTCCTCCACCCATTTTGTTGTATTTTGAGAGATAAAAAGATGTAAAATAGCCAAGTGATTTTATGCAAATTTTTAAGAATATATACCCCCAATGAAATCCTTGGCAGGCCAGCATTCATTCAGGGAACCAATGGCGCAGATGCAATTTCTTGGCCTCTAAAATCAGTAACGGATCAAGATACTTCTTTCCGTAGCCGATAACCTTACTATGAAATCAACCATAGGAAGCGCAAATATAGCACCAATGCTACATCTTTTAAAAGTATACTTGCTCGCTACACACTGCATTTGTCTACAAAACGTGTGCCTGAATGTTTTATCTCGGAACGTTGCAAACAACCATATTTAGCAAGTCGACAAATCCGGCATAGACAGTTGGCCAAGTGTAGATTCTAAACCAAAACAAGCTATATTGACAAGAAACTATTGGAGAGGCATCCCAATACCAAGACGAGATGTAGGTTTTGCTGGGCCCCTTCTTGTGTTGGAAAATGAGAGGATACATGCGAATTTCGCAGCAGCGGCATGAGACGGCTGCTGAATGCAGAATGAAGCCAGTTTGTCATGCTATATTTACATATTGGTTGTCTAGTAGCAGCTAAGAAAAGCATGCTTTTCTTATAGAACTCTTGTGAGCTGTTTGCATCGATATGGACTATTCAGATCTCTGGTCCTTGTTCATCCAAAAGATTTTTTTTAGATAAACGAAAGATATCGTGGCGACAGTAATATGTATTTCTCTAAAATACACTACAGTTTCACATTTCAACTTCTCTCTATCCCACAACAGCCCCACATAAGCAACCTGTTACCGTGGGTCTGACTCTTCCACAATGCGGCATACAGAATCCCTCATATACGGGTAGGTAGCCTATCTACATTGCTTCTTACTGCTCAAAAATAGGCAAAACACAGCGAAATCTGGGTGCATGTTAGACTTGATTTCTCATGTTACAAGCCGTTTTAGACCATCAGAATAGCATCAAACAGTTGCTCTGATTTGGTATTAACTCACTGATACCTATGCTCAACTTTTTTGGGTTCATCTAAAATCGACCTGAACCCATGAGGTACCCCTCATAGAAAACATCAAGAAATCAATCAATCGCGTTTTTGACCTCGAAAATGAATACTTCTACTATGGTATATATTACATCGAAATGTTTCTACTGATCCAACGCAACCCCTGAAACTTAGTTTGCAAGACCTTGATATGCAAATTCTCGACATTTCCTCTAAAAAGCAGATTCCATATTTTTATAAACTGCTCCATAAGTTTATTCAAAATACCTATTGCAAATAGCACCATTAGATGTGCCTTGAAAAGCACTATAGAAAAGCTTAAGGGAGTATAGGATGATCAATACATTTTGCATAGTCGAATAGGGCGAGATAGATCAATTGAGTCGATTTTTTTTTTTTTGTATGGAATGAAAGTTTTATTAAGTAGTTATGAATAAATAGTTAATAAAATCATTGTATAAATGGATCAAGTGTATATTAGGTAAAGTGACTTGCCATATTGTATCTTATGAGGTCTTATAAATCAATACTATCCATTTTGGACAGCTTATCCAGTTCTCTGTTGATATTGCTAACAACTGTTTGGGGCTCAAAAGGGGTACCACGGTAGTGTACGAAGAAATGGTGGGTCCAGATTGAGTCGATTTTGCTCAAAATTTGGCCAATCTGAAGTAGACGTCAAGTGGAGAGTAAACCAGTTATAGCTGGCAGTATCAATTGCTCCTGTTATCATGGAAACAATTGATACTTGTGGAGCTAGTTTGAAGGGGATTGCCTTTTGCAAAAGCACTGGTACTGGATTGTTTTCTTGATTTCGCTTTTGCTGCGCACCTTTGTATTGACTGACTCAATTATTGCAGATTGCTCATTTAAATGTGAATCGTAATGCGAAATGCTAAAGTGCTACTACAATGGTATTACTACAGACAAGCAGACGTAATAATGTGGTCTGAAGCGATATATCTATCTAAAAGTATGGGGCGTCCACAAGGCACGAAGCTACCAACATATAAAATGGCACTCACGCTTTCGAAAGAGGAGCATCATTTCGCGCTGCAAGCTACACTTTAGCTTCAGCGATAAGTAGATGGCTACTAGAATTCCATTCATGTTGTCCGCTACTCACAAATCAGCTCGTTACCTTCATCACTATACCAAACCAGCGCTCGCTCGACTATTTCTTGATACGAATCACAATTTATTGACACTGTGTATAAATAATCTAATTTAACAATTTCTTTACAATATCACTAACCACCTTACGGTCAGCAGTAGCAGCATCATGTTTCCATGCCTTCATGACCTTGCCGATATCTCTCGAGGTGGAGGCACCTACTTCTTGAATAATACCTCTCAACTCCTGTTCAATGAGCTCAGGAGACATTTGCTCAGGCAAGTAAGATTGAAGCACCTTGAGCTCCACGCGCTCTTGCTCGGCCAATTCAGGTCTTCCACCAGCCTCATATTGACTTACCGAGTCTTGACGACGCTTGATGGCCTTTTGTAGCACTGACAGGCAAGCTTCCTCCTCGGATTGACCTTCGACAAAGTTGGCGCTCTTGGTATAATAGGTGAAATCACTTAAAAGACCCTTTACAACGTTCAAGTCAGGTTGCTTCTTTTCCTTCATGTAGGTTTTGCGGTCATTCTTGAGTCTGGTGATGATGGATTCTATATGGACCAGCACATGTCAATTTCTCTGCACTACTTGAACTAACAACAAGCACAATTCTGCTGAAAGAACTTACCTGCACCAACAGCGCCGCTGGTATAGTGTCTGGTAGCAGAGATAGAGATGGGTCTAATGGATCCAGAGAGTCTAGCGAGAAAAGACATGATGAATTTGAGAAAGTAAAGAAAAATGAGTTTCTGCTTGCTATTGACAGGGTTTTATTCATCATGCTTGACGTACCCCGCTTGATTTACAATTCGGAGAGTTGTACTGTCTTTTTTTTTTTTCACATCTCATCATGATTCAATCATTTCTGTATAATGCTTCACTTTACATATTAAAGGAATATAAGGGGGTGGGGCGGATTTATTTATACATGAAACTTATTGTTGAGCAGAGAAATTGTTATTTGATGTAGTAGGTACATTGTTGCCATCAACAGTGGCACCATCAGGATTGCCCATGGTAGGGCCAGTCAAAGGAGTGCCCAAGAATTGTGATCCATCGACATTATCAACGTTATGGAAATCTAAAATCTCGGAATACATCATCACCTTCCATGTGTCAATGGGTAAATCGGCTTCGTTGAATGACCAATCGAACTTTTCAGGTGCACTTGGCTCATCGGTGGGATCGTGATAAGGAGCGAGGTAAGGATGTGATAATGCTTCTTCAGCTGTGATACGTTGACGAGGATCGAAGGTCAACATCTTTTCCAATAGATCGATGGCTTGAGGGTCTTGGCCAGCGAATCTCTGACTGAATGGAATAGGCTCACGTTTTGGCAGATTCTTGACAAAACGAAGTGTATTTTCACTGCAAATGGTGGCAACCAAATCGTCATTGGGTGTACCTAAAAGCTCGGTGATGATGGAGAATTGGTGTACATCTATGGTGATTGCAAGTTAGATGCTTGACCTCACTCTTTCACTACTAGGCAACACAATACTTACGATCCTTTCCTGGGAACAAGGGCTTTCCCTCCAACATTTCAGCAAAGATACAGCCAGCACTCCAGATATCAACAGCAACATCGTACTTTTGCCAGGTCAACATGATTTCAGGCGCACGATAATATCTGGTGGATACGTAACCTGTCATCTGAGGGTCCTGGATACGAGCAAGACCAAAGTCGCAAATCTTGAGGTCGCAGTTTTCGTTGATAAGGATGTTGCTTGGTTTCTAATAGACATGTATTCAGTCTACGCAATTGCATAAATATGCCACTATTATGCTTACAAGATCACGATGAATCACACCAGCAGAGTGAACGTATTTGAGACCTCGCAAGATTTGATACAGAAAGTATTGGATAAATTGCTTTTCTAGTGGACGTGATTGAAGCAATCTGTGCAAATCAGTGCCTAGCAATTCGGTTACGAAATAACTACACTACAGGTCATTACAAGCACTATTTTGTGTTACGAGTATTACAAAAAAAAAACTTACATATCTTCTAAGGGAGAAATGAAAATATCGCTCAGGCTGATAATCTATTCCATATCATATAAGAACTCAAATCCACAATGCCTGTTATTTCTCATCCATACATTTTCATGGCGAAGTGCCTTCAACAGCTTTAGTTCACGATAAGTACGCTTGGCCAACACTGGGGCAGAGAAAGGCTTCATGATCTTCTTGATGGCAACATTCATACCAGTCAACTGGTCCTTGGAAGAGCTACACATACAAGTAGCAGCATTTAATATAGACATCAAGCTTGCCTTTCTTCACTTACCACACAAGGCCAAAAGCACCCATACCCACAGGTTGCAAGTCAACATATCTAAACAATGTTATTACGTGTTAACTCGTATAGGAAGAATGATTACAAATATAGTTAGCTACCTTGTTGTTACTTCAAATACAGTGCCAAAGATGGAGAGTTTGACGAATTCTGCCATTTTCTTTCGTTTATTTCAAGGGAAAACAGTAGTAAACAAGAGAAAAGAAAGAGAAAAAAGAAATCATCAAGCACTCTTTTTGATGTGTTGAGATCCCGCAAGTAGAGTGGCAAAAAACCTTCCAGACCTTCACTGCGCTCCACTGCGCAACACGGCTTGTTCTCTCTCTTCTCTTCTCAATTCCAATGTCAGTGTATTGCTCATTTTACAGTTGCTATCTGATCCGATCCCTAAAAGAAGGCCAGCAAAATAAAGTCTATGTGGGATCAACGCCAAATCCCATCCGACGTCTAAGGCAGCATAATGGCGAACTTACTCAGGGTGCTTATCGAACCAAAAGACATAGACCTTGGTATATTTATAAAAGCATCAATGACGCTCGATGGCCTCATTCTCATAAAAAAGTGTCACCCATTAGGCAATATGTCATGATTGTCCATGGATTTCCTTCAAAGATACATGCTCTGCAATTCGAGTGTGCTTGGCAAAAGCCTCTTGTGAGTCGTCATACAAAGATCATTGATACTGAATTGAAGTCTCGATTGCAAGAGAATACGAAGAAATCCAATCTGATGCTCACCAAGATGTGGGCAGCGCAGATGCTTCTTAATACAAAGCCATTTTCTTTGCTTCCACTTAAAATTCGCTTTGTGCTGCCAAATTTACAATCATTGTTCCTAGAACATGTTACATTGCCACCGCAGATCACTTGTTCTCTTGGGCCAGTGGATGAGCTACTCCGTGACGCAAAGGAACATGGTATCTATGGCACTTTTCGACGTCGAGAGCATTGGTCTACTCACTGACTATATATATATAGACACTGAAGTTTTGACAAGATTTGGGCTGTCAAGGAACACAGATGGTTCTAAACATTGCTTTCTATGCCCCAAGACATTACTAGACGTAATTGGCAAGATCAAGATAGTGATATGTACATACGTTTGCTGACACATCTGACACTATAGGAAGATACGATAGACTATGTGGAATGCTCCGAGTGCTATGCGATGAAAAGCCATGTCCTGTGTTTGGCAGCAAAATGGACTCCGTTATTGGAACTGATACCTGTGATGGGAGAGTGTCCAAACTGTAATTCTACACTGCTATGGGGTGACCTCATCCAGAACCTCAAATTGAAAAACTCGAGCATGTCAGGTCAGAACAGAGTTCAGGAAGATGTCGATGAAACAATGGACGATGATTTCTCGACCGCCTCCACATCAACCATTAGCTTAAATTGAATCACAAAACATGCCACTCAATATGATTTTGCATGACTCTAATCATATTCATGACCCCTCTCTATACAGCTGCCTACTCTCGTAATACACACAAGATTTCAACCATGCAGCAACCAATCCACTAGATCTACTGTCAATATTTGGATGAAAATAAACATGTTTTCATAAATGAGAGCGTGGTGCTGATATTCATGGTAGGGTTGTAGAAATAATGCCATCTAGAAGGCATGAACCTGGAGCTATTTGGACCCGAATGTATCGCTAACATTGAGGTACAAATGTCATGGCATGGAATCCCAAGTATATGATACACTTTCTTTGCCTAACTGATGTATTAGCATCGTTGAACTTTGGTGAACGATGAACGCGACTTCAATGCAAAAGCTGCATCTGTCAATAATATGAAATCGCTAATTGTTGACAGAAGACGATGTTGAATATGAATTATCAAATGTTCCTAACACGGAAAAACAACTGAGAGTGGCAGTGGCCTTTATTTTGGGGTATGAAACTTCTGGATCCCTTGTACGCAACGTGAAGTTTTTATGACAGTTTTAGACTAGTTAATTTTGGACGCTAGTCAGTATATTCGAAGCTAAACGAAAAGCCACAATTGAAAAATGGGTACGGTCGTGTAACTCTTCACATCGTCATTGGGTTGTTGCACTATGGAATACAAACTGCGTTGGAATGTTTCGGTCTATTGTGCCTTTTCTGATATCGCTAAATGGAAGGTTTCATGTTGAACATCCAGAACTCCTGTTTCGAATGGATACTAGATGCGTTCAGCATTGCCAACAGGCAGGAAACGTATAGACTGGTTGGTACCTTGGATATTTATAGAGCAAGATGGGACACAAACGTCACTAATTTGCTAACATTGGAGAGCGCAATGCTTTAGAAAATGAGACGCTGCTTTTTTTTTTTTTATTGCGGAGTGCTTGATTTCAAGCAGCATGCTTCTCAACATTTGATCTAAAAAGAGCTTGCATTTTTCTCGTAATGAGATGCCACCAAGTCAAATGTTGAATTCATCCCAAATGATAAATGTTGATCAGCCCAAGCAATGACTGTCTGCTCTAGACTTTTTTTTTTTTTCACGGGTCTGCACTTTTGAAAAGATAAAGATTCAAACACTCGTCTTTATGCCTATCTTTGAATGACAACTAGATGTATAATCAATGTCTCATGTATAAAGCGGATAAACGAAAAAGATTACTATCTGTTTACCTCCCTTAATGTGACTAAATAAGAAGGATCTACTGCGGAACAAGTTGTACAAGATACAAAGATAACTACTTCATAGAGCAAGGAGAGAAGGAGGTGTCGGTCCTATTACGCTACAGAGATTGGACCCACATCATCACCAACCTGCGCAGAGTATTAGCAGTAGAGGTAGAGTGTCAATTGCAAGCCAATGAAAACTTTTAAGCGCAAGAGTCACAGATCGGTTTTAGAGTGAAAAAAAAAAAAAAAAAGAAAAAAAGTTTTCAAGGATTAGTTATATTGGCAATTATAGATCGCATCTATTTCTTTCTTTATCTTTCTTTTACATTTTTCACATTTATAAAAGAATATTCAAATCATGAGTGCCAACATCTCTGCATCCAAGGCTAAGCGTCTCGCAGCTAGAGCTGCCAAGAAGGGAACTCCCAAGTCCTCTGGAAAGAACACACCCATCATGGCTTCTGAAAACAACTCATCTGAAGATTTAGGTGTCGACAATCTCAAAATCAGTACTGATCGTACTGCTACTGGTGTGTACACCTCTCAAGAGAGAAGCAGAGATATCAAGATTGATTCCTTCTCTCTCAACTTTCACGGTCGTGTGTTGATTGATAACGCTTCCATCGAACTCAATTTTGGTAGACGTTATGGTCTCATTGGTGCTAATGGTTCTGGTAAATCCACCTTCTTGGAATCTCTTGCTGGCCGTGATATCGAAATCCCTGAGCATATCGATGTAAGTATAGTCTAGATAAGGAAAAGGAGTGTTTGAGAGAAACTGGGTTTAGCTGACACCCGTGTCTGTAATGTAGATTTATCTTTTGAATCAAGAAGCTGAACCTTCTGATCAAAACGCTGTCGAAGCTGTCATTGCTTCTGCCCAAAAGGAAGTTGCTCGTCTTGAGAAGCAAGTTGAGGATATTCTCGGTGAGGAAGATGGAGGAGACAACCCATTGTTGGACGATATCTATGAACGTATTGAACAAATGGATCCTGCCACTTTCGAGACCAGAGCCTGTACTTTGTTGGCTGGTTTAGGTTTCGATTCCAAGCAAATGAAGAAGATGACCAAGGACATGTCTGGTGGTTGGAGAATGCGTGTTGCTCTTGCTCGTGCTCTTTTCATTAAGCCTACCTTGTTGCTTTTGGATGAGCCTACTAACCATTTGGATTTGGAAGCTACTGTCTGGCTCGAAGAATACTTGAAGACCTACGACCGTATTCTCGTCATCGTGTCTCACTCTCAAGATTTCTTGAATGGTGTCTGTTCCAACATGATGCACTTGACCCACAAGCGTAAGCTTATCTACTATGGTGGTAACTACGATATGTTTGTCAAGACCAAGGAAGAAAACGAAGTCAACCAAGCCAAGGCCTACGCCAAGCAACAAGAAGAAATTGCTCACATCAAGAAGTTCATTGCTTCCGCTGGTACTTACGCCAATTTGGTCAGACAAGCCAAGTCCAAGCAAAAGATCATTGACAAGATGGAGGCTGCTGGTCTCATCGAAAAGGTCGAGAACCCCTTGGCTTTCAAGTTCTCCTTCACCGATGTCCCCAAGCTCCCCCCTCCCGTCCTTGCCTTCCAAGATGTCTCTTTTGCTTATGATGGTAAGATGGAGAACTGCCTTTACAGAAACCTCGAGTTGGGTGTTGATATGGATTCTCGTATCGCCTTGGTCGGTCCCAATGGTGCTGGTAAGTCTACTTTGCTCAAGTTGATGGATAACGAGCTCGTCCCCACTGGTGGTCGTGTTCAAAAGCACACTGCCTTGAAGCTCGGTAAATACTCCCAACACTCCAACGATCAACTCGATAACAACCTTTCTGCTATCGATTACATGCGTAACAAGTTCCCTGGTGAATCCACTGATCTCGAACACTGGCGTCGTCAACTTGGTCGTTATGGTTTGACCGGTGCTCATCAAACATCTCTTATCAGTACTCTCTCTGATGGTCTCAAGTCTCGTCTTGTGTTTGCTGAATTAGCTGTCCTCCGTCCTCACATCATTTTGTTGGATGAACCTACCAATCACTTGGATATGGAGTCTATCGACTCCCTCGCCGATGCCATTAACCGTTTCTCTGGTGGTGTTGTGCTTGTTTCTCACGATTTCCGTTTGATTTCTCAAGTTGCCAAGGAGATCTGGCGTTGTGAAAATGGCCATGTCAAGCCTTTCGAAGGCACCATTGCCGGTTACAAGGAACTGCTCAGAAAGAATGTCAAGTTGTAAATTTCTTCAATCTATTTTTTATATATATTTTTCTCTTGTTTTTTTTTTCTCTTATTCCAATCCATATATTCTTTTTCTTCACAACCTCGCCTCCCTCCCTTCCCTCTGCTCTACGTAAATTAATTAAATCAAAACCTTTTTTCTGGGCACAACAAAAGTGTTATCCTTCTTTTTTTTTCACAAAAAAAAATGAATAAAATACAATTTAGATGATATTAGAACAAAAAGCATAAAGGAATAGCCATGAGAGCTTTATTTTCAAGGTTTACGATGCACACAGCCTAACAGTGCACTTTCGACCTTTCAGCATGACTTGGATAAATGTTACACTCCACAAGTGTGCCTAATAAGTGTATTAGATCGCGAACTGATAAGCAATCGCAAACAATGCCTTGAATGCCTGCAAAAATAAATAAACATTTGTATTGCGAATATCTGTACAGGAACACCACAAATCAATCTTGAAAGAAGAATAGCAGAGGAAATCAAGAATGTAAGTTAGGTTTCAAACATTCTAGCTTAGATTCAAAGCTTTAACTTGAACTTGGATCCCATCGACTTGAGTTTCTCTTGTTTTTACACTCTTGACAAGAATGAAACTGTTGCTCTTTTCATATCTTTTACTTCAGATCAGGTCTCCGGTTTATGCTGCTGTTGCAGTACCGTCAAGAAACCATCATATTGAAAGTGTAATATAATGCTTAACTATTGATATCTATCAGTTTTTTCTCACATCACGCCCATGATATTAGAGTTTAGGGTCAATTACTAGTTTTGCTGATAGTATCTCTAGAGAAACACCATACTTTCATATTGATGAATATCCTGACGAACTGCTTGCCTCTTTAAGCGATGTCGCATCTCCTGGATCAAGTATAAGGAAACCAGAACCACTAAGATGTAGGTGACCAAATGGCATGTTATGGTGTAATACTTACCATTGCCATATTTGGTACCAACAAGTGGATATACCTGTCACCTGTAACGCTTCAGCATCTGTCTACACAACCACATTTATACCCACGCCAGGCCCATTTGGCATATACACCATCACAACAACCAAGACAGAGACAATTCCCCTCACAACAACTACTGCAACAACAACCGTTACAAGGACAATTACAACAGACGGATTTGACTTATTTGGGCAAAAGAAAACAACAACGCTATTCAATACAACCACTGTATTTAGCAACTTCACAACGACTCAAACAGCTACTTCTTTTACAACAATCATTAGTACGAAATCAGCTGCTACAGCAACTCCTACCACAGAATATATCACCGTAACCCCTAGCCAAGAATACGTTACAGTTATATCCACGCAAAGCAAAGAAACTGTAACAACCACAGCTATACCGAATAGAGAGTACATCACCATTATATCGACACCTAGCAAGGAATACGTCACTATAACTGCCACGCCCAATAAAGAGTTTGTTACGATTACTGCTACCCCTAGTAAAGAGTATATCACTATAACTGCAAACCCACAAACAATAACGACAACGGCTACAACCACCAAAGCAGCAGGAGGCCTGTTTGATGGCCTGTTTGGTACCCAAATTACTGCAACTGGTGCGATCGCCAGCAGCCTCTGTAGCAACTTGGTTGTTACTGTAACGTCTGAGGCCAGCAAAGATGATGTTACAGTAATCGCGAGCCCTCAAAGCTTGACAACCACTGTAACTACTACGCAAACAGCAGGTGGCACCTTTGATGGTATTTTTGGAATGCAAACCACAGCTCCGGATTCTTCTGTCATTAACCTATTCAGCAATACGATAGAAGGAGGAGCCACCAAGACAATTACATTGAATAACACAACGACTAGAACAGAAACCAGCAGAATCAATGTAACAACCACGCAAACATTCATTTTGACAGAGATAATCACGACATCATATCCTATGCCACCTCTGCCTACTCAAACGACAATGCCTAGTCTTTCCATGTCTGACTCTCTCAACGTATTACGCGTCATTCTTAAAGTAATTCAAACACTACAAGGCGATAAACCACAATTCAATCCTGTTTTAGAACTGATCAAGGCAGTAATTGAGCAAGCCATCAAACAAGACGACGACAAGAACGTGCAGGCTGCTTTATCGTTTGTGTTTGACCTCATACAAAAGAACAGCTCGCAAGCTAGCATTAACAAGCCATTTCCTTTCACTAAAAGGTTAATAATGAAGGATGATTTCAAGACCCAAGCGAGAGAGTGGTTGGCAAACCAATTTATTGATACGTTATAGACTTTACATTAGAATAAAGACCTCTGGTCCACGAGATTCATCAAAAGTAATTGTCGTTCTTTGTAGATTGATGTGGGCGTTTAGTGATGGAGACCCGATTCGCCTTGCACTGTTGAGCATTGTCAATCCAAATTTTATGCAGCATTTGTACATCACAATTGCCATTTTCTGATAATAGAATTATCATATCATTCGCTGCTGCTGATGCTCTCAATAAGATGACGACATAGAGCTGGTCATAAGTCAATACAGGACTTGTGTAAGCTCTACAGCGACTTTTTTTTTGAGATATTGTCATTGCAAAAGACACCTTCATGGGGCTGAGCTACCCCAAAAAAAAGAATTTGGGCTAAGCAATTGTCCTTTCGATTCCATGATCCCCATTTAATCAGCATCGCAATCAGCATTGTCATCAACAACAGAAAAGGCATTTAGGTCAGCCAGCAGCGAGCCGCCGCCAAAACTCATTCAAACTCAGATTACTCTTTTCTGCTCAAGATTGGACAGATATTGTCTATTTTCGACTTCTTTAATCTACTTTGCGATGTTTGACTATATAATCTGTAATAATCACCCTATGCTTCCTAATGTATTCTTAAAGTACTTTTCAAGGCGCTTCCAATGGTGCTAATTGTAATAAATGTTTTGACTGAAATTATTGAGTAATTTGGTTAAATATGAAATGAGGTTTTTAGCGAAAATAGCCATATTTTGCATATGAACACCTCATAATAATAATTTCAGAGGTTGCTTCGGCTCGAGAGAAACATTTTGATTTGATATATACCATAGTAAAAGTCTTTATTTTCAAGGTGAAAAATGCGATCGTTTGATTTTCGAAGAAAACCATGAGGTACTACTCATGCTTTTTGGTCGAATTTTGGTCATATTTTTTTTGTTTTACCCAAAAAGTTGAGCAAAGGTGTCAGGAAGTTACTACTACTCAAGTACAATTGTTTGGCATTATTCCGGTGGCTCACAGTGGCCTACATGTTAAGGTATGAAGGCTTGAAAGCTGTCAAATTTGGTTATGTATTGCTTTCTAGAGTTTATTTACACGGCATGAATTACATCTTTGGTAGCCGCAATCTACTGGAAAGGCAGTTCTGTAGTTTGAGCAATTTTTAATTCGAATAGGAGGCATATTGATTTTGGTAAAGCTGATTCATGCAAATTTTGATGCGCTATGTGGTTGGTAAGCTTGTTAACAATGGAAATGAAACCCCCCTATAAATCAATGCTATCAAGTGTTAAATTAGACGCGTTATGTTCTTCCCCCCCCCCAAACACCCCTCCCCAATGCCGGCTTCAATCACCTTGTACGGTACTCGATTCTTTTAATTTTTGAAAGGATATGAATGTTTTACAGTGTATATATAGTGAAGATGTTGAATGCCGTAGCTTATTGCATGAACAAAATAAAAAAAACCCCCCTTTTCGCATCAAGCAAGAAAAGCCTTGTAGAAATCTTGGACAATGATACGATTTCATCCAGAGAGGAAAATATGGTTTGTTATTATTCAATGATGCGTAGTCATTTACGTTTACCGTACTCAGAGGAACATTTGGGTGAACCGCTTCTGGTAATGGCACAATGGTCATGATGATGATTGCGATTAGGTCACTAGACAGTGAAACGTCAATGAAAAGACGTATTCCCATTGTTTATTTAATGAGCCAACACACACACACACACACTGTACCACACTATGCAAGGATAAACAATGACAAAAAATGAGGGGGAGAAACGTACATTACAACACATGCAGTGCACAGCAAGGTATGATGGAGAAGAATGAGATGCCATGTTGAACGTAATTGGAGGCTATTATTCATGCCAGTTGCTACTACAGGAACGACATGATCAATCTTGCTCATGAATTACAAGAAACAGAGCATTCCTAGTCATTAGATTCATGACTACCTGCCCAAACTTGGCCAAACTCGTTCTCAATGAAGCATATGACAGATGCTCATTGTACGGTTGCAAAAAGTGAACTCTGAAGGAATATTAGGGGAGTTGCTTTAGAATTGCTATATCATGGACTTGACCTTTACCCATGTCGAGTCTTCTATAGGTGCTTTACGTGAAAATCATGCCAGAAATCAGACATGTAGCTCTACAGTCATATGTTATGTTTTTTTTCCCATCCACCAAGATGATAATTTATAATCTTTTATCATTCCGCTTCCAAATAGGGCATTCAACAGCCTTTGGATGAAATCTTATCTATCTGTTTCTGGTCTAAAAAAAAAGCGATAAAGATCTTGGAAAAAAACTTTCTTTTTACTTGCTCTTTTTTTTCCGGCTACATTTCATACAACACATCTCCTTTTTTTTTATGTTGCGTAACTTGAGCAGAACCATCAAATTCAACAAGAATCAAGTTCGTGCTTTTCATGATTGCCCAGCAAATGCTATTCAACCATTACGACTGTTATTAATCGGCTGTCCCGTAAGTAATATTCGCAAGACATCTAAGCAGTAGTGATTCACACTAGCATTAGGGCTCTGGAAAGGGAACACAGTCTAGTAGATTGGAAAAGAACTTTGGTGTTGCTCATTTATCCAGTGGTGATTTGCTTAGAAAAAACATTACAGAACAAACGGCCTTGGGACAACAAGCTCAACAATATGTCACAGATGGCAAGTTGGTCCCAGATGACTTGCTCATCTCCCTGATTGATTCTGAACTACTAAATGTTGGCAACACAGTAAGTAGAGTGCAATGCAGCCGTATAATGGCCCTCATTGTCTAATGATATTTCACTTTAGAACTGGCTCTTGGATGGATTTCCTAGAACGATTCATCAAGCAGAGGCCTTGGATGCTACATTGAACAAATTAATGCAGCCATTGAATTTGGTCATTAATTTACAAGTGCCCGAGGATGTCATTTTGCAGCGAATCATGGATCGTTGGATCCACATCCCTTCTGGTAGAGTCTACAATCTATCCTACAACCCACCTCGTGTACCTGGTTTAGATGATGTTACAGGTGAGCCATTGTCAAAGAGACCAGATGACACGCCTGAGGTGTTCAAGGTGCGTCTTGATCAACACCACGCTATGGCTACTCCTTTATTGGATCATTATCATGATGTCGTTGTGAATGTCAAGGGAAATACAAGTGATGAGATCTATCCCCAGATCGAAAGCGAAATCGTCAATCGCCTTGGTGTCTTGCCAGGCTCCATGCCAGAGGCCTTTTCCATTGCTTCTTTGAGACAAAGATTTCAACAAACGGCAACAGCGGCGGCGATGACATTTGTTGATGCGAATGAAGAAGAAGTTGAAGAGATGGCCATTGGTGCTAGTAATTAAGTAGCCATCTTTTATATTTATTTATATATATATATAATCCTTTTACGTTTGTACATATAGCCCGTAGCTTATATGTCATTTTTCTTTTTCTTGTTTACCCTCGCTACACAATCGTGCACAAAACTTGTCTATAAAATCATCATGTTAGCGCCCTACTATATATACACAAAAACCTTTTTTTTATGCATTATCAGGATAGAACTACCAAGGGGTCCAAACAAATAATGCTTACTAAACAATAATAATAAAAAAAAAAGGGATAAAAATCAAACCTTTTGCAATGGCTTTGTCAGAGAGCGTAAAAGACAATGTCAAGAGAAATGAGATCTACTAGTAAATAAAACTTTTATTCTGTTTCCTCAATACAGGGCACATAGTGTGAAAACGTCCTGTTGTGGCACAATATAAACTTGTCTAATGCACAGAATAATGTGATTTAATGATGGGTGGCCTTTTTTCAATATGAAAAATCTAAAGCATGCATGAAACGACAGAGGAGATGTAGAGAATATTAAAAAAGATTACTATAAATACAGTGAATAATGTGAACCAGACGGCCTCTTATTGCTTAGCAAGACTACTAGCAGGAGTAAAGGCTGTTGCACCAGAGCCACTCGCATCAGATTCACCAGATGCAGTAATACGTCTGTTTGCATCCACCAGAATTTGTGTTTCATGCTCATCCAAGTCAGATACAGCGGATACTCGAAGAAGACAGGGAAGACAGCAGCCGGAGCAGCATAAAAAGAAAGACTACAGACAATGTTAGTATAAAGTCTATTTGGTATACGAAACACTTACAAAGACTATAAATAATGGCACAAACACATTGGACATTTTTATAAATAGATATCCATCTAATCTTCTTGCAATCAACCCAACCAAAGCGTAGAACAAGATACCGACAATGACAAACGCTACTGCTCCTGCCAATACTGTCACTTTACCTTGATGTGCAACATCGGGCTGAGGCATTCTTGAATACACTCGATAACGATACACCAGCTCCAGAGCCCACTTTAGGCCCACAAGATACTGCGGAATAAACACGATACCCCAGGAGCATTGGATGACTTGATCAATACGCAGAGGAATTAGCAAAAACAAGGAAAACCGCAATGCACTGAGCCAGAACTGCTTGAACAAAAATGACGGCATTCTGCTTGACTCGTTCAAGGATCTCAATGCTAAGCAGCCCACAAGTGCTTTGGTGCAATTGACACAAAATTGGATCCCTTCATATACAAAATAAGGGATAAACACCTGGCATGCTGTCCACATTACCTTGCCATCCAGTCGTATCACAATAAATATCTGAAATAATAGTGCCAGTATAAAGTTTAGCATAAAAATAGAATGCTTGGCTATTTTCATATGTCGATTGTGCTGCTGGGGTCGTTGGTTGGTATGCTCTTCCTTGTCTCTCGGATCCATAGCGCTGTTCTCTTGGTCGTCTTGCCTGTCCTTGTGCTTTAGCATGTATTGAATGATGCTGTAGAATGCAAACAGGTTGAGAATCCAGGCTGGGATCCACACTACGGACCATGACCACAAAACAAGCTCATCGATACGCACCGTCAGAAAAGCAAAAAAGAGGATTGCCAATGAGAATAACAAAGAGATTGACATCAATAGGGTGCACAGCATCGACTCTACTTGTGGATCGAACAGAGGACTCACGACGGTGTCCATCATCTGTAAGCCGAGCTCTCCATATTTATCGTACACTCTTCTCTTTTGTTCGTCTCCAAGCACTTCATACGCGTGGCTGATTTCTTTAAACTAACAAGGACTGTGTTATGATACAACATGTTGACAGATGGGGGCATGCTATACGTTACTTGATCTGCGCTGTTGGGGTTTTTGTCAGGGTGGTATCGTAATGCCAATTTTCGATAGGCCTAGCGTAGTTGGAAGATGTCAATGACCCGAGCAATTTGATAAGTCCATGATGTGCTATACTTTTTTGATCTCGTCAGCAGTGGCTGATTTAGATATACCCAATGTCTCGTAAAGGTTTGTCGTTGTATCTGCGGTTTCCATCAAATAAAATAGAATTAAAAAAAAAAATGAGCTGAATCGAGAAGAAAAGGAAAAAATAAACCACCAAACTTTCTACAGATAAAATAGCCAGAATTGAACAAAGCCTCATCAACATGATCCAGAAAGTAATGTGTTTATTGTTATGGCTGCTGCATTATGCATTTGAACTCAGTGCCTGTATAATGATGCGGCAGCCATGTTACATACGACATATGGAAACGCACCTCCTTAACAATTAATCGACAATGAACTTTTGTTCCAATACAGCAAATTCCTCGTAAAATGCCTAGTAATGTACATTAGATGATGCCCTGCAAGCACATGCCCAAGACTTACTCTTAACAAATCAATGCCATGCTTCACATCATCAGTGCCACCCGTCTCACGAATAGAGTGCATACTCAATTGAGGATTACCGATATCTACAGTCGAAGAATTAATCAGCATAACAAATATCCACAGCATTTTTCGCCTGTATAGAGCTTCCCCCTCCCAGCTTTTCCCTCCCCCTTTTTCTCCCCCCCCCTTCAATTTTAATATGTATGTATATACTTTACCAACTGTACGGAGGCCAAGCTTAGCACTCAACATGGGACCGATAGTAGAGCCACAGCTGGAATCATTACGCACAACAAATTCCTTGAGTGTTAAATGTGAGTCAATCAACATGTCAAACCATACGAATTGCAAATCGGTACCTGGATAGGGATTTGGTGCTTCTTTGCTAATTCTTTCAATACCAAACTTGTAATGGCAGTAGTGGCATAACGTTGGTTGGCATTGATCTTGATAACGGTACCCTTGTGCATTTCAGGACGATGGTTCTCTTCGTGCTTATCAGCATAGTTGGGGTTGATGGCGTGTGCCATATCCGCACTCACCAAGATACTCTTGTGAATAGCCTCTTCAAAAGCTGTTGAAGAAACATCCTTGACGGCATCAAGGACATGTGTATTGGCCAAACGTTGAAGAGTGACAGGCAAGAGATTGGAATCAGCGCCGTGAGCTGTCATGGATCCAACTTCTTCATTATCAAACAAAGCGGCAATACGGATGTTGCTATCGTTTTCAATGTCCTTGGCTTGTGTCAATGCAATGATGGAGCAGTAGGACATCTCGAGGTTATCAAGGCGAGGAGAAAAGATGAATTCGTTGCAAGCACCACCAATAACGGATTTTTGAGTGTCGTACACAGCCAGTTCGAAATCACGAATTTGGTGAGCTATATTGAAAGGTCAAGAGCAAGATGAGCAATCATAGAGTGGATGAAGGAGGGCATCAACATACGCTTAATGTTCATTTCATCAGCCAAGATCCTGATCAATAAAGGATGATGGTTTGCCTCGGCTTCAACGCCTTCAGTAGCTTCAATGCCAGATAATTGGCTATATACATATGTTAGTGCTCTATGATCCATGCACATCTCACTCAACTTACGCCTTGGCAGCAGTGGCAAGAATGGGAGCCAGCTGGGTCTCCTTGTTGAATGCAAAACTGTCATTAGCTGTGCGATCCAAGTGAATGGCAAGAGTGGGGATACGCAAAATAGGTCTGTTTGATTGTATCATTGAGTGCTGCTGGAGCATGTAAGTCATTTCTGATTTCACGCTTTTACCTGTCAACCTTGACCAACGTGTGCTTGAAGGTGCCATCCTCCTGTTCAACAAGAACACGGCCAGCTACACTTAAATCTCTATCAAACCAAGTGTGCCTAACACATTTGTCAGAACAGAACGCTTGGCGTGCCATCCTACTACATACCAAATACCACCGCCATAAAGCTGAACTCCCACTTCCAAGTATCCAGACTTGTCCTTCTTGGAGATGGGTTTGATCTATGATAATGCCTTGAGTTTAATACAAGCTAAGGTATACGCAGATGAAATCTCTCTTACCTTGAGACAAGGAGAATCGGTGTGAGCGCCAATGATGGAGAAACCGTTTCCGGGATTGTACTTTCCACCGACTTCAAAAGCAACAATGGCAGAGCCATTACGGGTGAAAAAGTACTTGCCTTTGCGCTGAATCAAGCCATCATTCCAGCTATCGCGTTCCTTGATTTCCTTGAAACCTGCAGCCTTGAGGATCTCTGAGGCCTCAAAGGTAGCGTGGAAAGGGGAAGGGGACTTGTTGACAAACTCGATAAAGTCTTGAGCTATTTGCGTACAATGTCAGATTACCAGCTGCGTCCGGACGCTGGTTGTTGCTACAAACCTTCTTTAACTGCAGTTGGCTTGAACTGTTGAGAAACAGGGTGTTTAGTTGCAATTGATTGTATCCAAGTATCTCATTACCATAATGTGATTTACAGAACCGTGGTAAAAAAAAAAAAAAAAAAAATAAGCAAGAAAGTACAAAGCTTTTAAATAGTTGCCGCGAGCACGCGCACATGGAAGAATATGGGGTTACTTTTATCCATTTGTCAGAAATTGCCTTATCAAGTCAAATTATAAGCCGTTCAAGTTGACTATGGACATACAATGGACACAAGATGAGGAAACGCGTACTTGGATGGTACAAAAAACCACTGAATTCCTAGTAAAATGTATCAGTAAATGTTGAAAAACACGATACATCACTTGAAAGATCACTAGAATCAATCATCGCGCAAGATATCTGAAATGCTGGCCAAATCACTCAGATATACGCAGCAACATAAAACCGAATAACGTATACCGAGATCTACAACTATTGGCCTACTTTATTCTGAAGCTCTAATCGCGCCTATAGATTTGTAGCTGGTAGCTTTATATCAGTTGTTCCTGTGCAATATGTTGCAGCGGGGTGGAAACAGCATTTTCTTGATAGAGGTAGCACACAGATGCTATGCTTCACGCAAGCGAGAACCTAGAGCGACTCAAATGCTCAATGAAGTTTGCTGAGCTTCAAGAATTCACTCCAACCTCAAAATTTTATTCAACTCTGGGGCTCTCTGCTTGTCTAAAATACACAATTAAATACAATATGGACCGGTTAACACAATTACAGGATGCTATCGATGCTGTAAGAGAATGCCAGATAAAGTTCCCTGCACTAGTCATGTCTAAACTGCTGAATAGATGGCAAGGATGTTCACAAACAGTATATATTACGTGCACGAAAAGTCGGGCATGGCAGAACTCAACAAAGGCATACCCGTTGCTCAACCAAAAAGTACAACAACTCGACCATCGCATCATTCACCATTATACTGACGCTGTTCTTTATACTATTTAGTACAAGCAGACAAGCCAGAAGTGTTTCAAGGTACTAGATTGCAAAGATGCGCTAGAAAAAAAAAAAAAAAAGCTTGACATTGAATCATGAATAGACAATATGAAAGAGCTGGCGTCAGATTTAGTGAAAAAAGCCAAAGAAATCGATGCGCTCATAGAAGTTTTACCAGGAGTACAACAAACCGAAGAAGAGCAGGCATGATGACTCGACTTTATGACATTTGGAACACGATTATTTATGCGTTTGTTGATAGATCAATCTCTTGAAATCACTTGAAGAAGAAAATCGAATTGCAAATGAAGAATATGAAGCTGCAGTGAAAGAGATGGGTAAGGATTGTCATGTGAACATGTGCTACTAGCTTCATTGACACATTTCACCAGAACTTGTAAAGCAGCAGATAAACCAATCTTTACGAGCAATAGCGGATGAGCAAAGCCAATCTATGGAGGAAGATTAGATTCTTGTTTTTGCAAGTCAGTTGTTCGTTATTTCCCGTTAAAGCAACTTACATAAAGATAGATGTGGTATAAATCAATGCCTTTTTTTTTTTTTTTTTTTTTTTTCGCTTGTGTGTTTCTCTTTTTCTTTTTCTTTTTTCTCACCAAAAAAAAACATCACCATATTTTCTTTTGATTCGTCATGACAGACAAAGATAATAGCTTACATATACCAAACCTACATCCCGACCATCGAGGATCATCACCAGAAGGATCACCAAGCCAAGCAGCTGGCTATTTCCAGGATCCAGACGCTCAACTGAGCCAATCGTTTAAAGATCGTATTGAGACGTTTGTTGGCTCCTACTCGAGGACTTCCATGATGCACATGGCTGAAAACGTAATGGTTTCCGAAGGAGGAATGGTGAGTTTTGCATTGTATTCTAGTGAAATCAAACTGTAAACATATGGCAAATTATTGTAGACTGACGAAGAGGATGATTTTGATGCCACTTCTGCGCACTCAAGCTATTTACCCAGGTATGTATTGTGATCCCTATAATAGAATAAGTCCCCTTCTTGCTTCATCCCTCAACCCCCCCCCCCCTTCCTTTTCATGATTGTGCAACACAAATCCGTCCCACTTGGTATCATAGAAAACAAAAAGCGGATTCTCAATAGTAACCTTATTGGATGATATACCTCTAGATACCAAAATCAATCTACATCAAGGCGTAACTCGGAGGGGACTCTTCATGAACGAACGCCATTATTGTTCCCATCACTTCAGAAAGTGGATACCTGTGCAAGTATCATGACAGTAGCTGACAGCTACCCACAGCAGCATGTGATGGCAAAGAAATCTTCTTTTTTGCAGAGCATTTTCAATTCAATCAACATCCTGATTGGTGTTGGTATCCTGGCTTTACCGTTGGGTTTCAAGGTATGGTATATTCCTCGGGTATCAAAAAGATGGCAGGACATGGCGTATTTACAAGCTGTGCAATTAGAATGCTGGATGGGCCATTGGTCTCGTTGTATTCGCCTTTTGTTTTGGTCTTACCAATTACACTGCTAAATTGCTAGCCAAGTGTCTAGACGCTGATCCCGAAAGTCGAACATACGGTGATATGGGCTCGTTGGCTTTTGGCGTCAGGGGCAGAGTATTCATCTCGTTCCTGTTCCTTACAGAATTAATTACCTGCAGGTATGTGATCTCATTGCTCATTATTCATTGCAATCATCATACAACAACAGAAACAAGAAACTGATGCTTGAATTTTAAAAAAAAATACTAGTGTTGCACTGGTTGTCTTATTGAGCGATGGTATCGAAAGCTTATTTCCAGGACACGATCCCCTCTTTATTCGCTGTATTTCCTTTCTGATACTGACACCTACTTTGTTTATACCCATTCGCCATCTTTCGTATACAAGTTTGCTCGGTATACTCAGTATCTTTAGCTTGCTGGCAGTCATCTTGTATGATGGCTTATCAAAGCCGCATGCCCCTGGAAGTCTACATGAAATGGCAGCAGTAACGTATCATCTCCTTCAAGAACCTTATTTAGTAATCTGTATGCTTGTTTGTTCACACACCTCTGTATTTCCTAGGATGCCTCTGTATTGCCTGAGGATTGGATGGCCGTTCCAATGAGCTTTGGATTAATTATGGCGGGCTTTGCTGGCCATGCTGTCTTCCCAACCATCTATAGAGATATGGAATCACCAAAAGAGTATAAAAAGATGGTCAACTGTACCTATATTGTAACGGCCCTTGTGTACATGACGGTTGCAGCAAGTGGATATGCCATGTTTGGATCTGCAACAATGCAAGAGGTACAGTTATATAGCCGTGAGAGATATTTATCGAGTACAAATTTATAACCAAATACCCATCTAGATTACACAAAATCTTGTTACAATTCCAGAATATAATCAAACGTTGAACAGACTGGCTGTCTGGCTTATAGCCCTGAATCCAATTGCAAAGTACGGCTTAACCTTAAATCCCGTGGTATTGAGCTGGCAAATAGGATTAACAAGCAATCCTGCTATTGATGATTGGCTTAACAGAGGTGCTTGGAGAAAGCCTGCCGTAAAATCTCTAGGCGTCGTTCTGACATCTGCATTCATTGTTGTGTTGGCTGTGCTCTTGCCCAACTTTGATCAGATCATGTCATTGTTGGGAGCCCTCTTCTCATTTGTTATTTCTGGCATATTCCCATTGATGTGCCATTTGAAATTATTTAAGCGTACCATGTCTGCAAAAGAAACTGCATTAACTTATATTTTGTTATTCCTAGCATCTTCCTTGGCTATCATGGGTACCGTTAGAAGCTTCTTCTAGATTTGCCCTTTTCTCTCCCTTATTGCCTTTCACCTCATCTCTCTCTCACAATAAATCATTGAGATGCTAAAAAAGTACAGTTTATTAAATTATTGATTTATCCAGTTGTTTAATTCGTCAAATGTGTTTAAATCATTGGGAGTGGCAGTGTTATTAGTGTTGACATCTGGAGTGTGCGCTGATGCTGCTGCCGTGGAGGTATTAGTTGATGTAGAGCTGTGAATAGGTTGGGAGGTAAATACAGATTGTAAAGGTGCAGGTTGTTCTAATGATAATGATGCTTGATCCATGTGTATCAAGTTAGGTTGAGAAGTTTGTTGTTGCTGTTGCTGTTGCTGTTGCTGCTGAACGCTTTGCAGTTTGTTGTAAAGCTCCTGCTGGAATCTATCTCGAAACATGGGTGATATGGTCATCAGCAGATTTTCCATGCTTTCAAAGGGTGCTTCAAGGTGTGCTTGAACAGTATGCGCGGTGGACAGTGCAGGGTCTACATTACAAAGGGGAGAGCAGGATGTAACCTACCGATCGAGCGTCAATCCTCATTGTGTTTTGCCATTGATATATACGCTGTCCTACCTTGTATCCTTGATCAGTAACTTCTAATACAATCATCACACCTTCCAATAGTGTAAGGTCAAGACGCCCGATTCCATTCACTTCATCCCTGACAAAAACAGTAGCCGACCCAGGTACAATACCGTAGTCAAACTCTCTTGTGATGGCGTCCAATTCTGCGCTAAGCGAGCCAAGTCTCATCTCTTTACTGTGCTCTTATTATTGTATGATGGAGGAAGGAAAATTACCAAATTACAAGGAAAAAAATGTGACCAAATGGTCGTTAATGTGACTCGACCCAAACATTGCTGTTAGTTGCAGTGAGGTTCCTTTATCTAATAAGCAGCTTTGTGTAGCCTTTGATTCAGAGATCTTGACAGTTAAATGTAATTTGATTCGGAGGCGAGTTCATTGTATTCATTTGGCTTGCCTGTACCAGCGTTAGCAAATGCCGAAATAATGCAAACGCAATCCTCGAATTCCAAAATATCTTATGATTGACTTTGCATGTATCAGAGAGTATGCGATGAGCCTTAGTCTTTATTAGAATATGGTCAAGAATTACAATGAACGGGCCAACTAAGAAAAGTGAAGCCCCTGGTCTATGTTTGGCACAGCTTTCGTATTGGCTAACATTGCCACTTGTCTTTATTGTATCGCACTCAACCTGTATTGCGTTACCAATGAATACAATTATCTTCGTATTCAAATATATATAGGCCCTATTGATGCTTGTAGCCAACTGACACTGGTCGCTCCTCATAATTAATTGTAGGCAGTATATGCTCTGCTATGCTTATAACTGGTACAGGAAATACTGTAATAATATCATCCTCTGCAACATAGAATCAAATGCCAATAACAGCCTGTCAAGTTCAGCCCTTGTTGACATTGTCTCTCGACCCTTAGTTCACAAGAGCGTACTTTTTTTTTTTTGCATCTACTACTTTATAATAGGATGCTATAGTTTTGTTAGTCAAACATCAAGCAGGGACGAATCTTTCGACATAGTATACAACCATGCCGTACTGAAGCCAGTACTTACCAACATGAATAATCCAGAAAGAGAAGCATCGCAGGTGTCGAAACAAGGTCTTTTTTGTAGAACAAACAAAGGGAAACAAAATTCAATTAATACAGAAGTTAGGTTGACCTGGCAGCTGATTAAAGAAGAGCGTCCAAACATTGTTCTTTTTTTATATTGGTTTCGTTGCACTTTCTTCGCCTAATTATTTGACAACCAATGTAGCAACTGAAAATACGTTCATATGCTTAGAAAACCCTAAGAGTGGGTATGTAACGGTCCTAATATAAAGGCTCTCGCACCAGCATAGAGCTAGGAATAGCCGTTCCTCATCTTTCGGAAATTGCGCAACATACCAGGTTTAAACGTTTGCCACATTACAACAAAGCAAGATATAACCAAGCGGTTTTCAGTAAAGCGGTTTTCAGTAAAGCGGTTTTCAGTAAAGCGTTTTCCAACGTCTGGTCGATCAATCAATGGTGCGTGATACCTTGTACTTAACAGGTTGTTATATAAGACTCATTCTCAAAATTGGCCTATTTCGAAAATCCTCTATTTCTCTGCAATAAGCCATCCAACCACAAATTCAATTACACCATTGTCTTCTTCTCAAAACCAGTTCATCGGAACATACTACTCAAAATGCGAAAGCTTCCATATTCCAGAGCTGTATTCGGAGTGATTAAAGGCTCGAAAATATACAAACTTTTGTGCATCCAGGGTCTGATGTGGTGAGGCAAGCTACAGCACTCCACAGACATAAAATAAATGTGAATTTATGTCCAACTAAGCGTATTTAGCTGGAAACTAGATGACGGAAAGCGGAAAGGCCAAAATTAGAACCCAAGCAACAAGACATCTTTATGCTAGGAACATATATATAGCTCCAATTGGAAATCTTATTATAATCAAACAAAGCAAGCTACAACTGTCTAGTCTTTAAAATAAGATTTTCCGTCATGTCAAGTATCTACTGATAACTTGAAACTAGCAAGTTAATATGGCCTTTATCGTACGCTCCGATTTTTAAGATGCTCGGTCAAATACATACTTGTGTGATGTACACTTATGTAACGTCAACGGAGCTTCAATTTCTATTGTTCTGAATGATGATCCATAGGATTTCAAAACCTATCGACCTTAAAAGTACGTGTTTCTTGATAGTAAGTACCCCTTCAGACTTATATAAAACTCGTAGAGAGTTCAAAGGAAAATACAATGGTATTTATATCAAGTCTCTGATGTACATTGTTCACCTAATATTTGGTACGATTGTTTTTGCAATTTTTTTGACTGTTTTCTAAAGATTAATCAGTATCTGTTATCAAAACATTTTGTTAAGCATTACTAAACGTTGTAGACCAAAAAAATTCCTATCGAATGAGCTATTGCTTGAAGTTTTGGCATAATTATTTCATGAAAAATTGACAATATGGTCCTGACCAAAAAATCGTCGCCAGATTTTTTGCTTGCTATCACAGGCAGATTTTGAAGAAAAATCCATGATTTTGCACGATACCCTGTTTTGGCCGTATCTCGACAAATGCTCATCAGATCCGCACAAAACAAAGGCCATTCGATAGCTCTACGTTATATCTATCATTATGTGAGAGCTTTAGGTATCAGATGTATCTTCCCTTTATGAATTTGCTCAAAATCTTATATTTCATGAGCTACAAGCAGGGGATAATCAAAACTTTTTTTTATTTATCTATAATAACCATATTATCGTATAGAGAATTGAAAAAGAAACAGAAGCTATTATGCTTGAAGCTCTTGTTTACTTAGTAAAATCCAGAGGTATGGCCCTTTGAAAATCGGTCATCTGGAACATGTTCCGTCATTACTCATCCACATTACCATCAATAACCTCACATTAAACACGCCTTAATCAAAAAATGTACTCTCTACAACTTTCACTACACATACATCCCACATTTATATAATAGTTTAAAAAGTTCTATTAGTAGCATATACTCATATTTAATCATTTTCTAAAATCTCCATTTTCTCAACAACCATTCTACCTACGCAAATTTGGTTTGCAACATCGTATTCTAGCCAAAATCGGGGTCGTAAATTAATCAAAACTCCGAAATCGGTGTTGTAAAATGATTGTAGCCATTTCTTTTTTTGGGAGTTTTTATTTGGTCTGTGCTGATGGGCTGTTTAGGTTATTTTAAGAAAAGTTCAGATTGCCGTTATGTAAGTAATATTCTCTTTGAGAGGCATCTTTTTCTCTTGTATGATGGGATAGACTGTTAGGAGACGTCAACAACGGCTTCGTGCACTGAGCTATGAGAAGATTAAGTGTTGACTGTTGTTGGACATAAAATGCTGCCTTCTTGGTGCAAGAATCTTGAATTTGCAACTCTTTGCTTTCTTTCAGGAATATCAAGTTGTAAGTCTGTCTTGTAGGGTTGGTCAGAAATTTTTGCTCTACAGGGTATTGCATGTATGCCTCAGCTCAATGGTTGTGTATTCCGTCATTGACCATAACTTTACGTACCTCATTTGACATTTCCTCCATGAAAAATATGCAGAAGTTGACACGAGTAATGAAGAGTACCACAGTTGAAAAAGACTTGGCTTTTCTAATAAAAGTTAATAATCGCCACCTAGCCTATATTTTGTGAAGGAGGAAGCTGTTTTGCGTTTTCTCAGATGTGTGTAAGGCAAGTATGCTGGCATCGCACTTGTCAAAAGGGTAAAAAGGCCGAATTGAAGCAAGATTTGTAAATATATTTCTATCATCGTCTGAAATCTTACTTGTAAGATAACAATTCTTAGGTAGGCATTATATATTCCTTATATTATACATTCTATACATAAAAGAAAAAAAAAGACCTGTGCGTATCATTATAATACAAAAAAAAACAAGTTTATTTACTAGTTAGATATCACATATTCACAAAAAAAAAGAGAAACAAAAGAATACTATTTAGGGGCGCTTCCAGTAACTTCCAAATTACTAACATCTGCTTCTGATGTTGATGTCTTTGGTGGTACTGCTGCTGGTGTTGTTGACATTTCTGTTGTTGCTGTAGCCGCATTCTCTACCACAGTGGCACTATCAGTTTTGACTTGTTGTTGCAAAGTAGACGATAATTGTGTCGCTAGTTGCGGAGGCAGCTGTGCAATCGCTTGAGGTAATAATTGTGCTATAGAAGGTGGTAATGGATATTGCACAGGGTCCAGCAAATGCTGTCTTATTGTATTTTGCAGTTGTAGTTGTAGTTGTGCTTGAGCCTCTTGCTGTTGTTGCTTATGTTCAGGGGATACTTTTGTTGCTGATGCCTCTGATACCTCCGTTGAGATGTTATTTGATGTTTTAATAGATGCCGTCGTAGAGGAAGGGGGAGCAGCAGATGATAAGGGTTCAATCTGTGAAGTCGATGTATCGATTGATTCCTTCTGCAACGGGGATGCTGTCACTGGTGGTATCACAGTAGCCGGTTGGCCAGCATCTGGCATACTCTTATTTGTTTTAGTTGCTTCTTTGGTTGTAACTGTAGACATGGCAGTATCATCCTCGACATTGGTGGTGGCAACCTCCACGGCTGAGCCTGCTGTTTCCTCTTCCTCTTCTTCTTGGGGATCTTCTGAGTCTAACTTACTGTAATGGTGTTCCTTTTTTATCTTTTTCCGCGCGCTTTCTGCTGTGTCAGATTTATGTGCTTGTGCTGTCGCTTGCGATGATGATGACGAAGAAAGAGGAGCACCCGCTCTCTTATTACGTTTATAAACGCCATTCGTAAATTGGGTTTCAGCATTAGAGTCGATTGTCCAAAAAGCACCTTTGCCAGGTTCAGCATCACCTCGCGGCACTTTAACGAATGCTTTGTTGAGAGACAAATTATGCCGAATGGAGTTCTGGATAACAAACTGGTTAATTACAAAATGTTGTTTTGTAGGTCATCACTTACCTGCCAGCCATTCTGTGCCATTTGATAATAAGGGTAATTTGTAGTAATGTAATTGTAGATGCCATTCAAGGTCATTCGCTTGTCGCTGGAAGAGTTTATAGCTTGTGCAATCAATGAAGCGTAAGAATACGGTGGTTTGATATCTCTGTTGTTGTAAGGGTTGGCAGTCTCTGATGTTTCACTGTGGTGATCATTGTCGTCTTGTATTGAATTATCATCTCTATTATAGTCGTCATGCGCTGATGAAGAGGTTGATGTGTGGTTTTCCGTTGACTGTATGTTTGTCATTACTTTTTCTAGTTGATGTGGGGTCGATATGTATCCAAAATCGTCAATGTTGTGCTTTGGCGCATTATTACTTTTATTCGCGCTGTTATCAGGCTCTTTCTTGGGTAGTAAAAACACAAATGCCATTTCGCCAATCTGTATCTTGGTCCTATTATGCAAAGCGTCAGTTCACGCATGTACAAAATGACACATTTCAAAAATACTCTACTTGTTTTCTAGCGGCACAGTAACACCTCTTTCAACAAAACGTTCATTCACAAATGCACCGTTCTTGCCAAATACCATCAATTCAAATCGCTGCGATGAAAAGTTGTAAAAGAGTCGGGCATGTTGTCTGGAGACAGATTTGGTATTGCCTAATGGTATGTCCACGTTGTTGGGATTGGACACCTTTCTACCTAGAGATACTTGAAGTGTACGCATGTAGTAGCATAAATCTTCGCCTTCTAATTTCGCATATGCCTGAACTGATCCTGAGTCGATTGAGGCAACTATTGGCCCCTGAAGCGAGTTGTTGTCTTTGGATGCTGCAGGTGTTACTACGAGCTCAGAAACTGCTGAGGGTGTTGCAGTAGCTGTATCAAAAGAAGTCATGTATAATGTGTTCAAGTTGTATAGATTGCTTTAATGTCCAATGCTTGTCAACTACAGGCACATGTATTCGATTATCCAGTCGTTTTTGCCCCCGTAAGGTTTGCTCCTGTTGTATGTACTGTATATATGCACGAATTCAGTAATATACAGAAGAAACTATTGCAGGGTTGCTAATTAAATGCTGTAGTACCTGTAATAGGGATACAAGGGGAGAAGGGAGGACTAGATGGCTCTAAATTGGAAAGAGAGAATGTGGGATTCCGTGGCTTTTTTAATGGCATGATCCCTGGCAACCCAAATGCATGTAAAACTTGAATCAAGGCCGGCGTATTTGACTATACCCGGTCCGGGAAGCGAAAGATGTGCCTTGAAATGATGGCATGAATGCGTTTCAGGTTCTTCATTTTGGGACACCTGCTCTGATCTATTGGTCTCACATCGCTCAATTTTGAAGCTTCAATTAGCTCTACTAGTAAAAGTATTCTAAGCGCTTATAATAAATAGATGTTTATTGAATCCATATGATACAAGTTTCATTTTCATTTTACAATTTAGATGAAAGGCCTCTAGGTTGCATTCTTTCATAAGAGGCATTTGCCAAATGATCGACAGGATTAGCAACAAAATGATCCTTGATGTTTCGAATATCAACCATTTCAGGCTTGATGTCTTCAATACGAGTGACACCCATCAAACGCATGACCATCTCAAACTCATGCTAATATCATTTCAACGTTAGCTTCATCAAACAAGAGAGCTGTCTCATCCAACCATCAACATACCTGGAACAACTCCAACAGCTTTTCAACACCCTCAACACCATAAGCAGACATGGCGTACTACAAAAACAAAAAACGGGTAATCATTCATAAGTGTAAGTCTGTTTGCATGCGCATGTTATCGAAACACTTACCAAAAATGGACGCCCGATTCCAACACCTTTAGCACCAAGTGCAATGGCTTTAAAGATATCACTACCACGACGGACACCGCCATCGATATAAACTTCAAACCCTTTATCCAAGCCTTCTCGCTTCAAGGCCTCCATGGTCTCTGCCAAGATTTCAATAGAAGAAGGTGCAAAATCAAGTTGTCTACCACCGTGATTGGACAAGACAACACCTTGACATCCGTGCTTTGCAGCCAGAACAGCATCTTCAGGAGTTTGAATACCCTTGATAAGGATTGGCATTTTTGTAATAGATTTAAACCAAGCAACATCATCCCAACAGAGGGATGGATCAATGAAGCTACTGATAGCACGAGCAGCACCTTCATCTCGATTGACTTTTGTGGCATTACGAGCAATTTCATCGGGATCTTCTTGGGAATACTTTTGTCTCATATCTTTCTCACGACGACCTGTAAAACAGCACAAGGATTTAGTACATCACACACACACACACACACACACACACACACTTGCGGAAAATTTCCCTATTATTTTTTCCCCACATTTTTGTGTAATGAACCCTTACCTAATTGAGGAGCATCTGCTGTGATAAAGAGGCCTTTCATTCCCCTGGATTCAGCATGGCGAACAAACTTCTCGGATACCTCGCGATTGCCATTGACATACAGTTGAAGCCATTGCGTCTGACCAGGAGCGGCTGCATCGACAATCTCATCAAATGAACAAGAAGCTAATGTAGGAATCATTTGGATGATATTTCGATTTTTAGCAGCTTTTGTCAAGACAACCTCACCCTCAGGATGGCCCAGTTTACCAAGCGCAGTAGCAGTGATATATAAAGGCAGCGATGTGCGAGAACCAAGCATGGTGGTAGAGGCATCTACATTTTTGACATTGACCATGACGCGAGGGCGAAGCCAGATACGATGAAAGGCGTTGTGGTTTTCTCTCATGGAGATCTCATCATCGGCACCAGAAGAGTAGTAGGCCCAAGCATCAGGTTTTAAGACTGATTTGGCAACAGCTGGAAGAAAATAAAGTTAGGGTGATGTGAAAAAAAACAAGCAATCTTTGCCCTTACTTTCAAAATCAAACGAGTTGTACATCTCATCTATTCTAGGCATCTTCTCTCGAGCTAATCTAATCTTCTTGTCCTCTTCAGTTTCGACCTTGGGAATCTTGGAAAGGGCTTCTGCATCAATGGATCCCATACACACTTCAGGAGCAAGGAAACGCTGAATGATATCAGGAGGATGAATGGGCTCAAATGCACTGGTGGCATCTTTACCAGCGTACTTTAAGATAATCTTTTGTCCTCCAGGATGTTCAGGAAGAAAGTTGGTTAGATCATAGACTTTGCCATGAATAATGACCCAAATGTCATCTATTTATAGGAGGAAAATGGATCAGCTAGTGTGCTGCTTATTTTACAGTGCTAAACCTACCTTTAGTGTTGTGTTTGGCTACTTCCTGAGGCGAGATGACGCTCATGTTTATTGGTAATGATAAAGAGTTGGGAATAAAAAAGATGAGAACGAGAGAGAGAGAGAGAGAGAGAGAGAAAAGAGAAAAAGAGAAACTAGTGGGGTAAAATATATGATTGATTTTTCCTTTACAATTTTCTTAATACAGAATCTTTCTAAACTTTAAATCAGTTCAGTTTCATTCCCGAACGTCTCCGGGATATTGCACTATCTTGTGTATTATTCACATCCCAAAAAATCTCCTTTTAGTGATGTACAATAGCATCCTTATCAATGGGATGATAATACATTTAATATGATCTGATGTCTGGTTTTCATGGGAACTGATAGTAAATGGCAGCAGTGGCAGCAATGCAATATTCAATGAGCGCCTCTCTCTCCACCACCCCTTTTTCTTGATCATAGTGTCTATAGATGAGATTTCATAAGGGAATTCGTTATGATTTTCCTAAAACAACACAGTAAAATAGCAGCAGGTACATGTTTGCTAGCTGTTGGTATCAAAAGATGTCGCAGAGATTGATTTGATTGTCTAGAGAAATCTTGCGAATGTCCAATGTTCATTTGTGCAACATATTCTGGATAATGGAAACAGATCGCTGCCCTATGACATGCTAATGGTAGACTTGATGATTTGATATAGAAACGGTGCATATATATATATATATATATAAATATATAAATAAATATATATATATATATTTATTTTTTTGGTAAATGGAATGGCTGTGGAAAAAGAGAGTGAAAAAAAAAAAGTGTTGTGTTGTTGTTTATATTGTTGTTGAGAGAAGAGGAGGAAAAAAAGGGGGGGGGGTATGCTATCAATTAAATGAGAGATTAAAGAGAAGGTGTCATGTTGAGGAAAGTGAAGAAGAAACAGTAAAACGAATATAAAATAGTATTATTAATTTAGGCAGTAGAAGTGACAGCAAGGTTTGGATCTATCGAGTTATCCAACACCAATTGAACATCATCCACTACTGTCAAATCTTCCAAAAAGGCAACCAGATCAGTTAATTCGGTATCATGAGGGTCGTTGAACCATGTCGAAACAGGGACTGCATTGGATGTATGGAATATGTAGCTAGCTGGCGAGTTATCGAGGATCAATGTCGATGCGAGATTTCTTCCCAGTTGTGACAAATCCTAATTTAAGGAGAATTTCATAATTAGTCAAATTGCTCCATCTCTCTCTCTCTCTCTCTCTCTCTCTCTGTCCATCTATCTATGCTTCGTTCTTTCACTCTCACTCTCTTTCGCGCTCTTTTTATCTCCTTACCTTGACATAAGTCCCTTTATGATTAAAACATGATTCTCTGAATAATCGATGCTTAACCACTCTATGAATATCCAACATATCCAAAACTGGATCAGCGTACTAAGTGTGTGTGTGTGTGTGTGTGTGTGTTAGCTTTTGTAAAGTCTAATAAAATATATATACAAAATATACCTTGGCCAAACTAGCAGTGAATACTACAATTTCATATTTTTCGCCCATTTTGCGCATAAACTCATCCACACCAGGTCGTTTCAACACATAGACGTTATGATATTGGTTGTCGATTTCCACAGGCACAATAAAATCAGGATTTGGGATAATCTATTTTGAGATGATGAGAAGATTTTGACTCCTTTTATGTTTCTACAATGAATGCCACATTTACCTTGAACGAACTATGAACCAGCGTTTCATCGAGATCAAGCACAAGACACTTTCTTTCCTTGTCTTCACTGGCTAATGGAGGTAATAACCAAACAACAGGGCCCTATCATTTTCCATACACATGTATATAAGTATCCAAGCATGTACAACGCACACGTCAATGACAACTTACCACGGGAGAGGTTTGAGGAGGAAGCGAAATGGGAGAGGTCGAAGATTCATCAAGATCAGGATCAGTTGTATTTGTATTATTATTAATATTATTATAATTAGTAGGTGTAGTAGGTGTAGGTGTGGATGTCTTTACAGCGGCAGCAGCAGTGGAATCAGCAGGAAGTGTTGGATGATTAGATAGATTGTCTAATTCTGTTGGATTGGTAATGATTGGAGGAACTGGAATAACTTTATTGTTACTACTTTCAACTGCATTCGAGGATGTCTTTTCTTTTGTTTGTTGAGAGCTAGCACGACTATTTCTATTGGCATGTTTCTTTTGTTGCGAGAGAGATGATGATTTATCGCTGTTATCGAGAAAAGAACCTGCGCCTACAGTACAACATAACAACAAGGACAAGAATCCGCCCTTTTGAAATGGCTTGACTGAGCCCGTACCGCCGCCATTGTTTCCAGCATTTCTGCTCGTTGCAGTTGATGAAGGTCTATTGCCGTGATTGTTGTTGTTACTCTCAGCAGGTAAAGGAGACTTGACGTATTCGGGATCTACTTGCTTTTTGCCTTTTTCTAATATAAATTTAGTTATTTATTTTGTCCTACATCTCTCTTTTAAAAATTTTATACGAAATAGTACCTTTCTTTGCTTGCTGCTGCTGAGAGGGTTGCTGCTGCTGCTGCTGTTGCTGCTGCTGTTGAGGAGCCACTTGGGCATTTGTGGTTGTGGTGCCAGAGGGACTCACATTTTTTGCTTCTTCCGAACTCACCGTGGTCGTGGTTGCTGTCTCTGTTTGCGACATGTTTCTCTATTGACGATGCTGCTGCTGCTGTTACAGTAGTTGTTGCTGTTGCAATCGTGTTTTGATGAAAAAAAAAAAGGGTGTATGGAGTTCCTTGATTTTCAAATATGAAAGAAAAAAAGTTTCCTCGTTATAAATAGAGCAAGATCCTATGACAAATTCTCAAGATGTATCTCTTTCTCTACGTATCTGGCACAAGAGAGATAGGATGACGAATAAGATGCAAGGGAAAGAAGAGCAAGAAAAGAAAGTGAGAAAAAGAGGAGGGGGGAAAAAAGTGAAAGAGAAAGGAAAGAGGGAAATAAGAGGAAAAGGAAAAAACCAAGAGGGAAATAACCCAAAGAAAATTTGCTGAAGAACATTCATCACGTGTCTGTGGTCCACATTTGGGAGATTTAGTAAAAGAGGAAACAAACGTACATTTGTTCAATCTATTAAGCGTAACATTGGTAGTCTTCCGTGTTCACATATCAGCTAATCCATCGATTTCCACAACACATTTGCATGCAAAAGCAGGGCATTTGGTTCATACAATTTGATAGAATCAATTTCAGAATCAAACGATAGTGAAATATGGCGGCTACTTAATCCCTCCCAACCTACCCAAGCACGCCCTCTCGTTGAAAAAGAGAAAATATTTTCTTTTGCACTCTCTTTTTTTTACTCAATTATTACCGTATATTCTCGTGTAATAAATTGCACGCTGTAAACAAGGGCTTTTAAACCATCAGACAAGCCTGCTTGATTGTATACACCATCCAGAAAGAAAATTAGACTCCAATTTGAACGGTTCAAGATGAACTTCAACCTACCTGATATTCAGAATTTACGGAACAATATTGATTTTTGCTCAATTGCTCAGTTCTTTCATACGTTTGCACCGGCATTTGGTCCATGGCCATCCACCGCTCAAGACATCCTCTATGCGCGTCCCATTGACCCCAACAACGAGTATGTGTTTGAGACAGAGGTAGGTTTGCACATTGTTTATATCAAATGTGTGCTACAATTGATCTCATATTTTGCATAATATTTGCAGGATTTAGAACGAATGCTGCTGGAAACATCCGAAAGAATCAGACTAGAGGATATGTTTGTCAGGATGCTGCGTCTAGTGACAAGAAATAGATTTATAAAGTATGATGTCGATGCTTGATTGAGAGAGAGAGAGAGGGATACTTATCATGTGTATACAGTTCTTCTAATTGGCAAACTTACTACTCGAAAGAATTTGACAAGCGAGAATACGACCAGACAAATCCACTTGTAAAGCAACAGGAGGAAAAGGAAGAACCGACAGACCAGCAGTTGCCTGAAGAAAGCGCCGTGTCAGATGTCAAGAAGCCAGAACTCGTCAACTACTTTACACTGGACTTGGACACAAGAGTTCACCTGCTGCATTTACTTTGCGAGGTAGGTAGAGCATGGCTACGAATTTATCAGAGAGTAACCGCAGAAACAGTGGCAATTGGATGAACCAGAGAGATTCAGGGAACACTTGGATTCAGAAGAGGATGCTGTTCAATGGGTAAGTCAAAGCCGTAACTTTGTGGACGTATTCTCAACAAGAGTTATACATCAGCGTGTAGATCCTATTGGTTTCGATAAGAAAGGAAGCACTTTTTGGCTGTTTGATGGTAAGATGAGCGAAAAAGTGTATAATGAGCATGTTGATCTCATGGTTTTCGTTGCAGACAACAGATTGTACCAGGAAACACCAAAACCCAAACCTGTCAAGAAGTCAAATGCTCGCAACAAGAAACAGAAGCGTGCTGCGCCAGCGCCAGCACCGCCTACCAGAGCCTCGCGCAGAAGCACTAGATCGTCCGCCGTGCAAGAGGACCCAGAGCCTGTCAAGGAAGCAAAATTCGAAGAAGAAGAGAGCGAAGACGAAGGAGAGTGGATGCCGTGGAAATTGGTAATGCAAACTTAAATTACATGTATATGCAAATCACAGGATTGATGATTTGGTTCGATCTAGCTTTGTTATACAAAACACGAATGGGAGAATTTTCCAGCAAAGTATGCCAACAGCAAAAACATTGATGAACAGAGATTTTATCGATTGCTGGTGGACGATTTGCTTCCCAAAGTATTACCAGTTTTGGAAGAGCACGAGGAGAAGATTAGAAAGCAAGAAGCCATGATACATAGAAAGAGAAGTTCTCGAATCATGATCAAGGAATTAGAGGCGCTCGAAAGAGGGTCTGCTGAACCAGTTTTGGAAGACCCCTATTCCACTGGGGCAGGGGCTGCAGGGGGTCATGGTAGAGGTCGCTCCAACAGACTAGAGCAACGCGCTTTGGAAAAGGAACAACAAGAGAAGGAAGCGTTGGCTAAAGCACGAGAAGAGCGTCTGTTAGAGCGTGAAAGACGCATCATGGAGCGAGAGTACAGGGCATTAAAACGACAAGCGAGCGAAGATGCAGTGCCTGAACAGGCTCCAGTCGAGAATGGGCCGATTGTCATTGATGGCACGTCGCCATTGCCATCAAAGAAACCAAAAAAAGCCTCCAAGAAATCTGCAGCCAAGACAAAAACAACAGCAGCAGCAGCAACAGGAGATGCCGAGCAGAAACCTAAAAGAAAGTATGTCAAGAAGCCTAAATTTGACGAAAATGGCAATCCTATCCCCAGAAAAGTCAAATTAGATAAAGATGGCAATCCGATTCCACTCAAGAAACGAGGAAGGAAACCCAAGAACAGAGACGAGGATCATTGGCTGTTTGATTGTGTGTGTGGTGTTTCTGGAGAAAACATTGTAAGTGAAAGCATCGTACATGCATGTGTGTATACACGTCTAATCGAATGTCAAGGACGATGGTACGCCTTTAGTAGCATGTGAAAAGTGTGGTACATGGCAGCATATTGCTTGTTTGCAGAAATCAGGTCAGATTGCTCCATCTGAATCCATGGATAACCTCAAGTTTGTGTGTCAGAAATGCGAGAGACATCAAGAGGAAGAAGAGCGTGAACGCAAGAGACAACGAGAGCAGTATTATAGTGCGATAGCGTCACCGCCTGTTCCTGGTGCTTATATTCCACAGATGCCTACATTGCAGTCGCCATGGCAACCTCAGCAGCTACATCAACAGTCTTCACCTGCAAGACCTAACCCTTCTATGCCAGTTGCTCAGCAATCACAGCAGCACCCACCACAGCCTTATCGTCCTCCCGCTACGTCTGTATTGCCTCCTATTAGATCGCATCCACTGAATCAGGCACAGCCATTTCAAGCACCAGCACCAACACAACCAGCCTTTCATCAAATACAGCAACGTCCCGTATTGCCTACTACTTACCAACCCCTACAACCCCAACAGGGCCAGTATTCGCCTGCTGCGATGGCTCCACCTCCATCATCTCAACAGCCATTGCTAAACCCTGCTCAAGCATATCCCCAAGCGACTGTATCACAACAGCAAACAATACAATCTATTGTTTCACAGGTTGCATCGAATCCAGTCTCACTTGCTCAACTGGCTAATCTTCTCGATAAAAACTTGCAACAACAACAACAACAACAACAACAACAACAGCAGCAGCAGCAGCAGCAGCAGCAGCAGCAACAACAACAACAACAGCAACAACAGGAGCAAGAGCAAAAAAGATCTGAATAACCATTCAATATATAAACTATACTTCCATAGAAATCAAGCAATTATGATAAACATTAGAATATTATGCCAAAAGCACGTTCTTTGTGTTTCCTGTGGGGCTCATCTAATTAGGCTCGAGTAATGCAAACATTTATTGTAACTAAATCTGATGTACCACGGATTGATCTAAAATGCTAATTGCAACTTTTGATTATCATATGCGTTGATGCTGATGGCATGAAATATTCTCAAGCTAAATCATTATAAAATGCTAGTGAATTAGTCTAATTAACCGCCCATCTGTCTCTTTCTTTCTCTCCCCCTCTTAGTCATGGACGACATCCGCAAAGTGATCAAAAAGAATTCGCCTCCTGCAGTGGTATTACAGACACTGAGAACAGCGCTTACCATGCCGCCCGCTGCAGCAAGAAACATCATCAAAGATCTGACCCGTCCATTGGGCGATCAAAAGAGATTCATTCGTAAATTTAACAATGAGCACTGGAAAGGCACGCTCATCATGTCTGAAATGATTCGATGTGATGATGATATCGCCATCCAGAGGCTAAAAAAGGCAGATATTGTCATTTTCGAAGTGCATGGTGGTGGATTTCGAGTAGGACACAGTACAATGTACATGGAATCATTCATAAGCTGGCTTCGTTTGATTAAAAGCAAGTACAACTTGTATGCCTGCATCATGTCTGTTGAATATGGTGAGTCATGTTGCGTGTTTGGATTAGGTGTATCGGCCTAACAATGTAAGTCTAGGTTTGGCTCCAATGCACAAGTATCCTGGTCCGCTGAATGATTGCGTAAAGGCGTTTGACTATCTCACAAACGGCCTGGGCATATCTCCCTCCAAAATTGTTCTTAGTGGTGATAGTGCAGGCGGCGCACTGGTGCTAGAAACACTGATTCAAACATACGCTCCTGCTATATTACAAGATTTGTCTGCTCCCCGCGAGAATTTCAAGCAGCCTTTACCCGCTGGTGCCTTACTCTCCTCTCCATTGGTCAGTGGAGTCATTGAGACCGAATCATGGAAACTGTTTCACAAGACAGACGTTGTCTCTATGGGGCTATCCAAGCTTATTTACAAGGAGTACTTGGGTCTGCCTGAAACCAAGATTGAGGATTTGCCCATCATGCGGTTACATCATGTCAAGAACAATTTTGACCGATTTATGCCTAAAAACGTGATGGTGTTTATTGGCGATAAAGAAGTGCTCCGTGATGATGTTGTCAATATGGTGAATGCGGTAAAGAAAGATGGAAAGACCAATATTCAATTTATCAAGGAGAATTATGCTCATGACTGGTTCATGGTCCACGAGCTTGTCAAGAAAAAGGACAAGCATCTGATTGCAAAATATGATGAAATGTTTGTCGATTTCTGTGTGGATGCAGTTGAACAAGCTTGCAAATCTCTGGTAGATACAGCTACAAAATCAACTATCAAGAACACGCGTAAAGCATCTGAAGATACCGTCAATATTAACGAAACCATTGATGTGGATCAGCTGGTCAGCAATGACCACATTATAAGCGAAAAGAACCCAGCGGTGAATGCTGTAAACATTGAAAAGAAGATTACTGATATTACCAAGAAGTTTGATGAGCCTTTTGAGCTGTTTGAAAAAATCGACTTCCCTGCTGCCCCGGCTGTTGTTCATAAACCCAACACTATATTATCAGAGTATGCCATTATCACAGATAGACCGTCAAAGAACTCTGTGTCAGTTTAAATAAAGCAAGCTTATATTTGAATCTTTAATCTACTTTACAGCTGTCAATTACATTTGCATTTACCGAGTTTTGGTGCCTATAGTATATTTGTGGTTACAAGCTCGGCCGCACAAGCTTATTGTCGTTTGCTCATATGGCATATTTTTTTTCCCTCATGAGGTAGGCCATGTACCCATCACAGCATTGATCTGAATCAGTCTAACAGAAGGATTGCATAACGAGTTTTTGGCTGAATGTTAGGAGGCGAGTTTGTTTGATTATAATATGACGTATTTAAAAGCTTGAATTTTAATAGTACTATCTTTCAGGCAACTGAGGTTGATCTTGGTGTTTCTCCTTTAGAAACAACTTTTCATGAACACTATACATCTTTCCGATATCTTGAGGCTCATCATGGTTGTTTTAAGAAATTTATGAGACGCTGATTGCACTGAATAAATAATTTATAGGCAAAACGTCTACAGTAATCGGTCGATCTGTCCAGGTTCCTTAGCTTCATGTCACCATGGCCCTATAATGGTATAATCGCTAAATATTTCAAATGCATCAGTAACGAAATTGAGCTTACAACTGTTTCAGTGGTAAGTCAGATAGATTGACACTATCAAATATAAAAGCGCATAACAAAAGCAGTAGCTTAAGTATTCAGGGCAATTTATAGTACTTTTTAATTCGCAATTTCGTTGATATTGACTGTTAACAGCATGAATTACTATTAGGAAAAGCAAGGAATAGATGCTGCCAGCAGACCAGAATCAATGACTACTCCGCTCATTTTCTGTTTCAGATTGGCCAGATCATGCTTTTCTTCGACTTGATCAACTTAATTTGAAAGAATCGACTATGTGAAGTGCGATATTTGTACATGCTTTCTAATAGTTATTTGAAGTATTTTTTAAGGCGCATCCAATGGTAATAGTTCTAATAGGCGTTATAAACCAGGATATTGAGCAATTTATGAAAATATGAAAAGAGGTTTTTAGCCAAAAAGTCGAAATTTTACATATCAGAGTCCCACAAAGATGATTCCAGGGGCTGCGTTGGATCGATAGAAACATTTTGATTCAAGATAATGACCAACCTCCATGATGCAGCTCCTCAGGATTCCAATCTTGAATCAAAATGTTTCTATCGATCCAACGCAGCCCCTGGAATCATCTTTGTGGGACTCTGATATGTAAAATTTCGACTTTTTGGCTAAAAACCTCTTTTCATATTTTCATAAATCATTTGATAAGTTTATTCAAAACGTCTATATTACTTGGTACCATTGGATGCGCCTTGAAAAGTACTCCAAGGATGTATTAGGAAGCGTAGGGTGATTATTACAACTTATATAGTCGAACATCACAAAGTAGATTAAAGAAGTCGAAAAAAACGACATCTGTCCAATCTTGAACAGAAAAAAATACTGAGTTTGAATCAATTTTAGCGGGTGGCGCTGCTGCTGGCTGGCCCAACTGCCTTTCTGTCGATCCCCCACAACTACCATTTCAGCCATGCCACCATGTCCACATGCCTTCACCTACCACTGATGGAACTCCTCGTCCACAATCTCCCACCATCCCACCCAATAGCTCACCTCTTTCAACCCCCTCACAACGTTCTCAAGAACCAACCAACAATCCGTCAGCTCAAAGGATCCGATATATTTATCTTTAACCCCAACCGACTCTGCCTAGAATACAATCATCTCCCCCAAGCTCTGCCACACGGCCCATCAATCAACAAAACTATCTCTCTACTTTGCTCTAACCAACTACTTCTCAACAACTTTGTCCTTTACAACTTTCTCCCCAATGTACCGCGACCTCACAACGCCTTGGAGGTTCACAACCTTCCAAATTCCAACATTCCTTCATTTCCAGCTCTCCACTCCTTTGTCGCCACTCTTCTTATACCTCCAGAACCCAACAATATTCGTCCAACTACTAAAGTTACTTCTATCAAATACTTCAAATGCCTCCTAACCTCTTCCTCTCCCCCTACCCCTAGTTCTATCCTTTCTTCTACTCAATGGCGTCAGTTTTGGAAGCTCGAAATAGCTCTGAATGCACGTAATACTTGGTACCGAATCCTCCTCAACAAAATAGCCACCAAAGAACTCCTACACCTTCGTATGTCTGATAAATTCGCTCCTCATTGCACGATCTGCCCTTCTAGAACTACCAACATAGAAACGACAACGCACTTTCTCTTTTCCTGTCCCATCAAATACACTGTCTGGTCCCAAGCACTCTCCACATACATAGACCCAGATCTGCAATCTCCCACTTATGAGCAATTTCAAGAACTTCTCCTCCTTCGCTCCCCCCTTACAGTCTCAACATCTTCACCCTACCCCACTCTCACCACGTACCAAGTATTTTCTTGCATTCTTCAAGCAATTTGGAGCTGCCATTACAGATCCATCTTCGACTCCTTTCATTTTGAACCCCTCCAAGTCATGCTCTGCATTGACAGAGCACTATATACTTTAGATTCACAAGACAACGTTCACGCACTTCTATAGCAAAGCACTTTATATCCAGTCTTACTATCCTCTTCCCCACTTTGGGTACGTTAATAGGACTTTAAACAAAGAATTTTATTAATAAAACAATAATCTTCCTTAAAAAAAAACAACTGCCTTTCTGACAATGACAGTGATAACAATGATGGTTGCGATGCTGATCAAATGGGAATCATAGAGTTAAAAAGCAATGCTGGGATATGACCAGTTGGTTCTGCTTGCAGATTGACCATGTTGGGCAACCATATGCTATAAAGGCAGTCAGGATGAATACATTTTACTTAAAGGCCAACTCGAATCATGCATTTGGAATTCAATAACACATCCCATGTACTCGCGTAATCGCATCTGTCATCAGCTAAATCACCGACCAAAGTGCATGGTTAGAGATATGTCACTCCACATTACCACCGCTGTGAACAGTTGGCTAATTGCTTGAGAACTGTAAACGGGTTAGTGCCATAGGAAGTAGTTGATCCAATCCAAGGCAACAGAATAGCGTACAAACAAAGGGATGTTTCGCATAAAAGATGAGAATAAAAAGAAAGGTTAAGTGCCTGTTGTTAGTTTAAAAACTTCAGAAATCCCACGGCTTTGTTCTTTGAATTTCGCGATGTGTACTTTACTTTGGACCCTGAAAATAGTACCATTGGATCCATCAAGCGATTTGCTTTCTAACGATGTACATACTTTCTAATAAAATATCCTCTCTTTGACCACAAATTGGCCATTTACTTGCTTATCTCTCTTCAATTCATGTCCTTTTGTTTACTTTACATCTGATTTTTTTTAAAGCTTAATTTTGCCTAGCAAATGAATTGTTTTGATTTTGCATGATTCGAGTACCTTCTAAAAGAGGACAGTTCCTAAAAGAATGACGTGAAATGTGTTGACTCTTTATGAGTTGAATACTCTTGGCGTAATAATTACAAACAGGTTGCAGGAATGATACACGAGAATGACCAACTCACTATGTAAATGTGGGAATATTGATGATATCTAGTAGCGCAAACACTTGATTGACATCATTGACATCATTGACAGCAACCATGATAGCTGGAAACAAGATGACTTGCACTGGTTTGAAAACAATCCATTATGTTCCATTCCATGGAGATTGCCGCAGTAATATTCATATGGCACGCTTGTTTTCCGAGGTGTACACTTGTTTCTTGGTCCAGAATCAGTTATGCTGGCTCCGATGTGATGTAAACGACAAGAAAGCCAACCTTAACACTCGTATTGCCCGATTAGATGGACAGTTTATGGCTGATGTAAACAACAAGAGAGATGGGTCGAGAACCGTATGATCTTGGAGAGAGAAATTAAGGAGAGGTAAAAAAAAAAAAAAAAAGATTACTTAATCAAGCAACCAGCTGCATCTGTTTCAGTGTCAAATGACATTTTTTGTTTACTTGTTGATGAGGTTGAGCCAGTGAAAAGTTGTCTGTTAATTACATCTAGGAAGAGATGGGGGAACTCGTTTCATGTGAAGGTGGAAAAAGGGCTTTTTGAAATAGTAAAATGAATATAACTCGAGACAGAAAACAGTTGAAAGCCTCGGACGAAGCGGATCAAATAGAGCAAGTGTCAAACGTCAAAATGGTACTACTTTCACGCGCTCAAAGTAGCATATTGTGGAAAAAAGCAAAAGGAAACGAATTTGAGTGTGGCAAGGGCACTAGACTCACATAAAAGTCGATGAGAAGGATATAAATAGATGGTTGTTTCAACAGCTTTTCCTTCTTCTTCTTCTTCTTCATCATCATCTTCATCTCATCTCTACTCTCTATTAACAAATCTCTCTGCAAGCGAACTCTCTCTGCGATACTCTTGGGCTCTCTTTCTGCTCTATACATGGTCAAGTAAATCAAGCACTGTACTGGTTATTGGCTTTTTCTTACACAATGCTCTCATAATTCCATGGTCCTCTTAGGTTGTGGTCCATGCAAAACATGGTCGCATTTTCTTTATATTTCTAGATAAAAGCAACATACAGTCAACTCTGCAGGTATGTACTCGTCACTTGTAGCTTATAAAGCAGCATGACTCATCATTTCCCTATTAATAGGGCTCAGGTTCTCTACTTGCAAGCACTCCATACTTGGTTGAAGCCTTGGACGGGGTCTAGGGGTCATGCGCGTAGGGTGGTTGTCTCGTGTGGCCTCAGCACCTGTTGCCCCGGTAGCTCGTAAGGGTGATGCGACGAGGCGCTAGGTGCGTTTCCCGGGAGGTGTCATCCCATCCTTGTTGCTAGGGATATGCAAGTTGTGGAGGATAGTTTGCCTTGGAAGCATGGCTTCATCTTTTGGTCTCCTCGTGTTTCAAGCTGCTCTTTTCATCGTCCATCAAGTATGCTACAGGGTAAGTATCCTTTGTAATAATCCAATGTCCCTCTATATATTGTAGATCTATTTGCTGCAATGTCAAAACCACTTTAGTACACGGTGCCATCTCTACATCTATACAAGACCAAGCCATGCTCGTATCTCTGCTGCCTGCCATCTATTATAGTGTCAAGACTCATGCTGCCTAGTATATACAAAGTCAAGCCATACTCGTACCTCTGCTGCCTGCCATCTATTATAGTGTCAAGACTCATGCTGCCTAGTATATACAAAGTCAAGCCATACTCGTATCTCTGCTGCCTGCCATCTATTATAATGTCAAGACTCATGCTGCCTAGTATATACAAAGTCAAGCCATACTCGTATCTCTGCTGCCTGCCATCTATTATAATGTCAAGACTCATGCTGCCTAGTATATACAAAGTCAATGCAAACTCTGCACAAACTGTCTACTATCATTTATACAAATTTAAACACGCTATCATACATTATCATTCAAAGCATATTATAATCTATTACATACACAAACATACATTAATAAACATTACAGTCTTGTCATTGCTCTTGATGACATGACCTTCTACCAGGCCTATTGCTTAATATTAAACTTGCATTGGCCCTCAGCATCAGTATTAGACTTAAATCAAATCTTGCACATGAATGAGTTTATTAATGTATAAACCGATACACCACCAGGAGATTTTGCTAACATAATAATTCTCTTTTGTTTCAATCAGATTGTTGTAGACTATCGCAATCGGACAATAATACGGTTCACACCTTCTTCTTCATCTACATCCAGTTCAAGCCTATTATCTGGCCTTTGCAATGCCATGATCATGTCCTCCTCCTCAAATTCTGATTCAATGTCAAATTCGATTGCGTAGGCAGGAATCCTCTTGAACGCCTCTGACAGTCTGTCATAATCAAGCCACGTTTCATCCTGGTATTGAAACATGTAACCATCCTCATCCAAATCGTCTGTTGGCGTGAGTGTCACCTTTTCAAGCTCTGGGTACTTGTACACGAGATAATCCCAAATTTCAGGACTACAGGCGCCATCGCCAGCCAGCTCCAGCTTTTTCAACTTTGTATTGATAGTGACATTGTTGTTTGCTTTGGCCCAATCCAGGATTTCATCTTTGAACAATACAGACCTCATTTCACCGGTAGAGTACTGATGGATTCTGAGCGTCAGCGATTCAAGATGAGGGCATTTACGCAGAATAAACTCCAAGTGGGTCAGATCCACAATGTTGCCCGCGTAAGTAAAGTTGGTCAGTTTGGTAAACTGATCCAATCGATTGATAAGGTAGTTATGCCCAGGATCTTTTGAAAACCAAAGCGAGGTCAATGTGTGTTTGAAGTTGAGTAGTGTCTTAATGTAAAGATCGTTGACAGGATCTCGCAAGGGCATCGCTTGTAATTTGGTGTATTGTGCTCTTTGTGCACCTGAAATTTCGTTCATGTATTCAAACACGAAATCGTCCTCTGCATTGGATGAATCGCCTATCAGATTCTCTATATTAGGCGTAAAGATCAATCTCACAATCTTCTTCAACAGGTTGCGCCTTTTCTTGTCGCCATTGATGGGTGAATAGTTGATTCCTCTGACGAGTGGGCCTCTGGATCGGTCCTTGGCTAGAAATGCGTAATATTTTTCGGCTGTAGGAGAAGCAAGGTCTAGATAAAAGTGTTTACCAAGCATTGCTGCCTCTGCAGGTTTATCCCAGTTTTTGCAAATTAATTTGCATCGCGCTATTTGTTCAAGTGGAGAGACGTAACTAAAGATACAAGTCAAAATCTCGGCAGGCAAGTCTTGAGCTGTCATTTATCTATATGTAGATAGGCAAAAAGAAGAATGCTTTGAATGGAAGGGGGGGGGGGAGGAGGAGGAGAGGGGCAACAGCTTAAATTGCCCTGCCTCCAAGCCAATCAAATCAGACACACACACATGGTCGTGCTTCAAAAAATAACGAAGCTTTATTACAGTTGCCTGAATGATGTCTTGAATGAACCTGTTCTTCCACCCACTACATTGCCATCTAATTTACTCAAGCCCAGCAAGAAATCGCCCATCAACTCTTCTGACTCTTCTCCACCATCTTCAATGCTATGAAGCGACCTTGTGTCCAGACAGATGGATGCAGGTCGTTGATTGCTATCAAACGAAATTCGATCCCGAATATTAATGACTTTGGGGGGTTGTTGAGATATTCTCTTTCTGACTACGGTTGATGCACTGAGTGATCTGCCTAGTTTAGGTATATCTGCCACGGAAGAAATAGATGGTACGGAGGGTAAATGATGATGTTGGTAATGCTGTGAGGTGTGTTCTTGCTGCTGCTGCTGCTGCTGCTGTTGTTGTTGTTGTTTCAATGTAAGTGGTGATGTAGGTAGTGATGGCGAGGATGACGGATGATGTTGATAGGACGACGATAACGGTAATCCATCCATGGGTAACGGTGTGGAATTGGATAGAGATGGGAATGTGGTAGATATCATGGGCCGGGAAGATCCTAGATTTCGAGATGATTTGTATCTGTTGGTATAGTAATTGCTGCTGGTGGGCGCCATGCGAGATGTCTGATAGCTGCTGCTGCTGCTGCTATTGGTGTTGCTAGGTAGTAACCAATCGTTGGGTATATCTAAGCTTTTTCGATTCTCGGTATGACGAGGATTTGGTAACACAATGTGAGGTCGCAGGATGGCTGAATTACGTCGACTACTACCACTTGAGCTTGTACTGCGAAGATCATCGCCATCATCGTCTGTCTCATCTACACTGATACGAGGATCCATCAGTAATTCTTTCTCTTGGTGGTGATTGAGGTGGTAGTGGTTGTGAGAGTTGATGTTCAAATCGCCTACAAGGCCATGCAAATCCGCACTTTGCGACTTTCTATGATGTAAGGAAAATCGTGCTGAATTGACATGCTGCGGGGGCGCACTATTGGGCTTGTTCAACGAGCTGAATGAGGTGGATCTGGAGCGCAGACTTTGTGGTGAGGTGGTGGAAGAATGGGATGAAGTAGCTGAACCAATGTCATTCAGTGAAAGTGGATCGTCTTTCAAAAACTCACAAGCACTCTTCATTGTCGTGACCACAAAGCTATACACGGATCCTTCTGCCATCCTTGCTAGTCGATAGTACTGCATATAATACACCAAACTGGCGATCCTTGGTACGTTGCTCTGAACAATGACAAATGCCAGCAATGGAATCATTTCATCCGCAGTAACCGATGTATCTAATGATATGGCCATGTTAACATGCATGTTTACCTATAAAAATGCTAAACTCACCGCTAATGCCGTTGCCAACATCCTGCACATAATCACGCACAGTCGAGGTGATCAGATCCAATGTGGATTTAACTACAGCCAATTTCTCAAGCGGGGTAAATGCAAGCTGTTTCAATGTTGATTTGTACGGCTCAACGTTGCTACTATCAGAATCTAATCTTCTAAAATTGGTAATTGCCTCATCAAAACAAGACAAGTGCATTTCTGATATTGGATAACGCAGCGAATATTGCGACAAGGTGACATTGGAGTAGGTGTAGCAGATGGTGTCCAAGTAGTTGTCCTGTGATGCCAGCAGTGATTGAAGCGATTGTATCCATATTTTCTTGTGTAGAAAGCTCATCACAACGCTAAAGATAAAAAGAGAGGCAATTAGATTCAGCGCCTATATCAAGCGTGAGATACCCACTTTTCTACCAGCTCCAGGAATTGGTCGTGCTCTGAAGGCGTGCGACATGACTCTTGCAGTAGTTTGTTTCTCTGTAATATAGTCTGCACATATGTGTGTGTATTAGCAAGATACGATATGCATTCGCCCCAAATGTACTTACTCTGTAAGCCTTCATATACATGTGCTGTATCCTTTCCACCGTACTTTTGTTATAGCCCTTGATATAGACATATGAATCTGTGAACTCCTGTACTGCAATCTGCAATTCATAGAGTGCTTCCAGATTTTCGGAAAACATGTTGAGAAACTCCAAATCACTGCATGGCAAAAGGGAATTCAGGAGTTACACACATTTAAGGATATTGATTAGAGTTTCATAGACGGTATGACTTACGTTCTAGAGTTACGAACAGGTGGAATAGTAATTGCATGCTTGTGATGATGGTGGTATGCCTGGAAAGCGATTTTAGCTTTGGTTTCCAGTGCATGTATGCTACTTACAGGTGGTTCTCCTTCCAGCAATCGATCTATGGAGAGTAGTTTAATCTTTTTGTTCTTTAGATAGACTGATTCTTCTGCCATGATATGTACAGTTCGTTCCTCTTTGAATCCTACACATGCATGCAGTTAATATCACACATGCCATACTACACTTGTATCCAACTGCTCACCCAAAATGGTTGTGATGATGGGAAAATCAAGCGCAATGATTTTCTGCTTTTGTTTCGTTGCCATGTATTGTCCACAAAAATAAGGGGATGTTTGGAAACAATGCGATTCTTGAGGGATACAATCAAGGGATGAAAGGGGGAGGAGAGGGGAGAGGGAACAAGCAGATGGAAAATATCAGTATACACAACGTTTCATGCAGCAGAATCATAGATTTACCAATGATGTCTTTGGTGATGACAAGACCTTGGATCGACTTTGAGTGTGGTATGCACACAATGGCAGATTCGCAAAACAGTGAATGGAAATGAGTCATCATGTGTTTGTAGAAAAAGTTCTCGTCAATCTCTTCAGGCTCCAAAGGATCCGTCGCATTGCAAGGCGGTGATGGCGATTCATTGCTGCCGGTCTTTTGTATCAGTGATGAGAGTGTTGGATAGGTGGTGGAAGGTGATTCATTTGTCGCTGGCTTCTTTTTCTTGACTCCTGCTTTCTGAAAGAAGGGAAGAGTCATTTCTGTAGTTGAGAGAAAAGGAGGAGGGAAGCTCTTTCTATATCACACAGGGCACTGGATGTATAGGCAAAACAAGAAAACAAGAAGAAGAAGAAGAAGAAGAAGAAGAGGAAAAGAAAAGGAAGAATGAAATTAAATATTTATACACAACTACAGCTTTGCAGATTTCACACACTCTTTCACCTTTTATAACCTACTACCAAACTCTAGTCAGGCCCTATCCATAAGTCACAAGCACATCTCAATGCATCTAATTAAGATTGGCAACAATGAATTGGGCTGTAGTCACCGTCGTTTCCTTGAGATGGCTGTTTAGAGAACACAGATCAGTTCTAAACTCTACAGGGTGCTTGCCATGGAAACATGCGCCATTTGAGAAGCAAGACAGAGGGCGCAAAAGGCAGACATGTCAAAATGAATACCCAAAAAAAAAAAAAAAAAAAAAAAAGGTGATTCAATTTTGTCGCCCACTTGCCTGTATCAGCTTACACATTAGCCTTTATAAATTTTAGCCTAAATTTTATTCGAGACACTTTCCTTTTTCTTTTTTCCTTTTCCCTTTTCCCTTTTCTTTGTAACTTTTTTTTTTTTTTTTTTTTTTTTTTTCCTGTACATATATCTTTTATGCTGACACGACATTTGACAAATAAGATACTGGACATACGTCTTGAAGAAGAAAAGTTTTATTTCCCTGGTGAAACAATCAAAGGTGGGTTTGACGGGCTGTAGAGCAACATCATGTTGAAGCCCGAGACTAACACTACAGGAAGGCTTTGTCCTCATTCATCCCAAGAGCGCCATCAAAGTCAACAGCATACAATTAAAGTTTTCTGGCGAGGTGTACATACATTTGAAGGAAAAGGAAACAAACACCCTCTTTCAGAACACACTGGCTCTTTCCGTATACCCAAACAGCACTAGCCCCAAACAAACAACACTGGATGCCTCTGAACATAGTTTTCCGTTTCAATTCGTGGTGCCGAAAAACTTGAATTTGCCTAGTTCAATGGAGGTATGCAAAGGGGAGAGATCATGCTATGGGGAGAGAGGAACTAACATATGTGGATGACGCTACAGTTTGGTAAAAAGGGCTATATCCGCTATACAATCAACGCATTGTTAGACAGACCCATGATCCCAGAATCGCTGTGTCCCAAAGTCGAATATGCCGTCTCTTTGCTGGAATACATTGATATAGAAAAGGACCAGTTTAAAATACCTCAAGAGAAAAGTCAAGATATTATGCTACCCAAAGCCAAGTACAACCAAAAATGCATGGTGAGAGCATCGATGCCTCGCCTTGGTTTCACAAGAGGTAACAAAGCCCAAAACATACACAAAACACAGCTAACCCAACTTTGAAATTGAAAGGTGATATCGTTCCTCTTAAAGTTAACATTGATCATTTTACATCATTTTCACGTAAAAATGGTGTTACAGTGGATCTTGTACGCACAGTTGAAATCAGAACAACCAAACACACGGTATTCAAGGAAACAGTGCTACGATCCACGCAGTATGATATGGACACCAAAGCACCCAGCCACCAGCAGTCTATCCTCTGTCAGCTCCTGATCCCAACATCCACACCACCTTCCATCCGATACAAGGACAAAGTGCTGCGATTTCATTACAAGGTCCGCGTATCAGTGTCGTTTGGCGATAAAAGTACATGCACTTTGGACATGCCCATAGTCATTGGCACTTGGCCTCGTGCAGCTGTGCCTATTGAGGATGATGATGATGCTTCTTCTGCTCACGGAATGGAGGATGCCAATGGTGTCCATGGTTATCACGATAACGAGGATGATGACGACGATGATGATATAGAGTCCTTGAAAACTTGCTCTGTGGATGACCAGTCTTCGGTGCGAACTTCCTCCAATATTTTGCCGTCGTGGCACACAAACAATAGTTCAACATCGACACTCACCACGGCTCAGCGAAACTCTATTATATCTAACAATGAGGATTTGGTCGGTCGCTCAGATTCAGTTGCCTCGAAAGCTTCCAATCGATCACACAACTCTGTCTCCTCATGGAAATCCAGCAGATCTTGGGAATACCAACAACAGCAGCTACAACCCTCGCCATCCCAGCAACAACAACAACAATACTACCACCATCACCAATACAGCCAATCCTCCAATAATCTATCTCGAAACGGATCGCAATCCACTACATTGTCCTCGCCTGATCGTCTGCCGTCCTATTACAATGGCAGCTCCATGGGCCATAACAGAGCTTCCAGTGTCTACTCGACGGATTATCCTTTATATAACAACAACATCAACCGCAACAGTAGTCAAGGCAGTAATGGCTACAACCAATACTACAACAATTCGAGGCAATCCATGGTGTCCTTGCCTCCATTGGCTGGTCCGATGGTCCAACCTCAACAATCATACAATACGAATAGACTTTCTAGATACAGTAGATATGAAGAAGAGCCCCCCATTATACTAGAAAATGACGTGCCTACTCATATTTTGGAGCCACTACCACCAAGCAATGCATCATCATCTCCTCCCATCCCACCCACCATCCAAGAATCACAGCACGAACAAGCAGCTACTACAACGAGCAATATTGCACTACAGTATCCCTCAGAATCGTCATCTGATTCATCCTCGTTTGAAGATTCGGATGACGATGATGATTTGTTGGCGATTATCGAGCGAAAAAAGAAAAAGGAGCAAAAGGAATTAAGAAAGAAGCATAAAGCCGAAGCCGCCTCTAATTCATCTGCATCTGCTGCACCAGCATCTTGACACACACATATATACATCTCTTTCTCTCTTTCTCTCACACACACACACACTCACATTATTGTAACACCATTTATACATATAGCGACTTACTTTTTAATCTATTAATTCTTTTTTAATAATACCACCCTCTCTCACTCTCTTTTCTTGTACAATAAACCAATATATACGACTAGAGTATAAACTACAATTTGGCCTCCTTGCTGTTATTCACTTGCTCACACACATGCTGCATGTCCTTGAGTGCCTTGTAGATGGCCTGTATGAATTGTTCGGTGCTGACAGTTTCAGGCACACGTTTTGATTCGATACCAAACTTGACCAAGGTAGGGGCAGCCATGTAATTGATACCATAACCATCAGGATACACAGTGCCAAATCCAGTGCCCATCAAACGTATGCCTGCGTGAAGGCCAGAGGTGCTGAGACGCCATGTTTGTGATTCTGCGTGAACAGGGTCGGTAAAGATGGGATGCATAGCAACAGACTCCAGTTCGCCGTGTGCATTCAACATCTGATGATCCGCATTCAGTAGACGCAACACGAGTAAATGACGATCGCAGCCATGGCCATCGCTGGCAATTTGAGTGTAGTTGCGATGTGCTGATGTTGCTTTGGCTAATAGGTCGTACTTTTGCTTGGCTGTAAGAGCGGTGTTGTCGAAACCTTCCACAAATGCCTTGCTGTCTACACTGAGCGTGCGAATCGTCTCGGTACGACCACGGAGATACTTGCGAGTGGCGGCGGTTTCATAAGTAGCTGTTACCTTGTTGTGAACACGATAATAGGCCAATTGAAGCACCATTTGATAGAAAGCATCTGGAGGAACACGGCCTACTTTCTTGACCCAGTTGGTACCAAAGTCCTTGAATACCAACACATTGGAATCTGAGAGAGCCGCTGTGGCATCGGCAGTCTTCTGAGCCTCCACCAAGTAGGTATTCAATGTAGCGTCTGTAGTGAAGGTGAGGTGCTGGAATGAAGCTGTCGTAGCAGACGGCTTGTTGGCTCCAGTGGCTTTTTTGGGGTATACAAACTCGTGGGTCAAGTTGTTGGGTGTAGGCACTTGAAGCATATAGTCAAAGATGTAGCTGACAGTCAAGGCATCCACAGGTGAATGTTCGCCCGAGAACCCACACATGCCATTGTTTTCAACCACCAGTGTAAATGACTTGTCAAACCAGCGATTATGGCCATTACCAAGGCCTTGATGTCCACAGAACATGGTCTTGGTCCATGAAGCATTGTCGGTGCCATTAGAATGATCATCCAGAGCCACAGCAAATAATGCCTCTTCGATGGTGGTCAGGTTGTCGCGGTGATGTTTAGGATCCAAAGCCAAGAGGTGGTTGCGAGCAATAGCCCATTTATCGCGCTGCCATGAAGAGAGTAACGAGACGGGAGGGGAAGGTTGAGACAAGTTTTCGACATGAGCAACCAATTCCAAAAGAGCACTATATATATATATATATGCAGATGAGACTATGCTGTGTATGCCAATAGTGCTGCCTCTGTATACTCACGCTTCAATTTCTTCAGTTGTAAGTAGGACCCAAATGTCCTTCTTGAGCTCCTTGTAGACATCCAGCCTGTAAATCTGGTCACGTAAAAGAACCACGATGTGGCGAACGAACTTGGCATCTGCTTGCACCAGTGTATCGCAATGATGCAGAGGAACACGGGTCACTGAAAAGATACGACCGTATTGCCACATGCACTGGGCCTTGTTTCCCTTCATCATATCCACAGGCAGCTCTTGTCTATCGATGATTTCCTTGTATTGCAAACCTCTGTGGATCATATGAGCAGCACGACTGATTTGAAACTTAGAGAACAGCTTATGAGGCTGCACTCCATTGTGCGCCAGCAGTTGCTTTGGATGATTGGCATCCACTTGGCCCAGAATATACCAATTGCTGTTCACCATCAACGGTTCACGCCATTCCAAATAAGCCTTTTTCAACCAAAAATTATCCTCCAACCAGTTGGTTGGTGAGGCACGATCGATATCAATGAGTCTCTGTTGCAAGGACTTTGATAAATCACTGGCCAAGAAGTCAGCAACGATCGATTTGGTCTTTTCATGCTCTTGTGGTGTTTGGAGTGGGATGATGGATTTCAAATAGAGTGAGCATGTCTCTTCCAAAGAGGGTACTGGGAGTCTTGGCAATGTGTTCTGTAAACTAAACGTAGGTGGTGATGAAGGCATTTCTGTAAGGTTGGAGAAAGGAAGAAGGAAAGAAAAGCAAGAAAATTTTCTCAGGGACAATATAAATATGTACGTGCGATGATCGTTTTTACATGTAACTATGAAAGGCAGTGTTTATGTGGAGAGAAAAAAAAATAATATAGTGTATTAGCAAGCTTTTTTTGATGGATGCCATGTGATATTCAGGCCAGTTGTTTCTACATGAATTTCAAGTAAGCATTTCACCCACGATTGCCATCTTGATTTAGAACGCAGCTTGGCTCCTGGGAATACCTTCATCGCATGATAATCTAACATGTGTTACATTTGAATTATCCTTTATTTGACGAGGCCTTGTTGCGCATGAGTGTGGTGCATTTATACGGTTTGATAATACAGAGAAACTAGCAAATGCTAAATACATTGATGTCTTGATTCATGCAGACATTTCAATACTCAGATCACCTTCTTACACTTCATATCAAACCAAAAAGCACAACAAAAAGTTTGAGGTTGTTTTAATACATTCATGTTATTGACAGTAGCTCTCAGTTGCAAAACAGAAGAGTCAGATGTTACCTCAACCTTAACCATTATCATATGCCTTGTTTTTTTTTCTACTATGGAAGAGATCCATTATTTGCAACGAGGTAGGATATTCTCAGCGGAGCAAGCTGTTGTGCTGCAGAAGGAAATGTGTCTGCTTTGAAATTAGCTTGATTCGAGATGCTTTGCATCGCTGTACCGGTGTAAAAACCGTTTAAATTCGATACAGTGTATCCATCTGTCCCACATTCCTTGTTAATAGCATCGACTTTTTTCGTAAAGGGCATTGCATTTCAATGTGTCATGTTGTACTCTTTTTGATTTTCCAAGTACATTGTTGGCCTCGCCAAACGCCAGCGATGCTGGCCTGTATATCTTTTACTGCTACATGTTTGAAAGGACGGGTTACAGCTGGGAGCATCAGTCAAACAAAGCCAATATAAACTCCGATACAATGCTGCTCCAGATTGGCCAAAGTCTGATCAAAATCGATTCAATTGATTTATTTTATAGAATTCGACTATATAAAGCTTGGTGATAGTGCCATACTTCCTTAAACTGGCTCTAGGAGTCGCACCTTATTAGTAGTAGATTTCTTTCCCAACTTAGTTCAAAATATCTTATTCCCCTTCTTTGCAGACATTGGGTCCACCAACAGTCTTTTCTTTCCCTCAGCATGACATTTTAAGGACTTTAAATAAAACCTGGAGCTCGACTCCCCTACAAAAAAAAAATACTTCCTTAAGCATCCTTGAAGTACTTTGCAAGGCGCATTCAATAGTACTAATTAAAGTAGGTATTTTAAACAAACTTATTGAGTTATTCTTGAAAATATGAAATGAGGTTTTTGCCCAAAATGCTGAAAATTTACATATGAAGGGTTCGCGAAAGTGTTTTCAGGCGATGCTCTGAATCGACAGAATCATTTCGACCTGATATACATCTTAATAAAAGTCTTCGTTTTCAGGGTCAAAAACGCGATCAATTGATTTATTGATGTTTTCCATGAGGTACCCCTCATGGTTTGGAGTTGATTTTCGACGATCCCAAAAAAAAGTTGAGCAGAGGTGTCAGTTACTAACTACTGGGTGAGAGAAGCTGTTTGGTGCTATTCTGGAGGTCTGAATCGGCTTGTAACACAAGAAAACACGGCTCAAATGCATTCAGATTTCGCTGTGTTTTGCCATCATTTTGAGTAGTAAGAGGAAATGTTAATATGCTGCCTGTCCATTTATAAACTTTGTTCCATCCATAAAGACATGGAGCGTCCTATAAAAGGCACATTCGCAGTTGTTGATAGCTTTATGAGGGGTCCTCAAGTAATCATCAGTGATTTAAATGTGGATTGTCAGTACATGCTAGTGGAGTCGTGAAGCAGAATCTCAGATCTAAGCCTGAAGCTACATTTACATTGTATTTAAATATAAAGGAGCTTGTCTGTCCACATGCATGCGATGTGTGCTTTTGAAAAACTTCAGTTTAAAAAAAAAAAAAAAAAAAAAAAAAAAAAAAAAAAAAAAAAAAAAAAAAAACAGCACTCTCCTGTTCAGTGAGCTGCTATTAAGCTTTGCACATTGATTTAGGCCAGTAGTCAAGCTGCAGTCAAGTGGAATACGACTATAACACGATCAAGCATAGGGGGATAGAAGACTGTGATGAAACATGCAAGATACATCATGTACCTGAAATTCTACAGAAAATAGAATTATGCATTTGGCTCTAAATATTGACAAGACAAATGTAGAGACATCTCAAGTACATGATGATCTGCAATTTTGTTTATTTATATACATTGGAAGGAGTATAACAGACGAGAATAGCTATTTCTTTTTTTTTTTTTTTTTTTCATACAAACTAAATTTGCTGAATTTTATAATAAATGACATGTAAACAAAAGAATGAACAGGAAAGGGAGATAAAAAAGCAAGGTATATAAAGGTAACATTCATACAGGGAGGGGGGGAAACGATGTTAAATGTAGATATTTGTTTCAACCTATAACGAGAGCAGGCTTGTCCATGAGAAATGGTGGATTGCTGTATTGTAATGGCTTGTAGGACCATTGATCTTCGAGTTGCTGATGTTGGTGCAAATGTAAAAAGGAAGACTTTTGAGAAACGATAGGTGTGTCAGGCATTTTAGGTTGGTAGTGTACAGAAGAAGACAGAGACGATCTGCTATAATTATCAGTCATTGCAGCCAAGACGGAAGGAGCATCCATCATCACAGCATCACAGCAGAGATCAGGATCAACCCAATCTGGTAAGTGGGCTTCAGCAACATGATATGTTGTTCGCCACCATTGCGTACGGCGTACCGAGAATTTCCTAGGTTGATGGCAGACAATGGGCTCGTGTTGTTGCTCATCGTCTTGCGAGATGGTGGTGGATTTATCACAAATGCCAAAGGACAATTCAAGCAATACATCAATGTCGCTTGGATTGTTGTAAGAAATGTGCTTTTTGAGACAGGTATCTTTGCGTATGGCGATTTTAGTAAAGCCATTTTTGCAAAGGTGTTCAATTTGTTTGTTGGTAGAGTCGTCTAATAGAAGCCATTGATTCTTTTGCCACTCAATTTCATACTTTGGAGTAGCAGGATGCATGAGTCGACGTCGTTGGAAGTTGCGTTGATCGGAGCGGTTCATGCTGTAACGCAAGAATTGACGCAGTGGCACAATGTCTTTATTATGGATACAACTATCAATGCTGTTTGTATGCTGTTCCGCCAGATCTGATACTTCCAGAGGATGATGTGGAACAGGAGATGTGGTATGTGTCGTGTGGATGGCGGATGCAGCTTCATTTAGACTGGTGTTTGATTTCTTGGATGGAAGTTTGGGTGTCCACGAGACAAATGTAGTGGGTATGGCCTTTTCATTGGACATATCCTGTGGTGCTGCTTGCATTGTAGTGGCGGATTTAGATTGCTTTCGCAGGAAGGATGGCAGTTTGAACCAGCTTGTGTTGTTGCTCATTTGATGATAAGGGTATGAAGAGAAGAAAGTATAAAGGGGGGGGAATCCATATCAAAACAACGTTTGTATATATACTTTTTCCTTGGTTTGTGGGACATAACCTTAATCGTTAGTATAAAACTTTTTTTAGTAGTTCCCTCTCTTTTTTTTGTCATATCCGAGAATCATAAGCATCCAAATGTTCATATCAGGAGACGATGGTGGTGAGGGAGGAAGGGAAGCATGTATCATGTACGCGAACTGAAATGGATAAGCCATGCACAGAATCATACTAGGCAAAAGCAGACTTGATGATTCCGAGTCAACATGAGTCCAGAGTTCATTGACAACATGCAATGTGGAAGAGATAATGAAATGATAAAGCGGGAAATTGTGATGGAGGCTTTCTCTGTCTGTTTTCAAGTGTTTGTGTTCAAAACATAGAGGGCAACACATCTAGACGATTTGATGGCTGTGCGACCACATTACGACCACACATGTGTATTTTCACACAATTCAACATTTTGTCTCGGATAAAACGTTGCTTTGTTGAATGATTTTCCATGCAAATAGATGTGTGTATGTGCTTGTAGTTTCATGAAATTAAGATTACACGACATGTTTTGCACATTAACAAAGAAAGCGTATTAGCAAATGCATATTTATGTCATGTACACTGTAAAAAAAAAAAAAAGAAAAAAAAAAAGAAAAAAAGAAAAAAAAAAAAAAAAACCTAGAAATACAAAAAGATATGGGTTTTTTTTTTTTTATCTCTTCAAAGCGGAAGTAGTTGTGGTTGTGCTGCTGGTAGTAGTGGTAGCAGAATGATCTGCTTTGACCATCTTGAGAGCAATTCGATTGCCATCTTGATCCGTCTGAATAAACTTGTCGCCATCCATATAGCCAGCCGCTGAAGAAGAATTGGAAGATCCATTTGTCAGACTACTACTGACACCGCTGCCTCTTCGAATGATCGGTGTACCCACAATAGGGCCCATGGGAGATCCGCTTCGTGTTGTCACAGAGTACGAGGGCATGTCGTCTTCTTGGAATGTGTTGACAGTAACATAATGTGTTTCGCCCGTGTCTGATTTGGTAGCTAAACCATCACTATGACCATGATCTACGTACCGAATGTGAGTATAACAATCTTGTTTGTATGATTACACTATGCTTACCCTTCATAAACCTGAACACAAACACGCAATTAAATGATATCATATTAGTAACGTTATACATACATGCTTTCAAGATACACTTACTTTGATAATTCTTCCCAGCCACCACCTACCCGCACCATGACCATCTTGCTACGCAAAATACGGCAATACACTAACCTAGGATGCTCTTCACCAAACCAGTATTTACCCACTTCACCAGGCACCATCTTGACCTTCATCTTGAATGGACTCTCATTGACAATCAGACCTAATTGGACATCCAATTCATTCTTGGGATCCGACACATAGTTTTTACCGGCTGAAAAGGGCGGTGAAGAAGGCGTCTTTGATTTGCGAGTGGCTGTAGAATTAGGCGAGGTTATTTTCATCTCTGTGGAAAGTGTGGATGATCTGAAACTACCCAAGGGTCGTGGACCTGATGGCGGTAACTGAGCGCCCTTTTTGTCGCTGTTGCTTGCTCTTCGAGATCGTCGTTCCTTGGGTGTTGATTTTGCCATGGCCAATTTGGTAAAGAATTCGTGGTTGAGTTCCTTGATACACGTTTGCAGTTCCTTTTCGCGTGTTGATACCGATGCCTGCATGTTGGACCAGTCTTTCAACGTCTTTTTCAATCGTTTAGCCACTCGTTCATTGTCATCCAAAAACTGCTTTTGAGACTCGGATTTGGCTTTGGACAAGAGATCCGAGACACGTGGTTCGCTCTTCTTGTAAGCGGATACTAAGCGTTTTAGCAAAGACTGTAAATCAGCCTTGTTGAACTTGGAGCCTATCACGCTGGCGTGCTGGGCGGATGTTTCCTCGACTACTTTGGATAAATGAACAATTTCGGCGTCTACTTGATCCGTGATGCCAAAGAATTCAGTGATGCTTCCTTCCGTATGTGCCTGCTTTCGGCGATGCTTGACTAATTGACGCAGGTCCTCTACTGATTTGGACAGCTTATCTCGTTGACTCTGGAGTGACACGGTAGGAGACGACGTGCTGGCCACCAGGAGCTCGCTCGAACTCATGTTTTTCATGATGAGATCAATGTCCATAGAGCTCTTCGTGAGGGTCACATCAATCTCTTCTTGAATCTCATCCAGTTCTTGCTCCTCGACCAACACGTTTTTACCAGACAACTGTAATGCCTCTACTCTCTCTTTGAGATTATCCACGTATTTCAAAGATTCTGCCAGCTTGGATGATACGGTTTGACGTTTGTGCAACATGTCAAGTCTGTCCCGTGTCTCATCTGCGGAAGATTTGATATCGGTCCACTTTCTATTCATGTCATCCCTACGTTTGTCCACCGCTTTGGTAATGGCGCCTGTTCTGGTAGCACTGATGCGCTTATTGAGGTTCTTTTCTAGATCATTGCACTTTTGGTGGAACTCTTGCATTGACGTTTCAATGGATTCGTAGCGTTGCATAAACTCCTTCAACTCGGGCAAGTCTCTGGCTCTGGCAGCGCGTGTGGTGGAAGCGGCGCCTTTGCTGCTACTGCTATTGTAAGAGCGTGATACCGTAGCCTTGAGTTCGGTAACAGATCTGCTGATTTCCTTTTCAAACTTCATCAAACGGCTAAGCAGCTTCAGGGAGGTTACATAGTCATTTTCCGTCTTGAGCGCTCCCTTGAGTTCCTTGAGCGATTTCTCCAAGGCTGATTTGCATTCATTCACCTGAGCGACAGGGTGATCGTAGACCTTGACAAGTTTGGTAGCTTGATCTGATACAATGCCATCGTATTTGATTTTGCATTCGCTGTAGTTATCTTGGATGTGTGTTAAGGCTGCACTATAAGCAGTGATGATGCTATTGATGGCGTCAATCTTTTTAAGATGATGTTCAGGGTTGGTGTTTGCTTGTTGGCGGATATACGAAATTTGGTCCTCGCACATTTTGGCTACCTTGGCTACTTCTGTCTTGAAGACATCAAACAGGATGGTTCTCTCCTTGTCCAATCGTCGCTTGTCCAGCACTTGTTGAATAGTGTTTCTGAGCTCACGAATCTTTTGGCTACGGTTCAGGAACCCCATCTTGTTGGCTTCATCCTCAGACAGATCAGTCGAGTTCTTGACGGTGCTTTCAAGCTCTTCTTGGCTCATGGACAGGGTGTTGAGCTTCTTTTCATATTTCAGTAGTTTGCTCTTGGTCGTCGATGAGGGTTGATGCACCAGCAAAATCTGATCTACGTCCTGTCTCAGCTTCTCCAAGGTAGATTCCATTTTATCCAGTTCGTCACAGCCTTCGATCCACTTGGAGGTTCTTGTGACAAAAGCAGCTAAACCCGAGTTTTTCACCTGCAGTGTTTGCCAAGCGGATTCCACGTTTTGCTGCACTTGTTGTGCTTCAGGGGTAATCACATCCTGCACCCGCATGCCAGTATAATAAGAGCATGAATCGTCGTAAAAGCCTTGACACTCCAGTACAGCCTCCTTGATCTGCTTGTGAGCGGTCTTTAGCTCTCTAAAGTGGTCTAACCGTTCCTCTGCTGTTTGTTTGTCCGTGGTAGTACTAAATTTGCCATACTGTACTTGGGATATTAAAGAGACGACCCTGGCTGCAGCACTGTGGAACAGTTCTGAATTCTCGGCATGCGTGTTCCGAAGACGACTTGCATTGATGATATCGTACAGGCTGGTCAGTGAGGCTCGGATTGTCAATACAGTATCACCCGCAAGATCCAGCTTGGCCATCAGAGACTCAATCATGTCGGCAGTGATTGTGTGCTTGTATTCTGCTATTTCTGAGTGGAGACGGTCGTACTCCTTGGACTCGAGGAAATCAATGCGCTTTTGCCATCCACTGATTTGCTGATCTGTCACATGGGCTTCATCTGTGGAGCGGATATCTGTCTGGAGTGCTTCAAAAGAGGACATCAAATAAGCAATGCGGTTGTTGAGTTCCGCTGGAAGCAGGGCAATAGACAGGGCGTTGGAGACTTCCTTGGTTTCCAGCAGCAGATCATCCCACTGACGGCTAATGACATCGAAATCCTCGCAGACGTGATCGTATTCTTGCAACTTAACTTGCTTTTCTTCTTCGCTGAGCAGCCCCTGCTCGTCAAACAGCTGGATGTACTTTTCTCTGTACTTGCAGAGTAGCGTGAAATTGTTGTCTTGAGCCTTCATGGCAGTCTGGATGCTGTCTGCCTCGCTCACAGCGTCTCTCAGATGGTTGATGTCCATGGATAGGTTCTCATCATCCAAGACGTGCACACTTTTCTCCAAAATATCGCGTCGAGAAGATATCCAAGCATCACACACGTTGATTTGCTTTTTAAAGGTGTCCGCATTGTACTGCAGTCGAGTAAACACTTGTTGCGACTTGAGTAAAGACGACAGGCTCTGTACCAGTTCATCCAGTCGAGCTAGTTTGGTGTCAATCACGTCTTGCACAACAGAATTCATGGTCCTGTCTTTGACTTTGGTAGGCATGGAAATGTCCTCCTCATTGCAGCGTCTGGGCACCAGAATATCATGCTGAGCAAAGGCCTTGATCATGTTGACTTTAGCTGTAAAATCATCTAGCCGTTTGGTCAGCTCGGATGAAGAGGCGCTCATAGCAGGCACAAGCGCATCAGCAGACGATGTCAAGAAGAGCTCTCGAATGGTCTCTGCGTTTTTCTCCAGCTCGGTGGATTGCTCCAAAAAGTGATTGATCTGCTTTTTCTGCGTGATGAGTTCCTGTGCGTAAGAGATGTCTGCCTCCACATAGTCTTCTGCTTGGCTCAAGAGTTCAATACGCTTGGTATGAAGCTCAGACATGAACCCAGGCTTCAAGGCATCCGAAATGCTTTGAAGTGTGTGATAGTGTTGCTTGATACCTGCCAGTACTGAAGTACGATACAGATCAAAGGCTGTCTTCTTCTTTTGCCATTCAGATTCAGTGCTGTCTCCCTTTGCCTCATCTGGGTTCCAACGGCCCTTCTCCTCCACAAAGGCGGCCAAGTCCTTTCTATGCTGATCCAGGTCTGTCATGGCTTGTTTGATGTTGATCTCCAGATCACTTCGTTGCTGAATGTACTCGAGCTCTTTGAATCGCCAATCCAATGCTTCCTGTAGCTTTGTGAATGCCCTGTTCATCATGTCCATCTTTTCTTGAATGTGAACTGGGATGGACTTGGTGAGAGGAAGCTTGACAAACAAAGATGCTACTTGGCGAAACTCTGATTCCAATGCTGCTAATACGTCTTGCTGGAAACAATCTGCTTGTGCACAGATGTCAGAACAATGACCCAGTAGTTCCTGAATTGTCTCCTTGGATAAGGTATCTTGCTGTGCCACACATTTGTTCTTTTTAGAGACATACTCCAAAAGCTGATGGTTCAAGAAATCCAGACGGCATTGACCTTCATCCATGTTGACCTCCCATTGCAATCTCTTTTCACCCGTGTCCAACATGATCCATTGAGTCGCAAAAGACTGGCCGAGCAGGAGCATGCTACGAGACACACATTCACTCAAATGACGACACGTATCTGCTATTCCTTCCACCGCAGAGGAATCGTCGCTTTGCACTTGCTTGATCAGCTCATTCAGACGCGACTGGAATGCAGATACGCTGGCAGTTTCAAACTCTGCCAACTTGGACGCCAAACGTGCATGTTCTGACTTGAAGGTAGTAATCATGTCCATAGACAAGTTGCTGGATACCGTAGTAATGTCGATGTGATTTCTGTTGAGTTGCTTGGTCAATACATCAATGGCCTCTTGGATCTCACTTGCTTCAGCCTGGTACTGTAGCAACTTGGATTTGACAGAATCCGCATACTGATACGAAGTCAGGATGGCGGTTAATGATGTGTTGAGTTTGATCAGTGCCTCAACGTTTTTATCTACGAGCAATTTGATTTGAGCACCGTAGTCGTCAGGAGAGACCAATGTCTGAGGCTGTAATGGCTCGAACCAATTTCCACCTTGCAAAGGCTGGATTCTTTTGCCTTGCTCTATCAATTGGCTAATGTGAGATCGAATGCTGGTAATTTGCTCCAACAGCTGCTTTTGCTCCTCCGCTACTGTATCCGTGGTGGCGGTGGTTGCAATGGCAGTGGAGGTGGATGAAGATACTGTGGCTGTCGCCTTGGAAGCAGACGTTGTCTCTCTTAGCGAGTTTTGAATCGCTTCCTTGGCTGCCTCACCTTGAGATTGCAGTTGACGAGATGCAGAAATGAAATCAGCGAGAGCATCATGCTGTTTCAACACGTCAGACACATAATTAGACAGCAGTTGCAAATGGTGATGATCCGACTTGATGGTGTTCTGCTTGCTAACAATAAAGCCAGGCATAGCGTTTGTCTCGCTGTTCATGTAAGCGCGGTAAGCAGTTTCAAGTTGTTGAAAAGCGTCGTCCGAAGCGATGATTAGCAAGTTGGTATTTGTAGCCTTGACCTGATCCTCCAGGTCAGCATACACGTCTTGCTTATTGACCTCCATCTCCTCTGGCGCGGTTGCCTCCAGATCACTTCTTCTCTTTTTCAGCCCTTCGGCGTCGTATTGAGCAAATCGATTGTTGAAATCCCACAGAGAAAACGCCAATCCATGGATGGTACGATGCGCTGTATCCCACTGAGCTTCCCAAGCAATGCGCTTTCTTATCACGTCCAACTCTTGCTTTCTCAACTGCAATGATTCCTTGAGATCCCCATGACCCTGCTCCAAGTTCTCCACGCCATTCACCAGCGTTTGACGATCAATCGATACTGAATTACTTTGGTCAATTTCCACCTCCAACAATCTCACAGCCTCCAGGACGTGCACCATGTCATGTGTTTGCAAATAAGCCAGCTTGTGGGCAATGCTCTCTTGCTCCTTTTCAAGACGCTCAATGGCTTCTGTCTCTAATGCAATGTTGTCTTCTTCGTCTGGATCCAGAATAGAGGCATCAAACTTTTGCAGCGCGCGTAGTCTGTCTTCTAGCCACGTCGTGATGCGCAACATGTCATCGTAAGCAAGACTAGCACGTTGCTGCAGAGACAGGTTTTCACGATGAGAGGCAAGCAGCTCTTCCAGATCCTCTGTCACTTCAGCAAGGTAGGTAGCGTATTCGTTCATACGATTTCGAATTGCTTCGTTGGCTTCTTCGTTCGATCTACTGGGATCCTCCAACATCTCAGGTACTTCAGGGTAGGGAGCACGCTTCATCAATACAGTGACCCAATGAGATGCATTGTCCTTGAACACCTGCACGCGTTCATGGTAGTTGGTATCCGCTGCTGCTGCTGCTGTTGTAGTTGTGGCGGTGCTTGTGCTGGAGGAGTGCGACATGGACCGTTTCAGCTTCTCTCCCTCTACACGCAACTTTCTGAATTGTGCTGCAATATCACTGACCACCAGATACTGCTCAACAATCTTGCGAGCAAACGAACACTGCTTCATGACCAGTTCAAATTGTCTCTCAAAGGCTTCTTGTCTCTCTTCCAGATGACGCGGCAGGGCACCTTCCAGCTCTTCCATCTCTTGATATGTGTCCAACACGGCAGAAAAGTCGCCTTTATCAAATTCAGCAATACTGTTCTCTAACGACACCAGAATTTGAATCACTTGCTCCGTCAGTTGCTTCAGTTGATGATGAGACATCTCCTCTTCGTCCGCATGGTTGCTGGTCCACCGTGCTTTCCCAAGCATAAACTCTTGTATAGCACTTTCCTTGCGTATACACCATTGCACTGCCTTGTCCATCAGTGTGTCCCATTGAATGCGCACTTTCAATGTATCTACCAGTTTGGAGCGTGTTCGTAACATGTGCATCATGCGATCCAGGATAGTCAAGGTCATCAACGTGATTTCAATGGTGGAGGCATCGGCTGGTGTCAAGTTGCGATCCGTTGTGCCTGTCAGTACGCGTACATGCGATCGCAGTCGAGTCATGTCATCTTGATTAAAGCGCTCAATCTCGCGTCTCAGCTTGTCGTGTTGTTGGTACAGTTGCTCTGTGGTAGCAGCATCCCAATCTTCCACTCTCAAATCCTCGCTCAAAGGATCTACTTGCACGTCTTGATTGCGTTCCTCAATGATGCGTGTACGCTCCTCGATCCAGCCACGAATACGCTCTGCTTCCACAAACCATACACGCACTTGATCTACCCAAGCATTGACCGTTTCGTACTTTTGTTCAATACCAGAGAACAGCTCCGTGAAGCGTGTATCTTGCTGCAGTAGATCGCTGTACTCCTCCTTGGTGTTGAAGATGATGGATCGAACAGCGGATACTTTGGTCTCCAGCAATTGAATAGCATCATGGGTGGTGGCCTTTTCTTGACCATTGTTGTCGCCCATCAGTTGCTGGATGGTCTCTAGCTCCTTTTCAATGGCTTGCACTGTACTGGCAATCACAAGACCGCGTTCAAAGTCCTTGAAGGATCGCTGCTCCTTTTCCATAGCAGCGACCAACGCATCAAACATCTGCATGATTTGACTAGATCGCGCAGACACAGTTTGCATGACAGAACGTGAGAGTTGTCGAGTCGCCTTTTTGAAGTCTTTCCACACGGTGTTTTGGTAGTCTGTGAATTGCTGGCAGAAATCGTTCAAGCGCTCCTTGTAAGCAGCCTGGTTGGCCTGCAATGCCCCTTCATCTGCCTCCAAAGGATGCAACACGGCCGAAGGCGGTACTTGTTCCAGCAACTGCCTGTAGTGCACCAAATCCTTCTCCAATGTGCTCGCACGTGCCTGGTACTCCTCAGCACCCTCCTCCGTATCAATCAGCGCCCTTTCCACTGTCAACAAGTCGTCTTTGGTGGTGTTGAGCAGATCCAAAAACTGATCCCATTCCTTTTGCAAGATGTCGTACAGTTTGGTCACTTGCGTTCGCTGTAAATCCGTCAGTCGGATGATGGTATCGTCTGCAGTCTCTGGTGGTGACGTTAAGATATTTACGGCTTTTTCTGCAGTCTCTAAATGGTCCACTTCGTTGTCAGCCTGCTCCTCAATGATCTCCAATGCATCAATGTACTCAGACACAGATAAGGAGCTCACGAATTCCTCTGGTATTTCGTCAATGGTGCGTGTATTGAGCTTGATAAACGAAAGCACGGTTTCATGGATGGTCAGCAGCTGATCAAGGATGGGGTGAACTCCTCGTGGTAAATGGCCTGTCAGTTGCATCATCAATTTGCTGTTCAAATCTGCCTTGATACGCGCCTTGTCTTCCTTGCCCAAGGTAGATTCTCGTTGCGCCATTTTCTTTTTTCGACGCGCGGATGGCATGGGAATAGGCACAGGTGGCTCTAGGTGCTTTGGTGATGTAGCTGTTTTGCTGGAGGATGGTATAGCGTCTGTGGGTATAGGTGATTCACTTCTAGGTATCGCATCCTGATCGTTGTCATCATCGTCGTCCAGTGATCCACCACACGCCATGACAATAGCCGCCTTACGCTTTACTGCACGTTCTCGCTTTAAATTGGTAGGCTCCTCTTTCTGAAATCTGGACATGATCTTGTAATATTCACTCACATACATCATGACGCTTGGTTCATGAGGATAATCAACATCGACTAAATCTTCAGGCTCCAAATAAGCTTGGATGCCCATTTTATTGGTGCCAAGATCAAATGCTAATCTCAATAACTGATGCCATGTACTCTTTTCTGTGAGGTCCATTGCCAGGTGCGTGTTGAATAAATCGGGTATATGAGCAGGATTATGGCGGTGGATCAGTAAACAAAAGGCGACGCCTGTTCTCCATGATCTGGAGAAGTCTTGTATGGAGGGTATGAGATTGGCGGCAATGTAGTCTTCTAGTTGAATGCGGACCCAGTAGAGGAGGGCTACTTTGGCTTCGGCGGAAGTAGATGTGTGCTTGTCTGCGATAGAATTTTGGCTGTTAAGTTTGCGAGATGATGCTAGTGGAGCAGGTGCATTGTTGGTTGCTGCTGGTTTGTTGTTGTTAAGGTCCATGCTGAATTCTGATTTAGTGCCATTTTCTCTTTCGGAAAGGTCCTATGTTGAGACGCATTAGAAAACAATTGTGCCCCTTCCCTCCCTTTCGATAAGCTTCCTTACACACAACGACTGCATATAGTCATCGCCATGTTCAGTTACAATTAATTGGATTTGGTATTTTAGCATGATGAAAAAAATTAATGCCAACGTCTTTTTTGCATCCCCGTTCACGATAGCCTCATTTCCAATATCAGGCATGGTATCTGATCCAACTTGCTTTTCCAAAAACCCCAGTGCCTGAGCCACATTGGCAAGCTGATGGATACGCATGTTCATGCGTTCTGGTTTGGGTGCTGTTTCGTTGGATATCACAGATAACAGCTTGAGCAACTTTTTGCCGTCCCTGAGATCGGTTTTGATATTGTCAATCGAGTCATTCACCTGCGCAAGTTGCGCATTCACCCATTTTGTCAAGGTACGGATTTGTATATCTTGGTAATCGGATCCAATGTTGCGTACAAGATCTTCGTTAAAGTCAAGTCCGCCCATTGTGTTTTGCCGTGAGCGAGATACTGGTTTCTGATGGTGGAATAGTGAGCGGTTGGACCCTGACTTGACCATGCTAGTGGCAAAGGTTGTATTTGCCGTAGAAGGCCGACTGGATGTCGAGGGCGATGTCGCGTTGGATGAAGAATTGCTCATAATCTAAAACCAACTTGTAAGTGTATAAAAGAAGGAGGGAGATGAAGAAAGAGTATTGAATTTTATTATGTATCCAAAAGTATATATATATATATATAAAAAAGGGGGGGGAAACAAAAGAAGAGCAGCTTGTTGCAGTACTGTGCTAAACCATGAACAGAGTGGGGAGGGGCTGTGCCTATCATTTACCACACTTTAACAAGCTCAATTTAAGCGGACGATATAAAATCAATTTGTGTAATGTTTCTTTTTCAATAGTTCAATTAGATTGTGTATGACATGATTTTTAATGTCCAAGCTTTTCAAGCTTCAACTTGGCTTCTTGATCAGTATTGGGGAGGTAATAGAGTGGAGGAAGTGATTTGGTCTTTCTGAATAAGTCGTCCAAAGAGATTTCTTTGGGTTTTGTGGAGGGTGGAGGCAATGGTATGGATCTGGCGTATTCATTTGTTTGTGAGTGAGATTGAGCCTGAGCTTGCGCCTGAGCGAGTTGCTTTGTGATGATTTGATTGATGCCCACTGTACGCACTCTTCTCTCTTCGGCAGCACTGGCTGATGTGATAGCAGTCGCTTCTCCAGCCATGACTCGAGTCAGCATAGATTCCCAATCGACCTTGATACGTTTCTCTGCTGCATTTTGTTCATAGTCAATCAGTTTATCGGCTTGTTCGGATGTAAGTTCTCCAACGGTAAGCAATCGACCTGTATCTGCAGGGAATTTGATGCCATTGACTTGATGGCAAGCCTCCTTTGCCTGCGGTGCTGTTTCGTACTACGCATTTGTTTTAGTCTGATATATTCTATCCACTCTTTCCACAGCCGCAATAGTACTTACAGTGACATAACAATGTGTCTTTATAGAGTCCATCCAAAATCGCTTTACTGTGCCATATTTCGAAAGGAGTTCTTGGACATGCTTGATAATCAAAGGTCGAACAAACCCCTTGATGTATAAAGAGGCTGTTTCACTTGTTGCGTCGGATGGTGTCTCTTGCTCTGTTTTCAATCGTTTCTCTAGTAAATGTAGATCATCTAAGTACACATGTGTTGCTTGTCCTTTGCTCATTCCTTACCATCTTCGGGTTCATCATTCTCTAATCTCTTTCTCTTGAGCCCTGTATCCAATGATTCATTGGCTTGGCTTTCAATGACCTGTTCCTCAGGCTTTTTGATGAGTTGCTCTTGAGGTCTTTCAATCATTTGCTCGTCAGGCTTCTCAATGAGTTGTTCTTGAGATTTTTCAACAAGCTGCTCGTCAATCTTTTCGATCATTTGCTTATCAGGCTTTTCAATGATCTGCTCTTCAGCTTTCTTTATCACTTGTTCCGTAGTTTGCACCATCACCTCTTCGGTTGGCTTTTCGATCACTTTCTCTGCTGGCTCTTCAATCACTTTCTCTGCTGGCATTTCAACAACTTCTTCAGCGGGTCGTGCAACTACTTCTTCTGCAGGTTTAACAATCAATTGCTCTTCATTACTTTCTTCAATCACAGTTCTTTGAGTAGTATCCTCATTGACAACAGTAGTAACAGTTATCTCTTGGGTTACTTGTTGTTGCTCTTGTTGCTCTACAACAGATGCGGCTTCTTTCTCTTCTACAACTTCCTTGGGCTCCTCCTCGATGACAGGTTCGTTGTTGGTGGTGTTTTCATCCGCTGCTGGTGCTGCGAGTGCCTCGGTTAAACGAGCAACGAGCTCATCTTTCTTACCTTTGGTTGGTAAACCTCGCTTGCTCAATTCAGCGCGAAGGTCAACAACCTTTAAGCTAGATGGTTTTATGTCTGACATTTTACAGGAAATATAAAAGTGTGATGAATAGAAACGCGTCTGAGATCTATGCAAATAATCATGTTCATTCACAATGCCAGTCAGATTTTGGGAGCGTCACGATGGCATCAAATGTTGTATCCTATCAAATGCTAGATTTGAAGTGATCAGTATCAAGAAACTTGCTAAAAGTTGACGCTAAAAATGCAGCTAAATTGTCTCCAAGTCTCATCGAGTATATTGATGATAAAGAACATGCTTTATGAACAGCATAATGCAGATACTTTAACCTATTTGTGTCCACAAATCGACCATGGGATGTTAGCAGCCAAACCTGATTAAAGCTCCGCTTGTCGTCTGTTCTAGATTGGCCAAATTTTGAACAAAATCGACTCAATCAATGTATTTTGTCAAATTCGATAATGGTGATTGTGATAATCATCATATACTTTCTAATAGTTTTTTTGGAGCACTTTTTAAGGCGCTTCTGATGGTGTTAATTGCAATACGCTTTTTGAAATAAATTATCGAGCAATATATTTAAATATGAAATGAGGTTTTTTAGGAAAATATCGAGATTTCTTATAATATAGTTTCACAAAAGTATTTTCAGAGGTTGCGTTGGATCAACAGAAACATTTTGATACAATATATAACATAGTGAAAGTCTTCGTTTTTGCGGTCAAAAGCGCGATCATTTGGTTTATTGATGTTTTCCATGAGGTACCCCTCATGGTTTGGAATCAATTTTTTGGCCATTCTTTTTCGATCTTAAAAAAGTTGAGCAAAGGTGTCAGCAAGTAGCTACTAGATGAGAACAATTGTTTGATGTTATTCTGGAGGTCTAAAACAGTCTCTAACAGGAGAATTTACTGCTCAAAATTATCCCAACTATACAGTGTTTTACACGCTTTCAAGTAGTTGGAGGCGATGCAAGTATGCTGACCGTCCTTCTCTGGATTGTTCCCCTTGATACAGCCGTGGAAGAGCTAGATCCACAGATAGATAAAGGTTTCGCACGATAATGAAGGCTAAAAGGGGTTCTTATTTGGATATTCGCTGCAGCTTACAGCACTTTGAAGAGATGGGCCAGGACGTTCGGCTGGGCGAGCCACCGCCACGTAAATTGGTTTCCACTAAAGTATATAGCTACTGGTGCTCTAATGAATATAGTAATGCAAGTGACATGTCTCAATTTTGGACTAGCAACAAAAGAGGCAAATAATGTGCTCATATAAATGTTGGCATTGGGTGCTTCATTCATCATTCCTTCCGGATTAACAGACCATGTGTGCTTTGGAAACTCTCAGCCAGGCCTTGATACAAAATCTAATGGAAATTTGGGAGCGCAAGATTAGATTGAGGATTTTGACACTCGAGTATAGCCACAGGATGAGATTATTGACATTTAGTATATTTTTTTAAATGCTCTGTTTATATTAAACTGGCTGATCAATCTTGTTACGCTCGATGACGGCGTCGCCATGCGGGCTCTCACCAAAGACATTCCAAATCAGTGATAATAAAAATCTGGCATAAAAGTAGATTTTAAACAGTCAATTAATAGCAAAGAAAAAAGGCTATATCAGAGTCAAGATGCGGAGGTATCCATTCGCTGATGTTGCTCTTGAGATGGCATCATAAAGCTGGTCATACGTAAATCCAGGACTTGTATAAAATCTATTGCAACTTTTTTAAGATATTGTCATTGCAAAAGATACCTTCATCAGGCAAATCTCCTAAAAAAAATACTTAATCTAAACGGTTGTCCTTTAAAATCCATAATCCCCAGTTAATCAACATGGCAATCCTTATTGGCATCATCAGAAAGGCATTTGGGCCAGCCAGCAGCAATGCTGCCGCCGCCAAAATTGATTCAAACTCATTTTATTTTTTCGGCCCAAGATTGGACAGATCTTGTCTTTTTTCGACTTTTTTTAATCTATTTTGTAATATTCGACTATATAAACTGTGATGATCACCCTACGCTTCTTAATATATTCTTAAAGTACTTTTCAAGGCGCTTCCAATGGTGCCAACTAAAATAGATATTCTGAATAAACTTATTGAGCAATTTGGTAAAATATGAAATAAGGTTTCTGGCCAAAATGTCGAAATTTTGTATAAGACCTCATAAAAGTGGATTTAGAAGTTGCTTTGGGTCGAGAGAAACATTTCGATTTGATATATACCATAGTAAAAGTCTTCATTTTCAAGGTAAAAAACGCGGTCGTTTGATTTCCGATGAAAACCATGAGGGATACCTCATGCTTTTTGGTCGAGTTTTGGCCATATTTTTTTTGACCCAAAAAGTTAAACGAAGGTGTCAGGAAGTTATCACTACTCGAGTACAATTGTTTGGCGTCATTCCTGTGGCTCAGAAAGGTCTACATGTCAAGATATGAAGGCTTGAAAGCTGTCAAATTTGGTTATGTATTGCTTTATGGCTTTTATTTACACGGCATGAATCATATCTTTAGTAGCTGAAGCCTTCTGGTATGAGCTAAATTAGCTGTGATTCTGTAGCCTAAATTGGTGCAACAATTAGCGGGTTCATCGTTGAAGCACCGTCCTAAAATTAAATGCTGTGTATCCTGTGGGTAAAGATGTAGATCAGAGCAAGGATGACGACTTGTTTAAAAATACAGACTATAATTACGATTGTAGGCTACCTTGCTTGTGCAGTAACTGTGCTTTTAACGAGAAAAAGCCTTTCAATACGCTTTTCAATTTGTTTGAAAAATCAAAGATGTGGCCCTGCCCACTGCAACACATCTAAGCAATGGTTTGATATTCTACTGCTTATATACTGCAGCGATATTCGAGTAAATTTCTAATACTTACATAAAGGAGAGACTGAAAAAAGGAGAACAAGCTCAAGCATTCAACGTTTTATTGATCTTGGGCAAAAGCGGCAGCAACAGCATTGCTATCACCAGGAAGCTGCTGAGATATACTCCAAAAACATGTGGTTGCCTGACGATTTGAAAGTCGCTTTGTTATACCATTTTGCTGTGTTTGGATGCTATATTTGGGTTCTCTCGGCATGGGTTGGGTAAAAAGAGGAGGGAAGTGGAGGAGGAGCTGAATATATATAAAATAGCCATGATGATGAGTGTCATTTAGTGATGATATAACATTAAGAACGAAATCTCGTTGTTAAAATCTTGATTATATTTAATTCATTGGTGCAATTCGCAATCTTGCACCAAGGCGATACATTCACCAAATGTCTCCAATGCAGACATGGCCTCTTGCTGGACAAGATTGATCTGCTCTGCCTGATGGATTTGCTCTTGGATTGACAGAAGCAATAGCTTACCGGTGACTGGTTTGATGACAAGTTTTTCTAAATGAACCATTTGTGTGGTTGGGAGTACCAAATAGAAAAAAAAAAGGAAAGGGATATCGCCCAGTGAATGATGTATTACCTTTTCCTCTTTTTTTCCTCTTTTACTCTTTTTCTTTTCTTTTTCCCAAATTTCAACTAATCTCTTTTTACATTCTTGTTTTTGATTCCATTCAATTGAACATCCCCAAGAGTCGAGAAAAAAAAAAGAAACGTTTAGACATACATTTAAAGAGAAAAGCGAAACATTTCATACTCGATATCACACAGCAATCAGCCTGAAATACAGCAAAAAAGACGACTATCAACTAGTAAGTGATTTTATTATACATGTCATTATACTCTTGTGTATGGCAAATTGGAGAAGCTGCAAGTGAAGTATGGCTAGAGAGACTGTGGTAAAAGTTGCGGACAAGAAGGGGCATCATGTTCATTATGATGTTAGTCTACTATTATTATCAGCGGCGGTGGCAGCGGCGGCGGCCAAGGACAACATTTCCCGAGAAAGAAAATAGTTCCCATCGCCTTGTATCATTGCAAACAAGTTGCATGTTGTGCCCTTCTTCCTCGAGAAAAGTTGGATAGCTGGACATTGACCCGACTTTTACCACTGAATTACGCGTACTTTTTTGTTTTTTGTTTTTATTTTCTTCAACATGCACAAGGGGGAGGGGTCGCTTTAGAAGGAAGACAAAGATTCTAACATGGCCATAGTAAACAGCAAGATGTCTGAAATAACCGATGTTAATGTGGATTCTATTATCGATAGATTATTAGAAGGTAAGTTGGCAGAGTGCATCAAGGAACAGGTTATTTATTCGAGACATGTATACAGTCAGAGGCAATAGACCCGGCAAACAAGTGCAATTGAATGAACATGAGATTAGATACCTTTGTTTGACTGCTCGCGATATCTTCATGAGTCAGCCTATTCTCTTGGATTTAGAGGCACCTATCAAGATTTGTGGTGATATTCATGGCCAATACTATGATCTGTTGAGATTGTTTGAATACGGTGGATTTCCTCCAGAGTCAAACTATCTCTTCATGGGTGATTATGTCGACAGAGGAAAGCAATCACTGGAGACCATCTGTTTACTATTAGCTTACAAGATCAAATATCCTGAAAACTTCTTCATCCTTCGTGGTAACCATGAATGTGCTAGTATCAATCGTATTTACGGTTTTTATGATGAATGTAAAAGAAGATACAACATCAAATTATGGAAGACGTTCACAGACTGCTTCAACTGTTTACCTATTGCTGCCCTCGTCGACGAAAAGATCTTTTGTATGCATGGTGGTCTCTCTCCCGATCTTCAAAGCTTTGAACAAATCCGCAGAGTCATGAGGCCTACTGATGTACCTGATACTGGTAAGTTGTCTTAGATGTATTTGTGTGTGCGTGAGTGTCCATCATATTCATTGTGATATGCAGGTCTTCTTTGCGATCTTTTATGGTCTGATCCTGACAAAGATATCTCTGGCTGGAGTGAAAACGACCGTGGTGTTTCCTTTACATTTGGCCCTGACATCGTTTCAAGATTCTTACAAAAACACGACATTGATCTGATCTGTAGAGCACATCAAGTTGTCGAGGACGGCTACGAATTCTTCTCAAAGCGTCAACTAGTAACTATCTTCTCAGCACCTAATTACTGTGGTGAATTTGATAATGCTGGTGCCATGATGAGTGTAGATGATTCTTTAATGTGTTCATTCCAGGTAAGTTTGGAGCTGTGGTTGATTTAGAGTAGACACTCATCTCTGTCATAGATCCTCAAACCTGCAGAAAAGAGAGCCAAATACGGTGGATATGCTGGAAACAAGAATGCACAAAGAGGCAAGAAGAAGAACGGTTCTTCATAAATCAAAATATCATTTACACATATTCTATACTTTATCCCTTTCTCTTTTTTCTTATATACTTGAACTCTTATCCTCTCAAATCCAATCTACTTTTGACCCACTCACTCACTCACAAAAGAGACTAAAAAAAAAACCAAAAAATCACTTTGTATAAAGATGCGTTTACTTGTTAATTAATATGACATGCCGAACCTGTACAAAATCTTAATTTCGAGTATGAGAGAATAGTGTGCATAGTACGTCTTCCTACCCGGGACTTAAAGCATGAATGACAGACATTTCTTTGTTCAGATACTTTTTTCTTTTCTCCCAGCTATGAGCGACAACCTCCAGGACCAATTCTCGTTGTCAGTGAGTCCTACTCAATCACCAAACCACGATATAGTGGCTGCACAAGATGAAGCTTTACGGACACTTGATTTCGAGCATGAACATGAGGAGGATGAAGATGAATATTTGGGACGAGTGTCCGGTATTGGAGAGGGCGAAGCTGAAGGTCAGGACGATCTAGACATGATTGAGCAAGAGCAAAACGAACGAGAAGATGGAAGCGAAGCAGAAGACCCAAAACTCGACGATGCAGAAAGAGAAAGTACAGCTATCCACGTATACCAAGAAACACATCCAGATCGTGAACAACGACACGTTGGGGGCAGAGAGATCGGCGAGCATGAAGCTATCTGGAGTGTATCTTCATTTCGACCACATTGGGGACCTGATAAATTACGAGACAATAACGCACTTACCTATTGGCAGTAAGTATACACTTGACTTGATTTACAATAGACGCGACCTCAACATTTGGCAGATCTGATTGTCCAAATCCGCAATTGAACCATACCATTGACCTGGCATTCCACCAAGCAACACTTATAAAACAAGTTTCTATTTTCATTGATTACTTTCAGGATGAAAGCTATACCCCAAAGACAATTATGGTTCGAGGAGGCACAACCTACAGAGACCTTCAGGTGAGAGTAAACTGAATAAGGCACCTGTAGTTTAGATATTGATGTACTACAAAGGAACTGGATAGAGTGGAATGCGAAGAGTTTGTTGGTTGGGTGAATATAGATATTGCATCAAAAAAGTGAGTAATCCCTGTTGATTGCTATGCTGTAGATCCAAGTTTCTGATGGTTATCGTAGTGATGGAAACCCTTTTCGTGTATTTAGGCTACAGATCGCAATCTTGAACACACATTTGAATGGTAGAGATACTCATATTCGCCAGGTGAAGGTCTACTCTGTTATTCCATCTCATTTTGGTGGAGAACCCAAGCAAATAGAGCAAGAGCAGATTACGTCCAAGAAGCTAACGCTTAATAGAGGTTTGCGATGAGACTGATTCATCATACATGCTGTAAATTACTGTAACATCTACTAAATGACTGGATTGAGGGTCAATTCAACCCTGAGCATCTTTATGCTACCTCAGGAAACAATGCGTAGCACTGCAGCCTTCTTATCAATCCACTGATGAAGAGTACATTATTATATTTGATTCTTGAATAAATACATATCCATGATCCAGTACACTGACCCTAGACTTGCGACAAAAGTTCCTCAAAAAGCTGATAGCATGAATTGTGATGTCCAATAGGATTCTGCCCATTGCCGTGATAGAATCGCTTAAACTAATTTGGCTATTGCACAACACCATAAAAAAGCTACTACGCACACTGAGAGGCAAGCACTTTCTTTTCTTCTCTTCTTCAATGATATCCGTCATCAAATCGCCAAACACAAATCAAAAGTTTTTACTATTAGACGCACCTACTAAAAGAACCCTTCCAAAATATATTGACGCTTTCAAGCAAGAAAATGTATCCGACTTGATACGAATATGCCATCGACCCGTAGTGGATTTATCTGATAACAATGGCAAAAACTCAATAGGAGAAAACGAATACGATGCAGAAGAATTAGAAAAGACTACCGGTATCAAGGTCAATGATGATATTAAATTTGAAGACGGTGGAGTACCAAGCCCTGAAGCCATCAGCCGTTGGTTAGAGATCGTAGCGAAAGCCAAAGAGAAGGATACAACTGTTGGTGTTCATTGTATAGCTGGTATTGGAAGAGCACCAGTAAGAACATATGCTAGAAGAAAGCTGAGCAGCATGAGATATTTACGTATTTTTTACAGGTGCTAGTTGCTATTTCGCTTGTGGAAGGTGGCATGGATCCATTGGTAGGAACAATATATCATTTACTTTGAAATGGTTTGATTGATACGCTTTGTTTAGGACGCAATTGCTTACATACGAAAATATCGGAGAGGTGCATTGAATAAGAATCAAGTTCGATTTATAGACAAATACCAAAAGTCGTCGAGCAAATCGAAAAAGAAGCTGTTTGGATGGTGGTAGCACTAGCACATTAGGGAAACACATACTATCTTAAACAATAACTAGTTGCACAACACTGCTTCGCGGTGTATATAACGTCGTGCTGCCGCAGGCTTACTCCACCATTAAACAAAGCTTTATATCTGTTGAGAAATGATGAGACTAACGGCCTGACAATAAAAAATGGATGTAATTTGAGATATAAATATATAAAAACTTTATTGAAAGACCTCAGAGTTTACTATATTGTGTGTAAAATGGCCAGGTAGGTTTTCCAGTACAGAAATATCAGGATCAACCATGATTCTTATCGATGATGGCTTACTGACCCTTGACATTGCGACGTACAACTGACCATGCGAGAAGACGTGAAAGAAAAGATATAGTCCAACGTTAGATAATGTTTGGCTCTGCGATTTGTTTATAGTCATGGCAAAGGCCAATCTCACAGGAAACTGGGTGCGACTGAAGTCGAAGGGAATTCTACCGTTGGCTTCTGTAATAAACTTGGTCCTTGGGGTATACACAACGTCACCTGCTTTTGGCCCTGTGGCAATGGTGGCTTCAATTATTCTAACACCCAAAGATTTCACGATTAGCCTGGTTCCATTGCATAATCCAGCTGAAGGATCTAAGTTTCTCAAGATCATTATTGGAGACCCAACTCTCAAAACCAATTCATGTGGAGGCAGAGAGCCAGATTCTATGGAGTTGAGAAGCTCGAGAGGCACCTGCATTCGAAATTGAGGATCACAGACTTGATCATAGCTGTAATAAGTGAACTTTCTTCCCGGCAAGTTGTCAAGTAGCAGATTGTTTATGACTGAGACATCTTGGTTCTTCGGGGTCAATATAACACGTTTCGCAAAATATTGGTCAATCGTTGAGCTATTGCTGATGTTTGGAAACACAGCAGCTAGCAAATCCAGCAAGTTGGTAGAATTGAAATACATTTCATCTGGGATACGCACAAAATCCGAAGGAATGTCCCCAGGTAATGTCACCGTTCCTGTTGAAGCAACTGCAATTGCAATATGATTTTGTTTGCGAACGACATCTAACAAAGCATTGATGATGAAAGTTTTCCCAGTACCGCCAGGCCCGTCAATAAAAAACAGTTTGGACTGTGCAGCATCATAGTTTTCGTCAGCTAACGCGCAACGTTGAATGGCATTGTAAGCTACCAATTGGCTTGGATTGAATGGCAATGAGTTTGGGTCAGGAGCTTCCAAGGCTTCAATTAGCAGAGTGGCATGCATCCTTTCCAGCGGGGTAGAGACTTCAGGGTAAGCATGAGAATCCCTGGTATCAACAGTAGGGAAAACGTCCTTGAAACCATCCATAGTTTTCAAATCAAATTGGTTGGCAACCAAAATTTGATTCAAATCAAGAAGGCAGTGGCCATACATCTCATCTGTTATTTCAGTGGGAACAGGTTGATTCAGAGCTCTTGCCTTTTGTTGCCTACGATACAGATAGTCCTCGGCTAGATGCAGTCAGTGATTCAACCATAGCTGAAAAGGATCAGAGACATCGCAGAAGGAGAGCAGAATACAGAAGAGTTACTGTATTTTTTGAGGTGACATAGTGGTGCTTGCTTCTGACATGGTATCATTCCATTCATTGTCATCTTGAAGAAGACCCATTGCTCTGGCAGTAGCCTGATAAGACGGATAGACGCGGCCATTGTACGTTCGCATGTAGGTAAAGGATGTTGCTCCTGGAATTCGATACAATAGGATTCTTAAATGATACTTTTCAATATCTTTTGGAGATACTGCGTAGACTCTGCCAATGGCTCCACCAAAACCTGAACGTCTAGGTCTCCAAACTCTTGGGTTCTGTTGTTTATGAAAAACGTACTTTTCACAAAAGTCCGGATACAAAGTTTGCTTAGCTTCGTTGTCTTCAGGATTTTCGAGATTGTACTTGAACCAAGCTGTCAGGGTTGTTTCTGGAAGTGTACGGTTCAAGACCTGGTCAGAACTTTCGTTCTCGTTAAAGTACACCCTTCTATCGTTCTCCAAATGGATATCCAGGCGCTGTGTAGAGGGGTATTCCTTATGCATAGGGAAAGACATGATTCCCCAACAGGCTTCAGATGCCGAGACATATCTTGCATCAAGAAACTTTTTGATCTCATCCTGATGATCATCTTGAGCAGATGAACCCATGTATACCTGTGCTCTGTCATGGCCCTTGTATACATATTTGTATATGTATTTGACCGAGTTGACCTGGCTGCAAATCTCCACGTTGATGTGTGCGTTGTATTTAGCGACCAAATAAAGATTATGAGGCACGACCCAACGATTATCAATAGTGATTCTTCCACTATGTCTGGAAATTGTACGATCAGTCATCAATCAAAACGTATTGAAGAGGATCAAAGAATCGATTGGTTTCATTAATCCTTGTTAGGTTATCGCCAGAGCCTTTCAATCTTAAAACGATATCACGATTTTTTGGCTGTTCGTTGCTGCTTTCATCGTCGCCATCAAACAATAGTACACCAATTTCTGGAACTCTTGGTCTATTGTACCTTCTTGGATTAGGAGAATCTTCTGAACGAAATATCATTCGTATATTCTGAATTCCTCCAGGTTGCTCAACTGATAGCTCCTCCATGGTTTTAAATAAGTCAACAAAAGGATTGACTTAGTGCATCATATTTTGGAGGAGACGCATAGTGGTTCTCTCCATGTTGGGGTTTCCAGCAACATTCAGTCGGTTTTGAAGCTCATTTTCCCCATCGAATATATACATTTGAGCAAATTTTGGACGTGTATCATTTGCTGGCATAAGTGTAGAGCTCATGAGATGATAGACGCTACCGTGAATACGGAATGCGTAGGCACCATTTTGATTATTCGCAACTGATTGATCTAAAGTTGCATTCATGGAGGTAAAGCTGAGAGCAGAATTGTACGCTCTAATGTTCGATTTGAACTCTTTGCTAACATCGTCATTGCTACTCAAAAGATTGACAATAAGCTCTGGAAAATGGTGTACTGGCTTCAAGATTGCCTGGCCATCTTGACAGCAGATTTGAAACGTTGGAGAAGCTCTTGTTGTTCTTTGCTTTCTTTCATCAATCCACATGTAGGCTCCACATTTTGAGCACAAGGCATCCATGCCTCCCAAATCATTTCGGTTAGCTTCAGGTGCTTCAGAATTTCGCGCCATCAAAAAAGGAACTATTGCACCTGTACGTAGAGGATTTTCGGCACAATTATAATGAGATCGGCGTTGGTGTCCTTCTATTCCACAAAAGGGACATACAACTGCTGCTACGATGACATTTGAGTCCAGAGTTTCGGCTGTGGCCTCAGATTGAGAGGCATTTGGAAAGTCTTGTACAATTGGTGTTGGAGACGGTTGCTCAGATGGCTGATTGATTGGATTTAGCGCACAGTCAAGATGATTTCTGCGTGTATGTCCTTCTCTATGGCACCATGGGCAAGTTGCTCTCCTGTCAGAAGTATTTCGAAGTATCCTCATTCCACAATCCTTATGCGAACGCCTTTGGTGTTCAGCGCGGCCACACCACTTACACCTTTCTATATTCTCGTTGACGGTAGCTCCTAATTCCAAAAGTGGGCTCATGTACGTTGGGGAAGTTGTTACTGGAATCTTACCTTCAATAGGTTCAGGAACAACAGGATTTGCAGTTTCAGGAAAGTTGTGAAAGGCAAAATTTACAGTATATGGCTCAACTGGAGTATTCAAAGAATCAGAGCGGTTTAAACGACTTCTCAAGCTTCGAGGCATTTGGATTGTTAGGTAAAGCTTGGGAATATGAAGAGAAAAGGATTATGTAAATGCTTTATTTTCCAAGAATTTTGTTAGCCAAGCTGACAGTAATGGCTGCTTTCCCTACGGGCACTCTTGTAATTAACTTTTTACTATGTGACGGCAGAATAAAATGTGATAAACTATATCCTCCATCTATCCTGAGCCTCGGTCAGTACCTAAATGCAATCTTTTGTGCCTATGAGATGATTAGTGTCGAACACCCCATCATTTGAATAGAGTGTCTAAAGCTGAAGGGTATTTGAACTTCTAAGCACATTTTCAAGCACTAAAACGATCTTCTTGTGTTACATTCAAGTTTAATCAACTTGTGATTCAGGCTATCGTTTAACAGGATCAAAGTGACGATGATAATGAACTGGCATGACGCAAGGATGCATCTTTTGATATAAGAACAACTCTTTATGGAGATCAATGTAGCGCGTTTTTAGTGCTGTAAGCCAAGATTATAAATGATTGCTTCGTCTTTAATGGGCAATGTTGGCTGATTTCAATGGTTTTTTGTGAAAGGCATTTGCAGAGTGGCGCGATCAAGAAATAGATAACATTTTCAGTGAATGTCAATAATACATGTCCTGGTAAATGCAGATCCTTCAGATGCCTGCATGGTTGTACTAAATGTCTGTGTCGAGCGGAAAATAGGATGCACTGCCAATTTGTACATAGATCTAAATCGTATCTTCACGTGCAATGCCCTTTCGCAATTGTGAATGCAGGTAACGAACCATCCCAACATTGTTATTCTGTCCCATCATTGAAAGGCATTGGTATTTCGATTTCGATGGTTGCTATGGCAACATACCTCTATATGTGCAAAATATTTTGTTTCAAAGGGGCACAGGCACCATACTTACCGAGGACTTGAGAAATCGAGCGCAGTAGTGATATCATGTAGTGTTCGCGTTCTGATGTGCATGCTTTTCATAGTATGATTGGCTCTCATTCAGCTTCTTCCAAATGCAAATGGGGCGGCTTGACAATTTTTTTTGTATAAAGCCAGGTAAACAAACGTTCTGTGATTTACAACAATCTTCTTTTTTCCTTTTCCCCTCGAATTGCAAAAAAAAAGAACAGAGTGGGAGACCCGGAAAGCGCTCACACACTCACACAAACACGCTATACACTCACGCTTACGCTCACTTTTCTCACCTATACAACATCCTCCTTTCTTTGTTGTTTTCTCTTGCATTTTCCCACTAAAAGATGCTTCCTAACGAATACAAACCTCGGCAGGTGAGGCCCATGTCTGAGATAATCAACCCAGCTCGTTTTGTAAACGAAGGTAAGAGATAAAATGCAATCGAAAATCATCACATTAACTAGATATCGTACAGCTGACGTTGCTGGTAACTGGTACGAAGATTTGCAAAACTACGAGAGAAATCTAGACGAGATGGCATCGGCTACGCTGGACCAAGTAGGATATGAAATGTTGCAAAGAACGCGTTTTTAACAGATGACTGATATCATGATGATAGAATTTCAAGGAAGAAATGCAACATGTAGACCAGTGGTATCGCTATTTAACAGAGGCAGAAAAGACAGCTACCATGTATACTTTGCTCCAACACTCGAGCCAAGTACAGGCGAGATTCTTCATCAACTTGTTGCAGCAAATGGTAAAGCGGGATCCTCTGTATTCATTATTAACACCAAGCAATCCTGATCAAGGTAAAGCAAGTTGAGAATCGAGTGATTTGCAGGTACTCATCTTCATGATAGACATGCAAAACCATTTTGCTGGTGCCATGGCGAAAGCAGAGCTCGAAGCCAGCCAGAGACTGATGTCAGTTTTGCCATACAAAACAGGCCAGGTCATGAGTCGACCTCAAAGCAACACGAATCGCCGAACTGTCGATCGTCACTCGTTTGCATTAGGTGATACGGAAGAGTATAGTCGATTATTTGGAACTGGCCGTAGTAGTGATTTGCTGAATCACGGCAGCAATAGATCATCTTACATCAGCTTATTAGACGAATCAGCAGCTGCAGTGCAAGCACAAGCACAGGCAGCTGCAACAAATGCTAGACGTTTAAATAACGCATCTAATGGTAGAACGTCAGGACGTACTATGTTTAACAACGGTAGACCTCATTCTGTGATTGAAGGTGATACCAACTCGCTGTTCCCTCCCGCCACATGGATGAATAGCAGTACTATATCGAATAGCAGCAATCCTATGCGTCGTCAACCTACTGGTGTAGGTCATATTGGTGATAGAGGCAGTAAATTGGAAAGACCCAAATCCGCTGACATTAGTAATTGGTCCTTGCCCACAGCCACTACGTCCACTGATTCGCTTGTCGATCGTCGTTCCAGTAGCCATGGTTACCCATCTGTATGGGGAACTCAAGCGCAACAACAACAACAACAACAACAACAACAATCTCAACAACAATCACCCTCTCAACAACACCAGAATTCACCCTCCCAGCAACAAGCGGATAATGATCTATTGGATTTTACAAGTTCAATGCAGCAACAACAACCTTTCCGTAGACGTGCTGCAGTCAATCGTATTCCCGTTGTACCGGAAAATGATGAGTTGCTTAGAAACCACTTTCTGCCAAGCGATATTGATTCTCGCTCAAGTTCACCTTTTCGTAAGCCTACTTCCAGCACGGGTTTGGAACATTACAGTAGCTATTTAATGCAAACGCCTACTCTCACGTCATCGCAACAACAACAACAACAACAGCAGCAGCAAACACTGCAAGGTATTGTTGACAATACTGCCAGTTTGGTTTTAGATGACCATGAATATGCAAGCGATCATAGTGATGGTTCGTACATGTCTCGTCGCAGATCATCTATGGCTGCTGTTGGTGCTGCTACTAGAGCATCCAAAGATAAAAAGGCTGTTGAAGTAGTTGATATGGAACTTTTGAAAGGTATATTGTGATTGCCGAGATGCTCTTGATTTAAGCTGACTGTGTCATATTTGCTTAGACATACCTGCATGGCTCAGGAGTCTTCGTTTACACAAGTATACTGCCATCTTCAGTGATTGCACGTGGCAGGAAATTGTCAAAATGTCAGACGATGATTTATTAAAGAAGGGCGTCGCTGCCTTGGGTGCCAGACGCAAGATGCTGAAAGTGTTTGAGAATATCAGAGCACACTGCGATGCAAATGTAAGTTGAAGCTCTATTGGCAAAAGTGTCGTTGATCTAACCGTGCATTATAGAATATTGAATATTAGATCATCACTCACGTATTGATTCAAGCAAGCAAGGGGGTCTCATACATTTACTAAAACACATGTATATTCACTGTAATTCCACATCTTCCAATATGCTTCTCCTTTCCTCTTGCTGGACAAGTTTTATCACAACCCAATAAGAATAAAAAAAAAATTGCAATATACATACACACACATGTTGAATATGGCTTTGATTGTAGAAATGAACAAGGGAAATTTGATTTATTTTTTAGATATAAAAAGAAAGGTTTCCCTCAGAAATTTCCAGTTAAACAGCTTGTCAGACAAAACTGTTTAGGCCTTGCCAGCGGCAGCGAGAGCCTTTTGGGTACCCTTCTTGGCGAAACGTTGGTTACGGAGGAACTTGGCATCCAACTATATCGTAAAATGTGTCTATAAGTAACAATGTCCTCCTCGAAATCCTCATTCCATTCTCCAAGCCTGGTTTGCTCCTCCACTCCTTCCTAATCATATTGAAATACTTACACCCTTTTGGGAACCGTACTTGTGAGCAATAGGCTTCTTGAGACCGTTACGGTGAGCCTTCTTGACTATTAAAGTGCATAGGGTAAGTTGACTGATTTTGTTTGAATTTTTATGAGATACGTACTTTGGTTGTGGTTGGTGTGGTTCTTAGACTTGGCCATTGTTACGTTTCTACATGATGTCGGATGTCATTAATATTTTTGCTAGTCGATACATGGATGGATCAATGGATGGATGGATGGATGGTGTATATTACCTTGGTCAAACAAGTAGTTGAAAAGAGGGAGTTCTCTAGTTGATGCGCGAGCCTTACTCTCTAGTGTTTCCCTCTCGCTTTGGGAAATCGGATACCGAAAACATTGGGGGTGTTGTGCCTCTTCCTTTGATCTCTTCCTGTGTCCAATATATTGCACCCGGGCCGGATGTCTGTAGATTGTTGCATGAGAGTTACTAGTTTGATGGATCATTTACATACAGCAAATATCACGAAAGCATCCTTGTATTCTCACTCAATTTCTTGGATTAACATCTTACCATCTGGCAATATGTATCTGTAGTATAGCTTGAAAATCATAAGCGTACTCTAATTTTACTGAGATATTGCTAGTTTTCATTGGCTTCTTTGAACTTCATTTTTGGGTTGCTTCAACACAATGGCATCCATTTGAACAAAATCTTGGCTAATCTAATGGTAAAAAGTATTGATTGCTTACTTTGGTTACTAAATGCTTAATTATGTCAATGTGTTTCATCAATGTCATTAGATCGTATTTGGGAAATCATGCGTAAACATGGCAAATTAGCTTTGAGATGATAGTTATGCCTGGTCTCAGTATATTAGATGAGAGCCACTGTACACGATCTCTGGAGATTTATTATATACTCTATACAATTTTATCTGTCTTTGAGTGCTCAATGTGCAATGCAGTTTGGCAGAATGTTTTCTTAAAAATTTGTCTCTGTGCCTAATTAAAGTAAAATTGGCCAAGATGACTATATGGCATGGAAGTATATTATTAGCAAACTAGTTACATCTTTCTAGTAAGTCAAATCACTTCAATTAATTCAAGGCATCCATGACATCCAGGAGTGCTTAGCATTTTACCAGGGCCTTCTAAGATAACGCTAAATACAAAGGATTAGGCCTAATCCTCGGTAGCAATATAAACAAGATCTCAATTGAGAATAATTCTGATCAACAGAGTAAACATTATAAAGCATTATTACACGGATGGATCCACACACACGGTGTAGCTGAAAAACCAAGTAGTGAGACCTTTATATCAAACAAGCGTGTCTTCGCTTTGGATGGCTTCGCTTCGGTAAGAACCAACCTGTGCAGCGGCAGCTCGCGCTACCGATTGCTCTTGCGTATCTTACCGAAGCGAAACGAAGGTAGTGAGCTATCCGGAGCATAAACACACTTGTATATTATAAAGTCTTTATGCAACACAATGATATCTTCAAAACGTCTACACTCAAGTATGAAATTTTTGTACTATCATTGATATAATCAACCAAGGATGCTCTTTTACAATTACAGTAAGGAATATATTTACATGCTGAATAAATATTGATTCAATAATGCTCAACACTTACCAGTGTGCTGCTCGTCTGTGCCAGCCATATTTTCATCCAACTGTCTAGCGTCGAGACTATCCATCTTCATGCAAGCTGTAACAGAATAAACAAGAAAGTATGGGTCAAAGCAGCTACATTAATGATGTACTATAACGGTGTACGCACAGTATCCAGTACCTGAGCTTGATAGAGCTTGAAGGCTGAAAAGTCGCCGTTTTCACATCATACCTTCATGGTCGCCATGCCTACGAAAAAGTCGGTGGATGCTTGATCCATATACGAAGGACTCAGTTTCTTGAATAGAGATCCAAACTTGTCATAGGAGAGATCAATTGCAATCGGTCCATTACGTGCTTCACCCAGCTGCAGGGATTTTATCTCATAAGCCACTACTGTATACGTCCCTTGTGATCATGTAGGCTTCCTTCTGCTGTAAAGGTTACTTTCATTAGGCATCAAACTTACTTTGTGCATTCAAAATTTGAACAAAGTATGGATTGGCTTGGTTAACATTTTCAATTCATCGGATAAATGAGGTCAATATTTCATTAGTAGAGTTTTTTTTTTTTTTTTTTTTTCTTTTATTTCACTGAAGATGATGTCTATATGTACAATTTAAGAAAAGAGAATAGCAGGGCTTAAAGTGAGCCTGATCCGCGTCTCAACTTCTTTGATAAATCACCATCAATTTCTAAATCAAAAAGACGCCAGATACCATTTTCATCTTGGAAATCGTTGTGCACAATATTAACCAAATACCAGTTCTCGTAAATACCCAAAATGACTTCAGCAGACAAGCTTTGGCGATCGTATGTGTGAGCCCATTCATTCCACAGACCAAAAGCTTCATCTTTCCAAGCCATGAATGCAGTAGGCTCAACAATGGTGGGTTGAACAATTTCTTTACCAGGAAAGACACCCCACGTAACAGCATTTGGTTCATCGTCTACTGTATTTGTTCTCAAATCACCATTCTTGTTGACAGCGAAATAAGTCACTTCAGGGTCTGCTCCAATCTTTTGCACCAACTCGTCTAATTTGCTGGGAGGAATAAAGAATTCAATGTAGGCCTTTTGATACACATAGCCGTTCTTGGGACCCCAGCCATAAACAGGGTGATTGCTCTTGGCACCATTGACAGCGGGTTGTGAGTTGATGGTCAAGTAGCCCAACAAGTTGATGGCTGCTAAACGCTGCTTGATGGTATCTGTCTCGGGTTCCAATTTCTGTGCACTCCAAGGAAGTCCCTCCAGCCTTCCCTTACAGTATTTAGCAAACAAAAGTGCAATATCATCAGGAGATTGAGGTTCGCCCCACATTGCCAAACGCTTCTCCACAGGGTATTTGATGGATACACCCCAACGGTCGAATTCGCCAAAGGCAGGAGAACGAGCATCACCCCAACGACCGTTAGGAAACTCATCCCATGACTCTGTGCGTTGAATGTAACTTTGTGCGCGGTTCTTCCAAAAGATAGGACGCACAGTTTCCTTGGTACGATTGGGACCGAGAGACTATAGAAAGATGCTGGATTAATACACGCGCCAAGAACCAAGCCAGTTAATGATACTTACTGGATTCCAGGGCAATGGCTTGACATGCTCCTGCTCGGGCACCAAGCCCAACTTTTCCAAAATGAGTCTTGAAGATCTCTCGAGATTGAATGTGTAAATGTGGAAGCCGTTGATACCAGTCTGCTGTTTGATTTGGTGCACGTATTCGACAGCTAAATCAATGCCGTAATCCTTGACAGCTTGATCATCGTCCTTGATGGATTCAAGGTCATCCCAAATCTTTTGTGGGACCGCATTGTTGTTGAATGAAATGACGCGCTTCAAACCTGCATAGCTTTGGATAGGGAAGATGCCAGGTAAAATGGGACATGTGATGCCGATGTCTCTGCAGCGTCTCACGAACTGAACAAACACATCCACGTCAAAGAACAATTGGGTCACAATCAGGTCGGCACCTGCGTCCACCTTTTCCTTTAATCGCAACAAATCGTCTTCCTTGTCCTCGTTGTCAATATGACCTTCAGGATGTCCTATAGATGAGTTTAGTTGAGTCACTGATGTCATTTGCCTTTGCTTTTCCAATTTACCTGCAACAGCAATACAAAAGTAGTCGCCATAGTTCTTTCTGATGTAGCGCACCAAATCCACAGCATGGTTGAAGCCATTCTCACAGGACTCCCAATTGAGCTGGCCTTTAGGGGGATCACCGCGCAATGCCAGGATATTTTGACATCCACAAGCCTTGGCAGCCTACACATGGATGCCCTTCAGCTCAGATGTACCATTTGACCTCTTCCTGTAGGCCCTTACCTTTAAAGCTGTATCAATGCTCTCCACCGGCATGTTTGTACATGTTAAATGCATCATTGTCTCTAAACCATAGACAGACTGTGAGGTAGCAACGATATCCATGGTCAAATCAGCCGAAGTGCCACCAGCACCCCAAGTGACATCCACAAACTCCGGGCCAAAACGCTGCATTCTCTCCATACGATCATACAAGTTTTGAACACCCTAAATGAAGCGTGTTGAGTTTATTTCATGCTTTTTATGCATAATTTACAGATACTGATTGATGGATTGCTTACCATTTCTGTCTTTGGAGGAAAGTATTCAAAGGACCAGTAAGTACGTCCTTCGTTTTCAGCTTTAGTAATCTTGTCAATGACCTTCATGATAATATTTTCAATTGTATAAACGAAAGAGAAGAGAAAAAAAATCCGGGGCCACTTTTTTTTTTTTTTTTTTTTTTTTTTTCGTTTATTAATGGCTTTAGATGAATGGGTTTCATTGGTGGACATTCCAATCTGGAAGGAGATCATCTATGATTTCTTTAGGTTGGAAACGCTGCTTATAGGCCCCTTGAGTCTTGTCGGTAAGGTCGAATTTCATTGGGACTGGATGCCATGGATGTTGAATCTATTAGCCATCTGCCTCTCTCTCCTCATATTCATGGATACAATCACCAGTCCAGCCTACAGCAACTAAACCTGTCATTGTATCACTGTCGCACTGAACGCCCTTCATTCCATTTTCCCACCATCATTTTCTCAGTGGCACAGAGACGCTAACTTGACAGTTTCTGATTGGAACATCCATGCAATAGATGGCCTTCAATGCTCTTTTCCCTGCCATCAAAATCTCCTGCTATCGGGAGTCTCAAATCCAAATTGTACATCAAGTGCATATAGCAAATTCTATTTAACAAACATGACATTGATGAAAAGCTAATTTATATATGTATATGATGAACAAGTAGAGATAATAGTATAAGTATGAGTAATAGAAGGAAAAAAGGAAAGTCTAATATGTATATAATCGATTTGTATATGCGAGATATTGAATATGTATAGGTTAAGGTGTTGTATATGAAAAAGGGGCGAGCAGGACTCTGTATACTATAAGGTAGGTTTCTGCGCACTAAAGTAAAAGCTACGAACTGTAGTCTTGTAGTCGTCGCATTCATCAATGGCCTGAATCAATGTTTTTGTGTATTCTCTCTCTGTCAAGTTGTTGAATTTACAGTACCAGCGCTTAGATTCTCTAAATCTGCGTTCTGTTATGTCTTTTTGAAGATAACCTGTTTCCTTCATTTCTATATTATAAAGTATCAATACCACAGAACCAATATAGCATACACCCGATCTTTACCTTTGGAATTCGGCCATTCGCCAATGGGCAGCTTAATTGACTTTTCCTTCACATTGGTATAACCAGCATTTGTCAAGTATGAGCCTAATTCGCTATTCGTGTTACGATCAACTTTAATTGCTTCATAAAACCGATCAGACCATTGTTCCATAAGAGTTAAATTAGGTCCCATTGACTGGAAGTTTGTATCTGTCAGGTAACGAGAAGCTGTCAGTATGTGATTGTGGGCAATGCAAGATATCGTTACCTTGTTCATAGATTTCAATGTAGCCGCCCGGTTTCAGGATGCGATATATCTCTTTCAATAAATGTGTCCATTTGCAAGCAGGCGCATTCACAAGCCAGACATCTCTCATCATGATATAGTCCACCTGGTTATCACCAAATTCCTTCAGCCCAGTTTCGCCTTGATGAATCATGGCATTGTGGAAAGAAAAGTTCTTGACAGTGTTTGTGAGGCTTGCTACTGTGACAGATTCATAATCGATGCCAACCACCTTTGCATTGGGGAACTCAAAGGCTAATTCTATATCCCAAACCGCTATGAAGGATTTCGAACTTTAAATTACGTGTTTATGAGATCATGACTAATGTAGACATTACCTGTGGCACAGCACCAATCAATGATGAGTGAAGGATTTTCTAGTGGTATCTGATAATTTCCTCCCCAGGTACGCTTGAGCAAGTAGTGCTAAAAGGAAAAATATGGCTGTTAATGGATCCAGTATGTAATGAGAGCCATGCTGAATATCATCTACCTGTCTATGGCGTCTGTCAAATAGAGCCAATTGTTAGTAAAATGTTGCCCCTGTAACTCATATCTGTCATTTACACACCTGTCACGATCTCTTCTTCTTTCAGGACTTGTTTCACTTAACATGTACAGTTCTTTCAGCATGAGTTCACTGGAATAGGGTTGCTGAAAAGTCGTCGATGGTGAAGTTGTATCGTTTGTAGTTCTTGCTGTAGACATGGAATTGATGCTTGACATGGATTGATTATCGTAGTATCCGGCCTGCGGATTTTGTAGTTGCTGTTGTAGTTGTTGCTGATGATGATGCTCAAGCAGAGTCATTTGACTATCTGTATATTTATCAATGATGGGAAACTCTTTCTGCATAGATTGCGGCGATGAATACATCAGATTGGAGTCAGTGCTGCTGCTGCTTGATCTCATCGCATCGTCTGCTTTCGTAAAGATGTCCAAGATGGGAGGCTTCTTGTGCGAGGCGTTATCGTTCGACTTGCGATGATGATTGCTCTTGTTCTTTAATCGACTGAGAATGCCATGATGTGTGTTGCTAGAGTGTGATTCTTTTCTTTCATGTTGAGATTCGGATATCGACCATTCTTTGTTGTTGTTGTTGTTGTGGGCTGAAGAAACAGAACATGCTGAACTGAAGCGATTCGAGAATGTCGAGCGATTGCTTTGTCGTCTTGGTTTCAGTGCCTTTTTATCAATGTGTTGATGCTCGTTACTAATCGAATTACCCATTCCCCCATACAAAACTTGCAGCTGATATGATTCAAAGCAAGCACGAAAAGAAGAAGAAGAAGAAAGTGAGAGAGAAGAGAGAAGAGAAACAAATTAGTTCCAAATTAATCAAATTTTTGAATCTGACATGTAAATATGTGATGTCAATGAAAAAGCCAAACCCTATTGTCATCTCAGATAAAATCTCAACTATTCAGTGTAACAATGTATACTTTGTTTCAATATGGTAGGCTCCTATGCCAAAAGACTCTTTGAGGAAGGATGCAATGCTCAAAAAACTCGGATATTGGCAGAAACAAATAATAAGTGTCCGCGGTAAAAAAAAAAAAAAAATTGAAACGCAAATGATGTGATCCCAACATGTGTAAGGGTTTTCGTTTTCAGGAACATTCAAATCAATGTAAATGTTTTTGGGCATCTCAAAACTGCAAAATGTAGTGCTATGCTCAAATAAGCTTGTTAATCTAGAATGTCCATTAAGCATACTCAATCTTCCGCACTCTACCTTGGGTGCATTGTTTTTTAAGACATCTTTACAATAACTATGTAAGCAATGACAAACAGATGGCCATCCTGCCAAACCAAGAGCCAAAGTGTTTTGTTAGTGATTTTGCAAACTGTTTTCGAAATTTTCGATAGAAGCAATCATCCCAACAATGCATGGCTACAATATATATATATATATATATATATATATATATCAGGCCTAAAAGATTTTCGTTGATCTTCCGCCATCGTAAGTTAATTCAATCTGTTTCAAGTATCTTTCACTCTAGAAGCAAGAATCGTGGCCAAATAGGAAAGAACGTTAATTTGTTGCTAAACGCAAGCTGTGGTGAGAAGTCGACGTTTGAAATGCGCATTCTGTTTTACCGTAGAATACAGCAGTTTCATGGTAATTTCAATGGCAAACTCTAAGCCGTTTTCGAGAAATACTGGGTATATTGACTATAAGTATACTACTTGGTATATAATAAAGCCAAACTAAGTCAAAGATATCATAGAATAGTTGAGAATAGCAACAGTTGGCATGAGAAATTGGTTTTTTTTTTGATTCAAGACGGCTCCCAGAAACTCGGTTCAATGTTGCTTAATTTAACCGAATCACAATCTATACCATCTTTCCCCTACACAATTGCTTAATAAAGTGAATTGTGGTACAGGAAAAGTAGTGGACTCTCATGAACCACTTTTTTTTGGCAACAAATAATGACGGGATATCTTGCTTGAGCGTGCGTATCAAGTATCCCATGAGTTTACAGCCACCAGCTGCCACCCGCAATCATCGCTCACGGGTCTATACACATTGACGCATCTGAAACCTGACCCAAAAGTGAATTGAGCTGTTTGAAGTTCTTTCAAAGGCCTCGAATTCAATGTTGATAACGTTGGCTACGCTATTATTTGATCTTAGTATCTCAACCACAAATTACCTTATTTCAATATCGCTCTTAATTGCTCATTGAAGTCATACATAGTTTTAACGTGCAATTGTCAATCAGATGATTAAAACTATGATGTTACAAAATGATTAAGCGTATCGTATGTCTGCAGCCTAGCAGCATTGCTTAGATAAAGAGCTTAATTCAGCTATGCAGAACTACCGACGTGTACTGTGTATAAATACGCCTAAAGGTTATATGGATAGACATGGCACCCGGAAAAGTTTGAAATCGGCATTCTTTTGATATTTACTGAGTTTTCTAGACTGAACAAGAGCTGACAGAGCCCAATTGAATGCACTAAATCATAGCAACTATTGTTGACTACACGTCTTTTTGACATATGAACGGCTTAGGATGCTATTTTGATGTTTGCAAACACTAGTTCTGATCTGATTTGTTCCTAGAAGTGCCTTCTTTTTTAGAAAAAAAATCAGGTTGCACAGTAGTTATTTAAAATGAAGGAGCAAACATTCTGAATTCATTCATGAATTTGCTCAAGCTCAGGGTGTATACGATAGCACGCTAAAAACATAAGATGAGTTTTGAAGACAGTTTTAGTAGAACGCTTGAGTTGCTTACAAACGATGCGGTGCAGTGAAAGAAAGGCTGATGCCACAAACCGTTTACGTCTATTTATGGTACGCCAATGATTTGGATTTTGATAGTACCAATATAGAGCTCAGGACTCGCTGCAATGAAGAAGACTAGCATTGATGCTCACAACTATATCCGGAACCCGGAAGAGAGATCCATGTCAATGCTTAATGCCATGTCGAAAATTGATCAAGTTTTACTATAATCAATCTCTTTCTTGCCAAGAATCAGATTTTAATTGTTTTCCTTGTATCCGTACGCTATGCTGTTTCTGACAAGTACGATATTAATAACGCAAGAAATAATAGAATTGCTACACAAATGTATTCAATCACCATTGCTAGACTGTCGGATGTAGATGGATAGAAAGATGGACCGTGTCCTAATGATCGATATCAGTACATCTCAAGTTAGGTATATCTATAGAACTAATTCATTTAACCATAGGTAATTACATCTTGCAAATTGAATAACCATCTCCATCTGTTTAGTATGACTAACTGCAAAGATTCAGTGAACAAGCTTCACATGCAACTAGAGATGAGTGTCCGATTGTTTGATCTCGGCTATTTATGGCTCGGTGTTTAGATGAGTCCATTCATATACGCGAAAGGCGGCTCAAAAATTACACATTTATGGTGTCCTTTCATTAATGGAAACCTAAAGGACTACTTCCACGGATAAATAGGTTGAGAAACTACAAATCTATTTCAAATCTTCAACCCACCAGCCTATTGTAAAACACATGCTATGATGAAAGAAGGGCCCTTTGTACTGCTTGCATCTCTGTGCAGAGATATAAGGTTTTTCTTTTTGGTTTTACACATCGGTGATAAAGCCACACATGAAGAAAAGGTGCATTTCCCTGTATTCTTCTGCATCTTACTGTATGAAAGAATTCTTTCTGTAGTCTTTTCTTATCAGATGTCAAGATTGAAAAGCAAACCAAACCCAAAGATCAAAGATCCGGTGATGGCATTGTTTATTGTTCATTACAAATGAGAATATGCTTGTTGATTTCCATGCCCGCGGGTAAAGTTTCCTTTTTCCAAGCATTGAAATCATGTTTCATTGGATATGTAATATCTCTAATTTAAGGCAAAAGAAGCTCAGAAAGTGCTAAAAATGAGGTATGACACAAATGTCGCGCTCTCAAGGTCGTACATGAGAGAAAAAATGTAGGTATAAATACACTGATCTGCATGACATAATGGCAGTTTTTTTTTTTTTTTTTTCTCTTCTCAACATAAATTTATTTTGTATCTATCATGGAATACGTTAAAGGTCTTTTCCTTGGAAATCAAACCAATCCCACTGTTGTAGTCAACGAGAAAGAACACATCTTTCGTAGTCGTCATGCTGAAAATGGTTTCGTTAGCACTCCTCTCATGCCTGACTTGAAGAAGGAGGAGTGTACCATCTCTAGAGTCTGGGAAGATACCGTCAAGGCCAACAGCTCCAAGCCTGTCTTTGGTAGCCGTCCTCTTATCAAAGTTAGTATTACATCGAGTGGATGTGTCAAATCCTAGTTGCTTAACATTGGATGCTAGATTTATACAAAGGAATCCAAGCCATCTGAAGATGGCAAGACCAAAAAGTGGTCTTATTTCGAGCTTGGTGATTACGAATGGATGAACTACAACGAGGCTGATGACAAGGTCAAGAAGGTAGCATCTACTCTTAAAAAGCATGGGTTGAAACATGGTGATATTGTCATTTTGTTCTGTAAGACAAGGTAGGTTTCAAAAAAAACAATATGTTTGGGAAATGCCAGCTAAAGAAGTGTATCAAACATCTAGAGCTGAATGGATGATTACTGCTTTGGGTATGTTATGGCACACACATTGTGTATATGTACAAAGCATCATCTAATAATGATATCATTTTATTATTAGCTTGTTTTTCAATGGGTCTGGTAATCACCACAGCATACGATTCAATGCCAGCTGAATCAGTAAATCACATTATCAAGGAGACTGAGGCAAAGGCAATCTTTACTGAGGTAACGCTTATCGAGATAACAATCATCATACCATCGCACTAAACCACGGATCCAATAGACTTCTTTGTTTGGAACTTTAAACAAGGCTTACTCTAAACTCGACAAGAAGGATCAGCCCAAGTTTGTCTTCTACGCTGGTAAAGAATTTGAGGCACCAGAAGAAATCAAAAAGTTCAAGGATGGAAAAGCGGATGATGTCGAGATCGTGCACTTCACTGACGTTGTCAATAACGATGAGAACCTTGGGGATGTCCAACCCGACGTCAAGCCCAAGCCTGATGATCTTGCTTTGATCATGTACACCTCTGGCTCCACTGGCCCACCAAAGGGTGTTGAGTTGACCAATGCCAACATCATTGCTGCCACCGGTGCTGCTGAATATCTCGTGATTGAGTTGATTGAGAACTACGATCACAGCTATATTGGTTTCTTGCCTCTTGCTCACGTTCTTGAGTTTTTAGTCGAATTCATCATGATTTCTATGGGTGTACCTATTGGTTATGGTAGCATTCGTACATTGATGAACGACTTTGTCTGTGGCCCTGATGGCGAAGGTAAAGGGGATGGTGATTTGAAGGTCTTGAAGCCTACCATCATGGCTGGAGTTCCTGCTGTTTGGGAAAAAATCAAGAAGGGTGTCGAAAGCAAGTTGGAGAAGCAACATTGGGCTGTCAAGAAGACCTTTGAAGCTGCTATTGAGATGAAGTGGCAAATGTTGCAATTCTTTGGCAAGACCAATGCTTTGACCAACGCTTATGATTCTATCATCTTTGGTGCTATTCGCGATGTTACCGGTGGTCGCCTCATGTACGGTATTTCCGGTGGTGCTCCTGTTTCCTTCGAGACCCAAAAGTTCATCACTTCCAGTTTATGCTTCATGCTGCAAGGTTATGGTCTCAGTGAATGCTGTGGTTTGGCTGCTGTCACTCTTCCCAGCTTTGGTTTAGTTACCGGTGTTATTGGTCCCCCCTCCCCTTCCATTGAATTCCGTTTTGTCGATGTTCCTGACACTGACTACAAGGCTGAAGATAACGTTGGTGAGCTATGGCTTCGCGGTCCTTCTCTCATGAGAGGTTACTTCAAAAGACCTGATCTCACCAAGGAAGCTATCACCTCAGATGGCTGGTTCAAGACTGGTGATATTGCTCGTTTGAACAAGGACGGTACTTTTGCTATTACTGATCGCGCAAAGAACTTGGTCAAGTTGGCTCACGGTGAATACATTGCTCTGGAGAATTTGGAGTCCAAGTACCGCAACTGTAACAGCATCAAGAACATTTGTCTCGTGGCTGACAGTGACAAGTCTTATATCATTGCTGTTGTTGAACCTGCAGACAATGATGTGGATAAGGATAAGCTTCTCAAGGAGCTTCAACAAACAGCTACTTCCAGTGGATGCAGCCGAGTAGAAACCATCAAGGATGTTGTTGTCACCCGCCATGTTGACTGGCAAAAGGAGTACATGACCACCAGCGGAAAGATCAAGCGTAGAGACATTGTTAAAGGCAATAAGGAAGAGATTGACAAGGTCTACAAATAGAGAATTCAGCTACGACTACCCCTTTTTCATAGATCTCTGTTGAGTATATGCTAGTATCACGCATTTATACCCTCCTCTTGTTCAAGTTTTGTTATTATATTCTTTTGTAAAACCCATAAATACAATAAAAAAAATGATTTGGACGATACATTCAAATGAGCATGGGGTACTTAAGAGTAGGTAGCCTTAGGAAGACCATGTATCCTCGGAAACAAGGGGTAAGTTGACGTTAGAATATTTGTTTGTCGCAGTAATTTTTACCAGAAGCACAGAGTACTTTTTTTGGTAATTAGGTTTATCTGCAAATATCCGGTAAATGAACGTAGATTTCTGTCATACCATGACATTTTACATTAGTATACTTGATGTCTCCTATATAATTTAGCACTAGGACACTGATAGCAAGCATAAATTTCTGGATTTATACAACAAAATTTTTTCAGATGGCCACTGGATATAGAACAGAGAGTTGGCTTCCTTGAAACTAAGATCAACACCGGATGATGCGATATTACTCTACTACTACGGCTGCTGCTGCTACTGCTGCTACTTCATCACAAAAATGATTATCTTTTGATAAAAAAATATACAAACAAACATGTTTCATACGTTCTATGTTGGCTACACTAGAGATTCTAGCAACAGAACTTGTAGTACACAAGCAACGTTTTCGCATTTTACGGATGCCATAGAATGTCGAGAAGGCACAGATGTGTACCTTTCTAGTTCCCGGTGACTCCTTTAGCAGAAATTTTTGATAGTAATTGGTTAGAAATTACGAAACATTTGACCCTTAGGGTACACATTGCTTGTCAATGAGGTACCCATTCCGTTTTAGTGTTGGAAATTTCCTGTCATGAATCAGAAAATCAGTATAAATGAGATACAATCTCAAACCCTTTACATTCAATACATCTTCTTTTTTCATCTTGATCATGGCCTCTAAATCATTCCTCACAAGATCATCGTTACTTTTACTGTTTATTGCTGTCTTTTTGATCGCATCCATACATGCGCAAGTCCATGTCCATGAAGGTAAGTGTTGCATTGAGAGTTAGCCAAGTTGATCGCTCACATACAAAAAATAGATGGCACAGTTCATGACCATGCTGATGGTGCATCGAACCATACTCATGCAGAGCCTGGAAGTAAGGTTCTTTCTGTTTGATCTCTTTGGCACCGATTGACTTATAATCACATTTGTAGATACAGCCATTGCTGACAGTCATGACCACGATCATGACCACGATCATGACCACGACCACACACACGCAGAAGGCGAGGTCGCTCATGACCATGCTGCTGAAGCTGCAGGAGCTGTCCACGATCACTCTGCTGAAGGAGAAGCTGCTCACGATCACTCTGCTGAAGGAGAAGCTGCTCACGATCATGCAGGACATTCACATGGTATCTCTTGCAATATGGAGCCCATTGAAAACTACAACATGCCTTTGAGAATCGGCTCCGTGTTTATTATTATGATTACTTCTGCAGTGGGTAAGTTTACATCCACATAATCAGCTGTGACCCCAAATATTTATACTCTATATATGTAGGTATTTTTGCTCCTATTATTCTCTATCGTATTAGCCCATACAAGGAAGGCTCTGTTCGTGATTGGGCCCTTACTGCTGGTAAATTCTTCGGTACAGGTGTTATCATTGCTACTGCTTTCATTCACATGCTTCCTGAAGCTCTTGAACACTTTGATTCTGAATGTCTTGGTGAAGGCTGGCACTCTTATCACGCTTTCGGTGGTCTCTTTTGTATGATTGCTTCATTCGCTCTTCAAATCATTGAATTGGCTGCCATCTCAAACTTGGATGCCATCGCTCAGAAGAATGCTGACGCTGCTAATGCTGCTGCCACTGCTGCTGGTGCTGGTGCTGACTATTATGTTACTAATTCAATCAAGAACAGCAATAACGGGGAGTATGTTGACGGCAAAATTAACGAAAAGAGCCTTGCTGATCCTTCAAGTAACATAAGTCATGTTGAGAGAAGTCATCACGAGCACAATCACACTGGTATCAACGAAGACGGACATGTTCACTCGGCTGGTTTCCTTGAACATGAGCAATCAATTCGCAACATCGGTACATTCATTTTGGAGCTCGGTATTGTCATGCACTCTATCATTATTGGTATTACTTTGGGTGTCTCTGAAAGCACAGCCTTCCAAACCTTACTCATCGCCTTGGTGTTCCATCAGTTCTTTGAGGGTATCGCTCTTGGTACCCGTATCAACGATCTCAAATGCAAGACTTGGACAAAGCCTATTCTTATGGGCCTATTGTTCATCTGTATGACTCCTATTGGTGTTGGTATTGGTATTGGTATCAGATCATCTATCAATCCTCCTGCTGCTATCCTTGCTCAAGCTATTTTGGACTCTCTTTCTGCTGGTATCTTGTTGTACAATGCCTACGTGTCTCTCATGAGCATCGAAATTAACCATAATGTTGGATTCCGCAAGTCCTCTTTAAGCCGTAAGGTCTTTTGCTTCTTATGCATGTACGTTGGTGCTGCTCTCATGTCTGTGCTTGGTGCCTGGGCTTAAGTCAAATGTTGTTCTGTTTTTCTGACATGTCATTCTAACCTTTCCCTATATACGCATCGTGGCAGCAATCGTCAATGTTGATCATATCTAATCTCATTAAAACCCTGTATTATTATAAATAAAATCCCCAATACTAATTTATTGCGGTATAAACTATCTGATTTTCTATCATCGCTCTCTTATCATAAAAATCAGTGAGAGGTTCCCTTCACGATTTTGCTCATAATCGTGTATTTTATGAACTTTAAGCAGAGAAATGGCTCAATTATTGACGATGGAGTCATGTTAGCCAAGTAACTTGATGCAGAATACAGATTTGCCTTGAATGGTAAGAATCTTGATAGTGTATTTACAATTTATATCCAAATAAACCTATTTTTTCATACTATATTTTGGAGATTTTTAAAGAGAAATGATTACTGAATCTGCACTACTATCCCAATTGCAGCATTATCCATTGTGTAGACCCAAAAGCGTCTATCGTTTGAGATCTCAGCTGAAGTTGTAGCATTAGCTCTCGTGGATTTGCAGTGCCCATTAGGTCAGCCCCTACCAAATAGTAGTCGAAAATTGATCGATCAAGGCTAGCGCTTGCTATAGTGGGGCATATGAAATCCTTGTTGTGTATTGCTATCAACCATTCTACGCCCAAAGTTCACTTACCAGAGTTGAGCACCGTATGGACGTCTCCGTGCTATTATTAAAGAAAACCGTGAGTTTGCCACTGCCACCCCCCAAGTTGAGGGTCAAAAATCGATTTTTACCATAAGACGTGAAAAAGCTGTTTCTCCCACTCCTAGGTGAGATACGCATCATAGTTTAACACTTTTGCCAGACCACAATGAAGCAATATATTAACAAAATTTTTTGAATACAACGCTTCCCAGCTTCGCATCTATCGATCTATTACTCGGAATTGCTGGCAACTAACAGGTTTTCATATGAAGCTCATTACTCAAAATTAGCCTATCATTTCGAAAATCCTCTTATTCTCAGCAACAACTCTTTGCTAAACCACAACGAAGCTAGCTATAACCAAGCGGTTTTCAATACAGCGTTTCCCAACATTGCTTCCATTGATCTATTACTCGTAACCACTTGTAACTAACAGGTTCTCATAGAAACATGCTACTTTCAAAGCTCTAGCATCAATATTTCAAAATTCCATGTTGGATGGCCTCAACCTCGAAATTGAAACGACTTTTGTTAGGGTGGTATCTTTCTATCGCAGGTAGTATTCCAACATCAAAGCCGCAAATGGTACTACTGTAACTGTCTAAAAGATTCATCATTGGGCTCATACAACCAACAATTTCTCTGCAAGGAGAATGTGAAATTGAATAAATCTATAGCCCTATTATGCATTTATGTCTGACGAAAAGGTATACTACTACTCCTTAAAGCATACAATGCTGCACTATAGTTTTCAACAATTAGAAAGATTGTCTGATGATGGGTTGTTGTCCAGAATAATACTGTTGTAGCAGCAACGCAAACGCTGTGTTGAAGTAGTATTATTATATAATTTTCCTTGCACAAATATATTTAAAGGACATTCCTCACGTCGAACTATTATGCAATGAATGCTAAATCAAATGATTACATCTTATCCTATACTTTTAAATAAGGAAGAATTTAAATTATATCTATTTAGATAACCTTTTATTACAAACACAAAGTTATAATACATGACATCAATCTGAAATCAAGTAGTTGTAGACCTTCGTTGCTTCAGCCTCTTAGCCAATCAGATTGCTTGAAAGCTCCGCTGACCTAAAAAAAAATTTGCGAGGGTTTCCCTCTGTTTTGATGTGAGGCAAAATTTTAAGCGCCGTTATAATAGCAATATAGCCGCCGCTATCATCAAACTTCCCCCAGGTGCTAGAGCATGCCTTACTTACACCACCTAGCTTTAAATACTGGCATTGAGACCCTCAATCATCACTAAAGTAAGTAGCGATAACCAAGTGGAGGCAGCCTATCTATCTCCTGGTGTCGGATAAAGTCTTGTTGAGCTTCAGTGATAGGCACATCCACACAATGTAAAAAAGTTATGCTTCAAAGAAACATAATAATAATAAAAGAAGAAAAGAACATACTACTATAGGAGTATTATAGTAGTACGTAGGCAAAAAAGGGATGCTCACACAAAGTGAGTCAAAGAAAAGTATAACAAACACAACATCAAAGACGTTCAGAACAGCTCGTTGTTGTTGCAACAAAAATCCATACATGAGCAACATGCATGGTAATAGTTGGATGTAAAGCAACACAACCAACAAAAGAAGAAGAAAAACGTAACAAAGTAAACATCATGAATGCATTATCATGAGAAAGGAAGCAACAATACAAACGTTCAAAGAAGTTTTATATCATTGCGACCAGAAGAAAGAAGATACTTACCACTTACCACAACCGTCGATAGACCAGAGGATACGCAATCACCGAATATAGACCAGAGAGCGAGCATGAACCAAAGACAGTAGACCTGGAAAGACCATATTAGCAGCAGCAACAGTAACACCAGCACCATAGACAAACCAAAGAACGAACGACACCAGAGAACGAGCATGCACCAAACACAGTAGACCAGGAAAGACCATATTAGCAGCAGCAGCAGCAGCAGCAGCAGCAGTAACACCAGCATCATAGACAAACCAAAGTACAAACGCCACCAGCAGAGACTAGACATAGACCAAAGAAGTCAATTACCACTTACCACCACCGTCGATAGACCAGAGAACGAGCAAGTACCAAAGACAGTAGACCTGGAAAGACCATATTAGCAGCAGCAACAGTAACACCAGCACCATAGACAAACCAAAGAACGAGCGACACCAGAGAACGAGCATGAACCAAAGACAATAGACCAGGAAAGACCATATTAGCAGCAGTAACACCAGCATCATAGACAAACCAAAGTACAACCGCCACCAGCAGAGACTAGACATAGACCAAAGAAGTCAATTACCACTTACCACCACCGTCGATAGACCAGAGAACGAGCATGAACCAAAGAGAGTAGACCAGGAAAGACCATATTACCACCACCACCAGCAGCAGCAGCAGTAACACCGGCACCATAAACAAACCGAGGAACGAATGCCACCAGCAGAGACCAGACAAAGGCCAAAGAAGCAATTACCAGACATGATAAACCAAAGAAGCAGACATCAGAGATGACAGAGAAGTAATGGCAACAGCATTCACTCAGATAAGCAAGAAACTATTAAAACCTAGTAAACAAACTGAATTAGTGTTAATTCTACGCCTTCCAGTGCTCGTTATCGAATAGTATCTAATATATTCCACTTTAAAGAAGCAGTATCAAGTTCTTCCAACAGTACAAGACAAAGTTATCGGAAGCTAGAGTGTTATTATCAATCAAACGATGTCCAAAACCACCATGGTTTGATATTAAAACGCGTTTTGCAAAATGGGTAAAAAATGGGTGCATGGAAAAACGAGAGGGTACCCTATCCGACGTCATGACCAGTAGATTTAGTCTCAGCCTTGTACTGTAGCAGCAGTAATTGCGGCAATTTAATTTGAAATTGTGCAGTGGTATTTTCGTGTTCAAACTTGACTTGATCTCACATTCTTTAAACGTTTTTACTAAATTTGACTATGAAAACTGTGATTGTCACACCCAACTTTCTAATACATCTCTAGAGGACTAAAGAAGCCGCATCAAATGGTGCTAATTACTTTCAGCTTTCAGACCAACAATAATGAGCAATTTCCAAAAATATGAAAACAGGTCTTCTGTGAATATGTCAAAATTTAGCATATAAAAGTCTCATAGAAAGAGTTTCCAATGTTGCATTTCATCTTTACGATCAATTTGATCTAATATGTATCATAGGAAAAGTATTCACTTTTGACGTGAAAAACGCAATCGTTTGATTTTCAAGAATTTTCCCTTGCTAATACTCATGGAAAAACGATGATTTTCATGAATTTGCAACAAACCAAAAAAAAAAAATTGAGATAAAGCATCAAGAAGTAAAGCGTGGCCAAGAGGAGGCGTGTGATGCTATTTCAAGCGCTCAAAACGCTTTGTGACATGAATTATTCGTGCTTGAAAACGACTAAATTTGCACAGAATTCGACCTAAAACGACGGCGTAGCGGGTTGCGTTACCAGAAGAGTAAGTAAATTGCACTTCTGTCTGATGACCCAGATGTTCTGTATTGTACATTATGAAACCTCTATTATAAACCCAAGATGTGGAAAAGCTGTCCGCCTTTCGTGGTGAGGTGCACATTATGACTTAAAACCTTTGCCAAACAACCACAATGTTGCATACAAGCATGCATTTTAGGCTACATTCGCTTTCTCCTCAAGCCATGTCTACAGTATAGCAACATAGATAATGTTTATCGTATCACATCACATCTATGTTTACAAATCTAGTGAATTGTGTGTGCACGGATGTCTTAGGGATTACAATAGATTCAACCTCTTCAATATCAAAATGTAGAGATCCACCTACACTACTACATGAAGTATATCGACTTATGTGGTCTCTTAACAATCTATACCAGCAATCAATGAGGCCCCAGTGGCCTGCTATCTATATACCATCTCAACATAGTAGTCATTGACCAGGGATCTATCATATTTAAGCTAGTTGGATGCCCTGTAATAAAGAAGTTCTTTGCTTTTCGTTTTAGATAGAGTTGGCAACTGATTATTATCATCGACTTTCTTATTACGAATTTATCACACAACGAAGCAAGTTATCAGTTAACGAGTTTGAATACATTACAACGCTTCCCAGCTTCGCATCTATCGATCTATTACTCGGAATTGCTGGCAACTAACAGGTTTTCATATGAAGCTCATTACTCAAAATTAGCCTATCATTTCGAAAATCCTCTTATTCTCAGCAACAACTCTTTGCTAAACCACAACGAAGCTAGCTATAACCAAGCGGTTTTCAATACAGCGTTTCCCAACATTGCTTCCATTGATCTATTACTCGTAACCACTTGTAA